CTTTTTCTCGACTTGGCTGTGATTCTGGACTATTTCTTCTGATTTGTGACTACTGTGCTTGTTAACCGGACTCTGATTTGTACCTGTGATACGGAAGTGTTGAAGATGACTTCCTACACACCTGAGGAATATGCTGATATGCTTATTTGTTACGGATACTGCGATTGTGTGTCTGCGCAAGCTCGCAACGAATACATAACTCGCTACCCTGGTCGTCGAGTGCCGGATGTGGCCGTTTTTGACAGAGTTTATCGAAGACTTCGAGAAACTGGCTCTGTTTTGAGACGAAATACAGACATGGGAAGACCACGAATTGACGACGAAGAACAGGACAATGAGATAGTGCAACGCTTTCGAGCGGATCCGACTACTTCCACTAATATTGTTGCCCGTGATCTGGGACTTTCGCAATGGAGAGTGTGGTTTACAGTGCATACTGCTGGCCCACAGAGTATATTGAATAATATGAGATGCTGGCCTATACCCGTACCATTACACGCCGGTACACGTTATTGAAGAAAGAGACCCCGCGAGAAGATTGGACTTTTGCAGATTTATGCTAAATGCTGACGTAGAAGACCCAGATTTTCTAAGAAATATCTTGTGGGCGGATGAGTCCAAATTGGATAAAGATGGCATAACTAACTATCACAACGCCCATTACTGGGTCCCAAAAGAACTAAGGAATCCCAATAAGAAAAGAGTGAAGGGGTCCCAACGAAGATTCAGCGTGAATATGTGGATGGGCATTATCTCCAATCATTTGATTGGACCTTACTTTCTCCCGGATAATCTAAATGGGGAAAGCTACGAAAATTTCCTGAGAGCAGACTTGAGTGATTTGCTGGATGATCTGCCACTCAACCTGATCAGGGACATGTGGTTCCAACACGATGGCTGCCCTGCCCATTTCAGGAGAAGTGTCAGGGACTGGCTGGACACAAATTATCCAAACAAATGGATAGGACGAGGTGGGCCGTTGCCATGGCCAGCAAGAAGTCCGGACCTAACCCCCATGGATTTTCATGTGTGGGGGTGCATGAAAAGTCTTGTGTACAGCGAGCCGAATCCAGTTTCGTCTGTGGAAGACTTACGAGAAAGGATTGTGGATGCAGCAAATAAAATGAGGACCACGTTGACCACTGGCGTAGTGAAGACTGGTCTCCGTAGAAGGATGCGACAATGTATCAGAAATAGAGGCGGCCATGTTGAACATGAACTGTAGAATAAGAAAAAGTTGTGTGAAAACCTTTAATAAATGACATTTCATGCTTAACTATTGTTTTATTTTACTTTTTTGGGCTAAGTATAAATTTTCTTCTCCACTGTCGCCTATGAAACTAAAGTTTTTTCAATGCATTTGAATAAAACCTTAGATTATTATACCTCGTTAGATAGCTGATGAAACGTAGATATTTTAAAAAACATCTGCCGAACAATTACCTTAATATTGTTTTTAGATATCCGTTAGAGAAAAATAATTTTCTAATATTTTTTTTTATTTCTTTACTTTCACTTGTCTACTACGATCTATTCAATTAACTTATGAACTATTTTAATGACTGACGTCCTAAAGCATCGTATTACACATGTAAAAATGCAAAAATAATAATAATAAGATACACAAAATAAACAAAAAGAAATGTAGTAGCCTAAAAATCAGCAAAATTCAATAAAATAATTAAAAGACGATTATCTCGAAAAGGGTTAATTTTGGGTAGGGTGTTTCATAGTGAAATATGTCAGAAATGATGGGTACTCCACGCCCTTAACGGATCTAGCACGACTTTTCTTGTAACCCTGTATATTCACGCGGACAGCATTTAGCTTTGACTTTGTACGTGACCCTTTATCTAGTTGCTATTGTTGATCGAAGCCAAAAATAAAAAAAAGTTGAAAATTAAGATAAATTTTTGTACTTACAAATTTTCGCGAAAATCTACGTAAAATCTGGTTAGGTACGTAACCCTCGGCGCACGAGTTCGACTCGTACCTGACCGGTTTTTTTGTATTTCTTTGCGCAATCCTACCGTCAACAACCTTGGGCTTCTTGATTATTCAGTATAACGTAAATGGTTTTAACATAAAGACTATAAACTGACGTTCTCAAATATTTACACTTGCATTTCAGCCATAAAGGTCATCTGCTATTACTTAGAAGTTGTGAATTGTGAGCTAATGGCACGAGTTACCTTTTTGTATTACCGTGACATCGGTGCATTGAGCAACAATGACAATGAATTCGCATATTGTAGTAAAGGCCTTGCGTTTTAACTGAACCACAAACTACACTGACCAAGTTTGTCGACGGCTTCTCCTCAATGAAAATTGAAGGATTCAAAGCTGTGGCTACTTATTTTAATAGAAAAAAAACCTCGTAGTATCTAATACGACCTGGTTAGCTATTTGGAGAGTCGATTTAGTAATTTTTCTCTTACAAACTCATTATATAGTACCAAGTAATTTTGAGATCTACTTTCACCGTCATCAATAGAATTTCGTTTTATTTTCTTGTCCTGGTTTCTCACTCCGTTTAAAGAACTTGAGAATGAGTACAATATTAAAGAGTGTTTATAATTGGTTGACTGAGTTGAAATCTTTCTCAACAATTTTCTTTAATTTTTCTCAGTAACTAAGTTGGGCAAAATTAATCTTACTCTTTGAATACATTTTCTGAGTTTTTATCAGGTTGCTCTTTTGAAGTCTGATAGAAATATCTATAGATAAAATGAAATTAGGCAATTACAGATAAATGATAACAAAACAAAAACAAATATAAAGTTCTCGAATACCTCTTACGTAATGTTCTTTTCTGGACATCCTAGTTACATGGAGTCGAAATGAGCGTCATCCAATCCTCGTCGTCCGGTCACGCAACGCCCCGCCGTTTATCTCGTTCCCTATTCTTTAACACAGCAGTTTAAATTGTTATATTTTATAGATGTTACACTGATACAAATCAGATTTCTTAGCGGACTTACCAATAGTGGAAAGATTGTGTCCTATTTTTTATGTATGGAATTGCAAAAACATTAAGCACTTTTCAAAATGATTAATTGCCGGAGTAGAAATTAATTCTCTAATGAAAGTCGACTCAATACTTACCATCTATCTACATAATATGTGTACCTACATTAAAAAAGGCGATTACCAAAAAACATTAAGGATTAAATCAGGGGATCCCAAACTTATTTTGTCTACTGCCAACTTTGAGAATAAATTATTTTTTAGCGCCCCCATTTTTTTACCTACTTAAAAACCACTATAACTTCAAATTAAATAAATTAATTATTGTGAGCTATATTAGCGGAGATAAAACATTCATTCTAAACAAGCCTTTTTATTTGTTTGGTTGTATCTACTTTCATTTCGAAACGGAGCGATTCCAATAAAATAAGACAGATATATGAACTTCGCGGTGAGAAATATCGAAACTAGTTTGAGCAATCTCTTAATTACGAGGGCGGGTCAATAAGTCCGTGACTTTTTGAATTTCTGACCTCTTTACTGAAAAAACAACACTACTCCTGTCAACAGGCATCTGTCAGTTGGCTCCTGTCAAAATTTGAACCTGCTGCGTTAATTAGTTTGTGTTTGACAGCTATCTTTATCAGACTACCCAGTAATTTGAGGAAAAAATGGAAAAAAGTGAATTTCGTGTGCTTATTAAGCATTATTTTTTTGCGAAAAAAAACCATTACCGAGACCAAGGCTAAGCTTGATAAATACTATGGGGACTCTGCACCATCGATTTCAATGGTAAAAAAGTGGTTTCTGAAGTACTGAAGATGCCGAACGTCCTGGACGCCCAGTTGAGGTCTCTTCACCCGAAACAATCGAAAAAATTCACGATATGGTGTTGACCGACCGAAGATTGAAAGTGCAAGATATTGTGGAAGCCGTAGGGATATCGCATGGCTCAGTGGTTTCAATTTTGAATGATCACTTGGGCATGAGAAAGCTTTCCGCAAGATGGGTGCCGCGATTGCTCACAGTCGACCACAAACGCAATCGTGTAACAACTTCACAGCAAGGTTTGGCGTTGTTTAATCGCAATATGGAGGAGTTTTTGCGCCGTTTTGTAACCGTGGACGAAACATGGATCCATCACAACACACCAGAGACCAAACAACAGTCAAAACAGTGGGTTTCTAAGGGTGAATCGGCGCCAAAGAAGGCCAAGGTGGGTTTGTCAGCCAATAAAGTTATGGCGACTGTCTTTTGGGAAGCACGCGGGATAATCCACATTGACTACCTTCAAAAGGGAAGAACAATCAATGGGGAATATTATGCCAACTTATTAGACCGATTCAATGACGATTTGAAAAAAAACCGACCTCATTTGGCCAAGAAAAAAGTTCTTTTCCACCAAGACAATGCAAGGGTGCACACATGTGCAGTTGCCATGGCAAAAATCCATGAATTGGGCTATGAATTGCTCCCTCATCCGCCCTATTCGCCAGATTTGGCTCCGAGGGACTACTTCTTGTTCCCAAACCTGAAGAAATGGCTTGGTGGAAAAGGATTTGACTCCAATGATGAAGTCATCTCGCAAACAAAGGCCTATTTTGAGGACCTCGACAAATCATATTTTTTGGAAGGGATAAGGATTTTTTGGAAGCGTTGGACAAAGTGTATAGAGCTCAAGGGAGACTACGTTGAAAAATAAAATGATTTATTTATCAAAAAATCTGTGTTTTATTCCAAAAGTCACGGACTTATTGACCCGCCCTCGTAATATTAGTTGATGTTCACAAGTTGTAGTCGAGGGTCGAGAGCTCAGTCAGTATCTAAGAGACCTCCTAGCTAGATGAAATTACAAATCGCCCCTCAAGCCTCTACACAAAGCGCCCATTTTTTTCTGGGTCTCTTACCTTTAGCCCTGCAGCGCCCACAAGGGGGCGTTATCGCCCACTTTGGAAAGGCTGGATTAGATGGATTAGGTTATAGGGTTAGTAATTTAGTAACTGCAATAAAGCCAATAATAAAACTGCAGATATTCATTTAAGTTTCTTTTTATTACTGCTAAGCTTGGCTTCTAATAGTTCGATCCAATTTTCGTACTGCTTATTATCCTCCTCCGTTAATTCATCGCAGAATTTATCAATATCTTCATCTTTAACATCATCTTCCTGTAACAACTTCGTATCTTTCATTTTTCTTAGCTGAGTATTTTGACTATCAACTTCGACGGGCTCATCATCAGTAAATTTGATTTTTTTATTTTGCCTTATTTCGCCGTTTTTATTTTTCCTTTTAACTTTAGCTATGTGATATTGTGAAGATATAAGCAAATTCGAGTCTTCGGATACTTTAGCTGTAAAATGGTTGTTAACTAAATCTCTATCTGTTTTTGAGATATCATAACTTTGTTTCGTAGATAATTGTATGGGTTTAGATTCATCAACGTTCCCATTCTTTTCTGCTACAAGTTTATGTTCAAGAGAATTTTTAAAATTCGTGAGTTTTTTAGTCTTTTTAGGTATTGTTTTATAAGGTGTCTCTCCAAATAAACTTGGTTTTATTTTCTCATCTTTTATTTTCAACTCCACATCACCGGTGCATGACTTCTTTCGCTTTCCCATTTTTCTAGAATAAGAAATAAATGTCATAAAATAATTTTACATGAAAGAAAACAGACGTTTCCTAAAAAATGACTCATTTTATAGTCAGTTGATCCCTCTAAATCACAGAAGGCACGTTTGAGTATGCAACCTTCAAGCTATTACAGTCTCAGACCTGTGTCCTACCCGAGACTTTCCATGGCTTCCTCGCCCTATCTGTTTTTGTAACTCTAATCTACCTTTTTCCTTAGTGTCGCCTGAAAACGATTACATTCGCAATGAGCGTTGGCGTCGAGCAGATGGCGGCCATAAAAGAAACCAATCAAAACCTCTTGCAAAGTTGTCGTTTACTACATAAGTATTGTTATATCAAATACATGTAAAATATTTACTTGTCATCAATTCAATTTTTTTAATTCTTTTAGTCATTATCTAAATAGGTTTAAGACTTAGATATTCGCTGCCTCTAGTCATAGCCTGTAGAAGACGGATAGACCTGGTTTTAACCTAATACAACCAGCTAAATTTCGTATTACGAGTAGAAAAAAAAGGACTGCACGGATGGCGTAGTGGTTTAAGCAGTCACCCCGCTAATTCCTACTGCGCGGAGTGTTGTGGGTTCGATCCCCACATGAGACAACACTGTGATCCACAAATTGTTGTTCTGAGTCTGGGTATTTCTCTATCCGTTTCACGAATGTGTGTAGAGTCCTCCGCGACACAGGACATATACCTAGTGCGGTCGCTGTTTTTTTAAAAATATATATACATATATTTATTTTTCTAAGTTTAATCAACTGATACCGACTGCACCTATGTCGGGCTATAACTAAGTGTAACCTTAGTTCAGCAGAAATCCGTGGGACCAAGTACTGACATCCAAATTTAATAATTAGTCCATAAAAGAAATAATAAAGATAAACAATTATTAAATCTCCTAAATCGAAATCGTACTAACAGAGACAACAGTTACAGTATTATCAAATTGTCCAAAATGCTCCAAAAATACGTTAATTTTGTTTCAAGAGTAATTGTAACCAATAGCTCCAGAAACAATCATGTGGTTTTCTAATTATAGCAAGATTTGCAATCCCGCGATATGTAACAGTCCACGCTTGTTTCAACATACTGTTCACATAAGTTGCCCAAAACAAACACGAATCCCTCACGACTCTCATGCGATTCTATTATAATACACTAAACGACATGTTATCTATGATAATAAGTAATCGTTTACAACATGATCGTTATTTTCCCATCTATCACGCATAATATTCGAATGTTCATATACTTAGTAACATCACTGAGTGTTCACTCTCGGAATTATATTAAGATTAATGCCCAAAACTATTGAAGAAAAAAAGTTAAGAAAAGATATTCTCTCTGTGTTCTCAGAGGTCCTGACAGATTTAAGCTGCCATAACGAAAGGTGTTCTAGTATTTAACTAGAACCTCAAAGTCGATTACTTATTATATAAAGACTACTGGATATACAAAAAGCATGATATATTAAGCACACATTATCTTTGTACATTATTTTTAATTGTTTAATCTCGCATATAGATTTTCTAGAGAAAATATATCGAACGATTCCATGCCTACTTATAGCTAATGGTGACCTAATTGCTAGAACAGTTTCAAATGGCTTCTGTAATTGGTTGAATTACAGTGAGCTATTGGCGTAAAACTGGAATTGGTTTTATGTTGTAATTATTCTTCAAGACATTTTAACGACGTCTTTAAGATAAAACCTTAACATTAGACAATGAATTTTCTGTATATCTCTTGTGATATATACCCACTAGTGGGATAGTTGGATTTTAATCTATTTATTCCTACAGATAAGTAAATTGGCGATACGTCCAAGTGATAAAATGTCTCTACGAAGCTGCCACCATGTCCGTCCAAGTACAGAATCAGCAAACTATTGCATCGAGGAGTGAGGCAAGGGGACGTTATTTCCCCAAAATAGTTCACAAATGCAATGGAGGACACGTTCAAGACGCTGCACTGGAAAGGGCGTGGCATCAATATCAATGGCGAATACATCTCTCACTTGCGATTTGCATACGACATCGTCATCATGGCAGAGACGTTGCAGGACCTACAGCAGATGCTGAATGACCTAGCTGACTCTTCTGTACGGCATCGGCCTACGGATGAACTTGGATAGAACCAAGGTCATGTTCAACGAACATGTACTACCGGAACCGATTGCGGTACACGGTACCGTTCTCGAAGTTGTTCAAAATTATGTGTACCTCGGGCAGACATTGCAGTTAGGTAGAAGCAACTTCGAGGACGAGGTGAACAGAAGAATTCAGTTGGATTGGGCAGCGTTTGGGAAGCTACGTCGAGTCTTCTCATCGTCAATCCCATAGTGCCTTAAGACGAGTCTTTAATGAGTGCGTCCTACCCGTCATGACATACGGAGCTGAAACGTGGACACTTACGGTACGGCTGGTCCACAAGTTCTAAGTCGCTCAACGTGCTATGGAATGGGCTATGCTCGGCGTTCCTCTAAGGGATCGCATCAGGAATGAGGCAATCCGGCAGAGAACCAAGGTCACCGATATAGCCTACCGGATCAGCAAGCTGAAGTGGCAGTGGGCTGGCCATATTAGCCGCAGAACCGACAAACCGCTCGAAAACCGAATTGGGCGTCGATAGATCGGGGCCAACTTCGTAGAGGTAGCGGACGATACGGGCCGAGAGTACCCTCTCAAACAATGTACAATATAGGCTCTGCCTAGTTTGTGTGAAATTATTGTGGAGGAACGGGTGTCATGTCCCTCCAACACAAAGGGAGGATCCTCCGACCAGGCGAGGTGATCATGCCTGGCGGGCCGCGGCCCAACGGTTGATGTTGGGAAGTTGCATATATGCTAACCGGCGAGGGAATTCGTTATATCGCGATACAGGATTAGCAATTCTTATTTTAGTAGTTACTCCGTAGTTCGGTGTGTCTTCATTAGATGGCGCTGTAGTATGTTTATGTGTCGAGTCGCCACATCACTCCCCTCCAAGACCGTAGGTCGATATATCATGAGTCAGCTGTCTATGCCCTGTTGTGGAGCGTGCCAGTGCCAGTAGTGAGTAGTTCCAGTGAGTCGGAACTGAGTGCCGCTAGTTCCAGTGGGTCGGAACTGAGTGCCGCTAGCCCCAGTGAGTCGGGGCTGAAGTCCGCTGATCCCAGTGAGTCGGGATGGCGTGCGGTGGGTGGTGATCATGCCTGGCGGGCCGCGGCCCAACGGTTGATGTTGGGAAGTTGCATATATGCTAACCGGCGAGGGAATTCGTTATATCGCGATACAGGATTAGCAATTCTTATTTTAGTAGTTACTCCGTAGTTCGGTGTGTCTTCATTAGAGGGCGCTGTAGTATGTTTATGTGTCGAGTCGCCACATCATTATTAAAATTACTAAGATATTATTGCCAAACCTAAATAAATATGTAAAATGTAACTTTGTAAGTAACCCATACCTATAATGCGTAAACTTAGGCCATTTTTGAAATACCTTGGTATATGCTATTGTATTTCTTTATTTTTAGGGTTACGGCCTCAAAAGGTAAAAAAGGAACAGGAATATATATATATATATATATATATATATATATATATATATATATATATATATATATATATATATATATATATATACAACGTGTCCCAAAATTCAACGATAAGCCGGTACCGGTGTATGGTCGGGTCAATAACCACCCATGGAAAAATAATAAAAAAAAACCAGCTCTTTTTTTTCAAAGTTACATTAACTTTTTTGAAAAATGTTGTAATTTGATACCCTACACCCTATGATTAGATACTGTGGTTACAAATGTGAACATATCCCCACATTTTTTTTTGTATTAGCTACCTAAGTAACATAACTATTAATTGCAGTTCCAAATAGGACCTATACATTCGTAGTTTTTAATATAAAAATAAAATAAACAATCTTTTTTCTTGAAATTTTTGAATATTTAAACTTTTAATCAACTTTGACATGCTACTGTGTAAAAAAAATGTATGAAATGTACTATGGCATGTTATAACAAAAGTTAGCGCAACTCATCACAATTCTAAAATGGTGCAATACTATGACAACACTTGTAAAAATTCTAAGAATTCTCTTATCAAGACACAAAGAGGATTATTCAGTTTAGTTTTTGAAAACATTACCTACTGTTCAAAAAAGGGTTTTGGGTGGCAGATTCAGGTAGAAAACCGTCATCAATGACAGATTTTGAAGTGCGAGTGAGATAGATAATTATACTTTAGGTAAATTAGAGTGAGACAAGCAGTGACGCTATCATAGATGGATGGCCGGCGTTTCTGATTGGTTAAATTGGGAGAACCGCTGGCGGCTAACTGAACATTGTAATTTTGTTTGGGTCAGTACGTTTCCATAATTCGTTTACTGCGCATCCATTCGTATACAAATTCATGTAGATTTCGTACTAACGACGTGATTGAAGTGATATTAAAAGGAAAATTTTAGTGAACGGACATTTGTGAATCAGTTTGTTTGATTAATTGATATTATACCATGCCACACACATACAGCGTTGGAATACGCGAATATGCATTTAATTTACGGAGAGTGCAGATGCAATGCAAACGCTGCAAGCAGAGTATATCGTGAAAGATATCGAAATCTTCAACGATATCCGGATTATCGAGTGTTTATTTATGTGCATCAAGCATTTTGTGAAGGTCATTTACCAAGCAACCGAAGAAATGCAGGCAGACCTAGGTCAAATCGCGAAGAAGAAGTACTGGAAGAGATTGAAAATGACCCTAATACTTCAGTCCGTGCCATAGAGGAATCTACGGGAATCCCAAAAAGTACCACCCAGCGTATTCTGAAACGTGAAAGATTTCATGCGTACCACGTAAGACGTGTGCAAAATTTGTTACCCCGGGACTATCCTGCTCGAAAAGAGTTTTGCCGTTTGATGATTAGGAAGAATGCCGAGGATCAAGAATTCTTAGATAGGATTTTATGGTCAGACGAAACAACCTGTAAAAAAGATGGTTACTTAAATCTTCACAATTTACACAGTTGGAGCGTGGAGAACCCGCAATTAATGCGAGAAGACAAGTCGCAGTATCAGTTCAAGATCAATTTGTGGACGGGCATATTAAATGGTCAGATTATCGGTCCATTTGAATTGCCAGAAATTTTGAATGGCGAAACTTATTTAAATTTTCTGCAAAATACTTTGCCTAATCTCCTAGAGGATGTACCTTTAAACGTACTAAGAGATATGTGGTACCAAAACGATGGTTGCCCAGCTCACTACGCACGGCCAGTGAGAAATTATTTGGACCTAGAATATGCAGATCGATGGATCGGTCGTCTAGGTCCCATTGCATGGCCGCCCCGTTCTCCGGATTTAAATCCACTGGATTTTTTTTACTGGGGTTGCTTGAAAGACAAAGTCTATGCCAAACCAATTGCAACAATTGACGAACTGCGTCAAAGAATCTTAGAAGAAGATATGCGAGACTCATTAAAAGATCATTTTTAAGGCGTTGTCACGCGTGTGTTGACGCAGATGGTCAACAATTTGAACATTTAATTTAAGTACGCAATAAATATCTTAATTTCTCATTATGACTTTCATTGAAACAGTCTTAAAACCCTTTTTTGAACAGTAGGTAATGTTTTCAAAAACTAAACTGAATAATCCTCTTTGTGTCTTGATAAGAGAATTCTTAGAATTTTTACAAGTGTTGTCATAGTATTGCACCATTTTAAATTTGTGATGAGTTGCGCTAACTTTTGTAATAACATGCCATTATACATTTCATACATTTTTTTTACACAGTAGCATGTCAAAGTTGAATAAAAGTTTAAATATTCAAAAATTTCAAGAAAAAAAGATTGTTTATTTTATTTTTATATTAAAAACTACGAATGTATAGGTCCTATTTGGAACTGCAATTAATAGTTATGTTACTTAGGTAGCTAATACAAAAAAAAATGTGGGGATATGTTCACATTTGTAACCACAGTATCTAATCATAGGGTGTAGGGTATCAAATTACAACATTTTTCAAAAAAGTTAATGTAACTTTGAAAAAAAAAGAGCTGGTTTTCTTTTATTATTTTTCCATGGGTGGTTATTGACCCGACCATACACCGGTACCGGCTTATCGTTGAATTTTGGGACACGTTGTATATATATATATATATATATATATATATATATGGTCCCTATTAGGTGTATAAAAATCAAGGTCCTGAGTTGACACGATAAAAAGATATGGACAAATTTCGATTTTCGCGAAACTTGTAAGTACCATAATATACATTAATTTTCAACTTTTTTTATTTTTTTTTGAATTTTCTCTTTACTTGTGCTATAAGAAATTGCTTTTAACCAAAATTGACAATTGTAGGTCAACCGGAAGTACCCTATAGGTTTTGGGTCGAAAACCTATATAGTAGTTCCCGTTGACCTAGAATCACGAAATTTGGCAAAAAAAAACATCTTACAGCACAAATAAAGGAATAATTCCAAAAAATTTAAAAAGTTGAAAATTTAGAAAAATTTTGGTACTTACAAATTTTCGCGAAAATCGACGTAAAATCTGGGTAGGTACGAAACCCTCAGCCGCGGTCTCTTTCTGCGAGGACGTTATGCTCCAGAAGGAGGCCGCAGAGCGGGATCGGGAGAGGGCCGATCCCGCTCGAAGGAGGCGACGAAGGGGACGCGGCAGAGGTCGTTAGCTTCCCAATCGCCGCCTAAGGGTCGCTGCGGCCACATCTTGGGGCTATGTGGCCGCTGCAAACGACCCGAGACAGACGACACTCCGGTGCGGCCGGGGAGTTTTGTCCATGGCGGGGCGCTGTTGCGCCTCCTACTGTATAGAGTAGTGAAAGGCGCGGCAGCCTCCCGCCCTAGGGTGACTACAGTCACCCCGGGATGTGCCTCAGACATGGGGTACGGCAGGGAGGACTCCAGAAGCCGCCGATGCGTTCCTGGAGGTCCTCCTGACTGCCGAGGTAGGCCGCCGCGGGGTTTAGTGGGTAGACCGGTTCTCCGGGAGTCCCACACACACGCCCTGCGTTTCCCCAACGGAGGGTATGGTGCGAAAAGCATTCCCCGCGTTAAAAAAAAAAAAAAAAAAAAAGTAGTAAGGTACGAAACCCTCGGTGCACGACTTCGACTCGTACCTGAGCGGTTTTTTTGTTCTCATTGTACTCATGTTCTAAAGGTATCAATCAAGTCATCACGAGGTTACCAAATATGTCGTCTATTTAAAAAAATATTTGAGTTCATTATTGCAATGGACTTGAGACACGTAAAATAAATAGAATAGAATATTATTTATTTCAAAAGATTTTACTTCTTATATTTAAACAAATATGTATACTATGTATTTATCACTAGTAATTTTACACTTTTCCAAGAGATTTAACAAAGCAACAACTTTTCATAACAGTAGAGATACCTACTAAAAGGATAGTTTACTTTTTTCAAATATCACCGTCTTCAATTCGTCTACATCATAATAATTTGTATTAAACTGTAAAGAATTTTTCAAGTCGGTTCATAATTGACAGTGGTCCTACTTTATTTGAAGTCGGTTTAAAAAACCATCTATCCCTACTGGTGTGTATATATCGGTACCTTTATAATATTAGTATTGATTTATGGAACAGGTAGAAGGGAAGAGATATAGTGGCAGATGTCCCAGTAGATGGCCAGACCGGATCGCTGAACAGCTGGAGATGCCAATAAGTATCGCACTATACCAAGCGATTGATCGCAACCGATGGAACAGACGTCAGCAGTGAGGGAACGATTAGGAAAGCCCTTCCTGTTTTTACATTATAACTCTTTTTCGTGTGATACTAATTGTAAAATTATCATACTAAAAAAGTTATAATTGTAATTTTAGGTAACAAGATAATAATATTCTTCATTACCTACAATAATAATTAAAAACGTCGAGAGTTCAATAACCTAAACGCCGTCGTCTAGTCTTGCTAATTTAATATTAATGAAAGACTTGGTCTTCGTATTTTATTTATTAAAAAGGTTAAGTCCAGCTATTACTTTACGATAAATACACCTGAACCAACACTAGATTCTACCACTTCATGAAATAATAAAATATGGCGAAGTAAATTGTGGAAAGTTTCTGAGGTTCACCATCAAATAGATGATAATTGATAAATCAATTATTCATTAATTTAACACAGATACAAATTAACGAAGACATCAATGTGTTTATACAGATATGAAAATAGTTACATCACACCCGGGGTGATTTATTTTATCTAAAACAGTAAGATAATTAAATAATCATTCGTTTTTCACAGTATCGCTTAAGCAAAGCGATAAATATTTACATATTGTAACCTAAAAGTAGAAGGAATTTATAGTTCTCTGACTAAATTAATAACACATCGACAGTTATTTATTAGTTATAAGTTAGTCTATCTGAAGTGTTGGGTAAACAAAGTGTCCACTCAAACAGATAAGAAATACAAGCACCGACTTTACGTAACAGCTAACACGAGGTAAATGTGGGCGCATTGCCACCAGACTAGACCACCCGCCACCCACTTCTCTTGCTAGACGCCGCGATCGAGCAATCGAAACAATTTGCCGCGCCGGTGGTGTCGTGTCGACTCAATGTACAGCGACTGTATTATTTTATCACGATAAGTTTTTATTTCTCTTTAAGCGCAAGATGTCTGAGAAGAATTATATTCTGGGTATGGACATTGGCACAACTTCAGTGAAAGTATGTATTTATGATCCTAACATAAAGGAAATAGTGGCTAAACAGAATAAGGACACTGCAGCTAATATACCAAGTGACCAGGGTATTGAAGGCAACAAACAAGACGTTCCAAAAATAGTATCAGCTGTTCATTATTGCATCTCCCGTCTACCAAGAGATTTATTGCGGCATGTCGCTAAAATTGGGATTTGTGGACAAATGCACGGAGTGGTGTTATGGAAGAAAGGGTATGTATATATTATAAATGTAGTAAGTATTGATAACTAAAAAGTGTGTACATCCATTGAAATACATTATTAATGAAGTTTAACTCATTACAAGTTTATTTTTGCATCAGACATTAGTTTAAAATGAGGGGCCCTATTTTTTTATTTACTTGTACAGAGATGCAAAAAATTTAATAGCTATATTGTGTGTAATATAATATAGTATAATTTATATATTAATTTTTAATAGGTATCAGTGCTAAAAATTCACCATACATTTTTTGTTATTTTATAGTGCTTGGGAAACAGTAGAGAAAGAAGGAGTTGTGATGCGGTTTGAGGCAAAAAGAGAGAATATGTCAGCTCTGTATACCTGGCAAGATACAAGATGTAAACCTGAATTTTTAGACACACTACCAAAACCAGAATCTCAACAAAAATGTTATTCTGGATATGGTTGCGCAACTCTCTTGTGGATGGTGCAACATAAGCCTGAAAAACTGAAACAGTTCCAATATTCAGGAACAGTTCAAGATTTTATTGTGACTATGCTATGTGACATAGAAACACCAGTAATGTCAGACCAAAATGCTGCAAGCTGGGGCTACTTTAACACAGAAAAGAACGAATGGAATGTTGATATCTTGAAAGATGTTAACTTTCCAATTAATCTACTACCATCAGTTCTTAAAAGTGGACAATTCGCTGGAAAGTTAAGTGTACCTTGGAACGGAATACCAGAAGGTACACCAGTAAGTGTAGCAATGGGTGACCTTCAATGTTCAATAAGAGCTACTCTCGAAAGTAAACAAGATGCTGTGTTGAACATATCGACTTCAGCGCAACTTGCTTTTGTTGTAAGCAGCATTTCGGACTTGGAGTGTAAAACAATTGAACATTTACCATATTTTGATAATACCTATTTAGTAGTCGCTGCATCTTTAAACGGAGGTAATGTACTGGCCACGTTCGTTAAAATGATTCAACAGTGGATGCTCGATTTAGGGTTTCCAACACCTCAAGCTAAAGTATGGGAAAAACTGATTTCTCTAGGATTAGAAGCTCAAACGTCTTCTATGAAAATAGTTCCTCATTTACTTGGCGAAAGGCATTCGCCAACAGCAAAAGCGTCGGTAGAAAATATTGATCTCTCTAATATACAACTCGGAAGCGTATTTAAATCTCTTTGTGATAGTTTGATAGAAAATTTGCATAACATGATGCCTAAAGAAGTATTGCAGAAAACAGAAGTAAAGAGAATTGTAGGAAATGGTTCCGGACTTTCAAGGAATGCTGTTCTACAGAGAGCAGTTGAGCATTACTACAGTTTGCCGTTAGAATTTACGTCAGGAGGCGATGCGGCAAAAGGTGCAGCTATAGCAATTATGTAGTTAAGCTATTTCCATTTGTTATTATTTAAAATTCATTAATATCTATAAGTTTTGTTATATGTAGACCATAAACAGAAATATAGAGATAGGACATCAATTTGGATTTAGATAAAATAAATTATATTGAACCTATATCTATAAGTGACACTAAATTATAGTCATAAACATGGCCAATTTTTCTTCAAGTTATTAAAAAAAACGGTTTTAGTACTACATGAACGTCTTTTAAGGACGTACTTATAGCTTACTGTTTGTGGATTTAATTACAAACATGGTCATTTGCATTTAAGTGCATATATAGCTATATATATATCACATCACACATCAACAGTCTTTAATAGTCCACTGCTGGACATAGGCCATATATATATATATGTATATATATAGTACATATATATTACAGAACTGCTACACATATTTCAAATATCTTAATATTTTTTGCCACATTTACAAACAATATGAATACATTTTTTTCTGATTTAAATGAATTATAAAATTGTGGTATCATTTTTTATATACTGTAGATTAGAAAGAAAGGTTCTAAGTATTATTTATTTGGGGTAGTTAAAAGTGACTACATTAAATTTATATTTCTGTGATCATTCCATTTAAGTAAAGTACACTGACAATTTCATTAAACCGAAAACACTATTTCTTTGGTATAAGAGTTTGTACATAGAAATCTGATTTTAGAACCACTCCAAAACACCTAAATAATACCATTAAAAACTTTCACTACTTATTTCAATTTATTTTGTATGTTTATTAAATATATATTCTTTAATTGAAGTTATTGTAAGAACTAAAATTGAAATTACATAAATACATATTGTATACATACTGTTTTAAAATCATCTGTATTTTTTTAAATTTTAATATTTTGTTTCTTAATTGATGGTATTATACATATCTATATATATTTAGAAAAAACTCATTCACTGTCATTTCCAATGATAATTAGTGGTGTTTGTATTCCATACAAAAAACATATAAATATAAAAAGTTAATGTTTAGGAATGTTATTTGTTATTTAGGCTTGTAGCTATTTACTTCAGATGCCATTAAAGTGTTTAATGGGAAGTAAAATTATGTTTTACAATAGATTATCAACAATTAAACCATATATTGCAACCAAGCATTTTATTAAATGATAATAACATTTGAAAGCTAGAGTGGTTTTAAAACCAAGGATTGAAGCATTTTTCATGTCTGTTCGGGCCTGTTGGTCTAGTGGTTAGGGACCCTAACTGCTAAACCGGAGGTCGTGGGTTCGATTCCAACCCAGGACAAATATGTGATGAGCGGGGTCATTTGTTCTGTGTCTGGGTGTAATTTATCTATAATATGTATCTATTTAGAAATATATAAGTATGTTTATCAGCAGTCTAGTTACCATAGTACAGGCACTGTCTAGTTTGGGATCAGACGGCCATGTGTGAGATGTGTAAGATATATATATATATAGATATGTTCGTTGTATCTGATTCTTGATGAGAAGTAAAATTCATTTAGAGGACTTTATAAACATACATGAAACGGACATAAAGAACACCCAGACTCATAACAACAATTTGTGGATCACACTAATTATTGTCCTATGTGAACCCACAACACTCAATGCAGTAGGAAGCAGTGAGATGACCGCTTAAACTACTATACCATCCATGCAGTCAGTCATACCCATCCGTACTAATGATTGAAATGAACTAAAAATCACATGCCAAGAAGTTGTTAATGCTAAGGGAGGTTTATCTACACTATTATGCTGGTAATGTAATGGTTTTATTTTTAATGTTTACTTAATTTATTTCTATTAACTAATGTAAGTCCTGATCCTTAGGCTACCGACAGAAAGCCTAAAGCACCACAACAAACATCAATTTTGATAAAACTTGCAGTACCATAAACGAGTTCGAAGTTAATTTTAATTGTGTTGTAATTTTAAACGTGACGAATTTACAACTAAAACAATTACTTAAATCTAAAAAAAACTACTTTGATATGAAATTGATTCCAAAAAATACACGCAACGGTCCTAAAATATGTCATAAAGCAATAGAACGGCAAATTATTTATACAACTAACCTCAAAAAGTCACTGTTTTGGTTGTTGCGCTTTGATTTGACCTGATTTGACTAATGTGAAGGACAGTGTTGCCAACAGTTAAATGAACTAGAGATGTCACGGTCTGGAATATTGTCAAATCGTTTTGAATCGGTTTGACAATTCATGCGAATCAGTTTCAAACTGAACCGTTAAAAATTCAGTAAACCGCGGTTTGATCCGTATGATGAGTTGACCGGAGAATGTAACATGATTCAACGGGATCAATCAATCCGTCGTTTTACGGATTGCAACCGAGTTTACATACAAGTGTAAAACTTGACATTACTTATACTAACCGACGACCGACGCGGTGACGCGCGACTTTTTCTTATATGTTGGTGGATATTAAAAAAATATCATCCGAATGGTTAGGAAATCGGTTAATGTCATCATCTACCTACCCTTATTCCAATTTTATTTTTCTAAGTATGATTCTTCCATTCTACTCTATCATTCGTCATCTTTTTAGAAAGGTTTTAGAAACCTTTCTAAGGAGAGGCTTATGTCCTGCAGTGGACTATTAAAAGCTGTTGATGTAATTCGTCATCTCACTGTTTGCTCGCATTTCGGCTACGTTGAGGCGTCTCTCATCCGTTCTCTTAATGGGCCAACTTTCAGAACAATACAGGACGGCAGGTCTGATGATAGTTATATAAATATGTCCCTTCAGTGTTAACGGGAAACTGGGGTCACAAATTGTTTCCGTTACCTGCCGCCACTTCATCCATCCCGTATTGATTCGATGCTGTACAATCAATCAATCATCATCATCATCAATCTCAACATCACATTGTTATTAAATTGCCGAGGTACTTAAAATTGGAGCAGACTGTTATCGCTATCCGATCTACCGAAATGGTTTCAAGTTTGGAGAGACCGCAGAAATCACAGAACTTGTACTCAGTTTTGGTTCTGCTGATTTTCAAGCCAACATTCTCGAGCCTTTACTGCCATTTTTCCAGTCTGCTTAGGATCTCACCCCCATCTTCACCGACTTACACAATGTCATCTTTGTAGGAACATAATAATACTCGTATAGTTTGTGCTTGAAAGGTAAATTCATAAAGATTTAGTGTCGTGTCGTGTTGACTCGGTTCTGAGTCAGTTGGTAGATAAATCAGTTTCGTTCGGTTGATCTAATGACACTGCTCAACCGGTTTAATGGTTTAAGCCGGTTGAGCCGTTTCAACTTGGTTCATGCTCAAACCGGTTGAGACGGTCGAGAGGTCAGAAAAAGTCGAGTCTTGTGCCTCAGAAAGAAACTGTGAGAACTGTTTGTGTACTTGCGTAAACCAACAGTTACACAGTTTATCTTTCAACAGCATTTCCTAAGTCCTCTATAATCTGACTATTATTACTAAACCACAAAAAAAAACCACTAGCCACTAAAAGCAAAATTTCGCCACTAAAAGGGGGGTCGAAACCACCAGTTTTAATGGAAAATCCACTAAGTTGGCAACAGTGGTGAAGGATAGAAGGATTATAGCACGGTACAATTATAATACAGTACTCCAACTTCATACAAACGGACGAAACGCGAGCTATACCTACGCGCCTTGATCTCGGGGTGCGCTCGGGGCGCAGACAGTCACGGCTGTACCGCAGTGTCGAACGGACGGTGTGTTGTTTTTTTAACAATAACCGCGCGATTTTTTCTCTAAAAATCAGTTAATATGACGAGTAGGAAATATTGTGCTGTTTTTGGATGTATGAATTCGTCAATAACGCATCCAGACATAAGTTTTTTTAAATTACCTGGAAACTCTGAAAGGTAAGACTATAAAATAATTTTACTTACTAGTAGGTACGTACATGTGTGTCTTTTTAATGGATAAGTATTTCCTTTTATCTCACGAAAAAAAGGTGTTTGGATTAATAAATAAAGCGAATAGAGTAACGGAAAGTTATTGAGACGAGTGAAATAGGTAGTTATATGCGGTTCTGAATGAATCATGATACGGTAGGTACCTACCTACTTACGCTTGTGTTTAAACTTCGGTGCATGTGTGTTTGCATAATTCAAAGTAAAGACGTGGTATTTTATTATTAATAATATTTGTTTATTATCTGTGTGTATGAATAATACTAGAAAAGTTTTTTTACCGTCTGTGTGTCATTAGATAGTTTTCGAAATTTTTACAAAGTGTTGCTGCTGCTACTATAACAGCATATACCACTAAAAACTGGTTTTATTTTCTCGGTATTAACAACAACAGCTAGACTCATATATAATATTTAGATGATATCTCATATATATTATTGAGGGTTGTGATTTTAAAACATTCGTAGTCACCTGTTCAGCTTTTTAATAATTAATTAATTTTTTGACCAAAGAATTTTTATTTTGAGTTGTTGCGAGTTGTAGGTAGGTACCTAATTTATAGAGACGTTAATAAGCTGAGATAAAAAGTTACTTACTCTAGTTACGTTAGTTCTAAGGATTGGAGTTTTGTAACGCGTAAGGAGAAAGCACATTTTTTTTATTCTATAGAAGGATTTTTAAGCTATTGCATAGCTTTTATCGCGGGCTCTGAGCGCGGCGCGGCGCGGTGACCGAGTCAAGAAATTCTCAAAACCTAACGAAAAATACCTGACACCACGCAGATTTTTTTCTTTAAAAAAAAATGTTATGCAATAGCTTTACCGCGGCAGTCTCCGAGAGTGCCACATGTATTTTTTTTCAGACGTCTTCAATGATTGCAACTGAGCCGGCGAGATGATTTGGAAAACAAACCTAACTTTAGTTCCTACCAAGTTTGTGAAAAACATTTTAATTTGGAGGATGTATTACATTCATCAAATAGAAAACTTTTAAAAAAGAATGCCCTACCATTGTTGATGCTGCCAAGCTTAGCTAGTACTGATCCAGGAGTCTCTCTAAAAGAAGATAAACAAACCCAAACTGCTCCGTTGGTAGGAAATGAAAATAGTACACAGACTGAAAATGCAACAAATGAAATCTTTGCTCAAACCTCAACGAGTCTCTGTAGCAACACTCCAAGAAAAAGAAAATTGAAACTTGAACTCCTCCAATGCAGAAAGAAAATAAAATAATTAAATCTACCAATCAAAAAACAACACGCATTTTTATTGAACACTTCCTATTCAATATACAAAGTATTTCATTTATGTATATAAAAAGGATATTTACAATCACAAATTTAAATAGAAACAGAAAGTAGGCAAATACAATTAAAATACTGGAAACGGGCAGCCCTAACGCATGTTTACGTACCGCGCAGCTGTAGGCATTTATTTCTATCATGCGGCCGAGTTACACTACTGTATTATAATTATACCGTGATTATAGGTTAAAAAACAAAAAAATATTTCAGTGTTGTTAGATTACGAAATTAGGATCACTTACTTCAGGTTGATTATGAAAATTCTTAAAAAACGTCATAGATAGCTATTTAGTGGTAGAAAATTTTAAGATTTTATTTATTAAGAAAATGATTAATTAAAACATTTTTTATTTAGATCTAATTTTATTAAAAAACATTCATTTTTCCCTAAATAATTCCGTTTTTAGGTCAGGTTTAGATCTAAAAAAGCTGTAATGTCATTGTCAAGTAAGTCAAATCACGATCTGACAATTGGCATTAATGAGTTACCAAGTTGAAATGTTTTGGTGAGCCTTGTGGAATTGTGTAAATAAGCACGTGTCTCAGGAATTCATTGATTTACTATTTTTTTGCGTCTATTTAAGACCTGAAAACGTCATGACTAGATTTGCTAGAGCCAAAGGTTCCAAAGCATCAAACGAGAGAACTCCAGAAGACAGTACACCATGGGAGGTTATGAAAGAACAGTTGTTGCAAGCTAAAAAGGATAATGAGGAGTCTAAAAAGAGAAAAGAAGTATGTTTTATATCCTTAAATATTTCTTATGCAATCCTATACTTATTTATTCCATTATTTTATAATTATGTCTTTTATTTTGTAGGCTGAAGAGAAACGAATTGAGAATTATGAGAACTTTTTAAAGGAACAGAAAGTTCTAAAAAGGAAAGCTACTTGGTGTGACTTTCCAGAAAGTGAACAAACACACACTAATGCCTCTATTAATAATGGGCCTGTAGAAAAAACTGGAAAGAAGAATAAAAAAAAGAAAAAGAATAATGAACAACTTAAAACAGAAATGAATGTAAGCAATGAAGTAGAGAATACTATAAAGTCTAAAAAGAAGAAACATAAAATTGAGACAGGTACTGATCCAAAAACCAATACGGAAAATACAGAATTAGAAGAATCAAGTCAAAGTAATAAGAAAAAGAAAAACAAAAAGGTAAAAAAATCCCAATTGAGTGAAGGTTTGCCTAAGCATCAATTTGAAAATACACAAGATGCAGTTGAAGCTAATCCAGAAAGTAATGCAAGTGAAAAAATAAACAATCAAAAACAACAAAAAAAAAAGAAAAATGGTCCAGGCAAACCTATGCGAAGGAAAGAGATAAATGACCATAGTTTCCAACTTATCATAAACGGCAAAGATATAGAATTGGTTAGGTATGATGGTTTCCCTGTTATGAAAAAAGATGCTGAAAGAATAGAAGAGTTGAAATCTAACATGTTGAAAAAGGGTATTCCAAAAAGTGAAGTTCAAAGAACAATCAAGTTGGAAAGAAGACGAGCTGAGAAGGCATTGGCTAGAGTAAAACGAGATGTTTGCTACAACTGTAGGAAAGGTGGTCATGTTTTGTCAGACTGTCCGGAGTTGAAGTCCAAGATACCAGGAGCAGATGGAGCTGACGGAGTCTGTTTCAAATGTGGGTCTACTGAACACAGGCAGTTTGAATGCAAAGTACAAAAAGATAATGAGTTTAGATTTGCTACATGTTTTATTTGTAAAGAGCCTGTAAGTATTATTTTTTGTAAAATATTTATTGTTAAAGGAAAACAGGTCCCTACACCGCTGATGAGCATGTGCAGTTTCAAATAAGGAATCAGTTCCCAAAAACTAACTTTTGTCATAGGAGGGCCTTGCTTTGGCACAAAAGGGGTAGCTGGACTGGAGTGATACAATTTACATATTAAGTATGATTTTCACCAGAGTCAGTGAGATTACCAGAGCCCAAACTCCGCTCTCACCTTTATTCTTGGGGAACTCAAAAGATGTGTGCATTTGTGACTCTTATAATAAAAATATTTTTAGAAATCTGACATACAACGCCATCTAGTTTCAAACTATGCAGAGCTTGTACTATGAAAGCTAGATTGACTGATAGAATACTTATATACTTTTCTTGTAAACAAATACATATTATAAATAGAAAAGACCCAAACTTCGAAACAAATATTTTATCCAAATATTGACTTTTGAGTTGCAAGTGTCCATGGGTGACGGTACACTTACTATCAGGTCACCTGTCTGCTTGTTTGAAACCCTTATTTGTTATCCCCTTAACCTTATTGTGCTTGTTGTGTAATGAAATACATACTAACATTCTGTGATAATGCACATGTTCAGGGCTAAAACAGAGTTTAGTTGGTACTAGCTGAGACCCGCGGTGTTACCCGCGTTTGTTGTTATAACGCCTAAAAAGTAGCCTAAGTTACTCCTTATGTCATCAGCTATCTGCCAGTGAAAGTCCCGTCGAAATCGGTCCAGCCGTTCCAGAGATTACCCGGAACACACAGACAGACAGACAGACAAAAATTTATAAAAATGTTATTTTGGCATATGTCATTTAGTAAAAAGCGGTTATTTTAATATTACCAACAGACACTCCAATTTTATTTATTTGTATATAGATTATGGATATATAGAACACAAAACTATAACTGCAGAATTTCTTTTTGTAAATATATACTATAAATAAATATAAAATTGTTAATATGAAGTCAAGTCAACAAGTCTGGTCTAGTGGTTAGTAATCCTAACTGCTAAGCCAAGAGGTCATGGGTTAGATTACCACCCAGTGAAATAATTGTGTGATGACAATAATCATTTTTCTGTGTCTGGGTGTTTTTTACATAATTTATCTATATTATGTATGCATTTAACAGTAAGTATAAAAGTATGATTTATCAGCAGCGTGATTGCCATGGTAAATGCTTTGCATAGTTTAGGATCAGATCTGTTCGTTAGATGCATAAGATTATTATTATAAATGTAAAACACGACTACTCATATAGATTTGTAGAAAATTTTGCACTGAGCAGGTATTTTAAACCACCACCTGACCAATTCCTTATCATAAGGAAAAAAGGGTCAAAACTGTATATTTTAGTTATGTTACTAATTACTTTTACAGGGTCACATTGCCAGGCAGTGCCCAGACAATCCAAAAGGTCTATACCCTAATGGAGGTAATTGTAGACTTTGTGGTGATGTCACACATTTAAGAAAAGATTGTCCAACAGTAAGTACTTATAACAATTTAAAAATTATTAGATCTCAAATGTTTACATACTATAATGAAATGAAAACGCTTCCAATTTCTGTACGCTTTATATTTCTAACCATGCAACGGATTTTAATTTGATTTTCATCAATAGAGAAAGTAATTGAAGTGAAATGTTTATATGCACCTTTACAAAGTCCGTGTGTTGACAGACAAAGAATACAGAGTGTCATCCCCATATTCATACTGTAGGTGTTGTAAGAGCCAACTAAGTGAGCAAACTACGCAGGAGAACAGCACTGCAAAGAGAAGGAAATCTTGAAACAAACACTATACCCACCAGAGAGAGGCCTATGTCCAGCAGTGTTAGCAACTCTTCACATGTTACACCTCTGATATGCCACTACACTGTAAAGTGCCTTCACCTGTAAGCACTGTACAGTGTAGCCCTATATCAGAGGTTAAAGGGTGTTGATGTGATATGCGCAATGGCAGGGACACAAACAAGCAGGTTGCTTGTATATTATATTTTTGTGTTATATTTAATCCCTTATATTGTGTACACATTGCTTAAAATCAGTATCAGTCTCCTTCCTGAGTTAAATATTATGTAAGACATAGGTCATTCATCAGCAATGCATCTAGTATATCATGTTTTAATTTTAATGTTTCATATTTTTAGGTTGATTCCAGTAGTAATATAAAACTTCAGACATTAGAAAGTGGCGAAAACATTGAAGATTTTGATCAACAGTCAAATAATGTAAAACCTCAAGAGACCAGTAAAAAACCTAAGAAAATAAAGTTCTAAAACAACACACCAGTAATATGTAAACACAACAGTAATATGTAAAGTTAATGTACCTATTCTATTTCATTTCTCAGGTTAGATGAATATTTGATTTATTTCTCTTAATGCCAGATGTTTTTTGAATATCATAGTTTATATCCAATAGTAGCAACTATCATTTAAATTTCTTTTAGTCAAAATAACAGCATTCTTAAACAGTTATGTAAATGAAGTAGTTTGTGATTCCAATTATCAAATTTTACAATAACAAAGGTGTTATGATTAAATAAAAGAATTATTTTATTTCTATATTGTATTTATTAAGAAAATGTCACAAAAAAAGAATTTGCCGAGATCATTAGGATGTCTTTTTTATATACCTTTTATCTAACTATGAACAAACATAATTTCAATCTGAACACATAAACTAGTTTTGTATGAAATAATAGTTACAAACACATGTGTTTTGTTTCTATTAATCAAAACTTTGTTATTTAAAAAAGCTGCAACCAGTTTATTATTAACATTTATAAACAGTCAAGACTAGCTTTCAGTTGTTCCATAGACTGCTGTGCTATTTGTCCAGTGATGCCTTCAGGACTTTGCGGATCCTCGCGCATCAATATTCTTGCAGCCTCAGCTAAACATTGGATAGGCTCCTGCAATTTTTCCTTTAATTTTTCATTGGTGATGAGCCCAAGTCCAAATTCATTTCTTGCCAAGAACATCAAGGGAGCATGTAGTTCATACATGATCATACCTAAAGAAACAGAAGCTATAGGTTTACATTGTATTATTGAAGAACAGTAGTCACAAAAAGTGTAGTCAATACAGATGCCGCCGACATGCTCGTGACGCAGCCGGTCACATATAGAGATTGGCCTATAAAATAAATTCTTTGTCATATTGAGCTAACCTTGTACTCTTGATATTGAGTAGTCTTTTTAAGCTCCATTAGGATAGGGAGAGGATTTTTTTATTGCCTACGTTTCTTTTGTTCTGCGTATCAGCACCAATAGAAACTTCCAAATTCCTATGGCAAGCATCTTATACTTGGCAGACAGTATTGGGCAAATTAAAGATGGATAATTAATTAATTGTGACTTCCACTATTAACAGTTAATGGTGTATTAGTAGTAAAATTTCATCTAGATACAACCCAATATTTATTATTTATGCGCAAGAACAATTATTTAATTTACCATGAAACTGCTAAGATTTCTAGGCTGTCTATGTATAACGTAGTCTATATTGATTAATTAAAATTTAAGTAAACCCATACACTACGTATTTGCGACAGTTACCTCTCATTCTAGTTTCTCCAGGAGTAATAACATCTAGAGTCTTGAGAACGAGACGGCAGAAATCTGCCTTTCTCTCCAGCATCAAATCAGGCAACTCATCAATGTTATATCCCTCCACACGTCCGTACAACTGCGCCAGCGAATGTTTAACCGATAGAAGTAACGCATGTCGCGGGTGGAATACCGATTTATACTGAAACCAGCAAACGTTTATTATGGCAAAACAATGTCGTGTAAAAGTACTATGACGGGACTCTCTCAATAGGTAAAAAGGTGGATGTAGGTTTAGAATGTACTAGCACATTACACTTAGCACTTAAGAACTATGAATGACACTAGCACTTATGAATACAACTCGACTGCACGGATGGCTTATTGGTTTAAGCGGTCGACTCGTCCCTTCCTACTGCGCCGAGTGTTGTGGGTTCGATCCCCACACGGGACAATTCTTTGTGTGATCCAAAAATTGTTGTTCTGAGACTGGCTGTTCTTTGTGTCCGTTTCATGTATGTTTGTAAAGTCCCCCGCGACACAGGATATATTCCTAGGGCGGAAGTTGTCTTTTATAAAATAAATAAAAAATAGACTTCTAGCGTATTTCAGTTTTTGTCTAGTATTCTAGAGAAATTTTACCAGTACTTAAAATCTGATCAAGCCTTTGACAAAGATAATGTCAAAACAAAATGCAAAGTTAACATCCAAGACTAATATACTAGCAGGATACCTACCTTTCTGTTTGGCTCTATGTTTTTCTTGCAGGGTTCATTTTAAAATATTGTGATATCACAATTAAATAATTACTTAATGTGATGTTATATGGCTAATTAAAATTATAAAAAAATGTTTTAACCCTCTCACCTCTGTTTTACACTACACTCATAGTTTGGTATTCCTGTGATGTAATAGATACCTTGTTTATCATAGCTTCTCTTTGCTCAATGGCGGCGGGCCCAGGCTCCAACGCATCAAGCTGATCGATCTCTGTTTGTACTACTGCCAACAGCTTGCGTACTGCAGAGGATGATGTCTTGAAACCGCAGTTTTTTTCATTGCATGACCAAGGCGCTTCATCATCTTGTAACAAAAATCGGTAAGTGATAAATAAGATCTCGAGCTAAGTGAATTTCAGATTCTAATGTGCTCCAGTAGAGGCGAGCCTGAATGTTGTGGGTGAAGACATCGACTTAAACAAGTTATTGGTAGGCACATCCTGATACTTGGTAGGAGTATGTACATTGTACACACTGCACACAAATATCATAAGTACGTACTTAATTAAATCCTGACCCTCGATCGGAGGTGGCTCTTCGACGAGCACTTCCGACACGTTGCTCTAAAGCTGCTCGGCGTTGTTTCTGCCCTAGGGCGACTTTTGCCCAATTTGGGTGGAGCCAGCGTCGCGACAAGACGGCTGTAGACGTTTGGTTGTCCGGTCAATGGCACTGTACAGTGCACCGGTGTGGGTGGCGTCTCCGACCATCCAGCTTAGGGCACGGCTCTGGCGCCCTCAGAGGATATTGGCGGTTAGAGCCATACGCGGTTACCGCACCGTGTCGACGAAGGCGACGTGCGCGTAGACCGAAAGAATATCGGCAGAAGTATATTGGCGGACGGCTGAGTTCCGGGCGGTATCGGCAGTCGGCCTCCGCCCGAAGAGATAGGCGAGTGGCATGAGAACACTCGCCGAGCCACGATGGCTCGTTGGTCGTCCCGGTTTGGGCGTGCTCGCTTTGCCGCGGTGGGGCAGGGCGGCAGCACGGGATCCTTTCCTTGCGGCTGACGCAAGTTATTTCCGGGCACGGCTGCTTCGGGAAGTACCTGCACTCGGTCGCTAGGAGGGAATCGAGCCCCGCCTGTCACCACTGCGATTGCAATGAGGACTCGGCTCAGCACACACTAACATTTTGCCCGGCCTGGACGTCGCAGAGTTGGGTCCTTATTGCGAGGATCTCTCGCTACCTGCCGGTAGCGCGCCTGGGAGGATGATCTCCACTTGGACCCAATTCGCCGCTGGCGAACCGGGCGATGTAGACGGTAGACGCGCTTGCCAGCGCCTCTTGCCGCCCTGAGTGTTGCCGCGGACGGACAGTATGGGTTTTCTCTTCCATCCGCTATGCGAACGAGGCGACGTCTCCGTGTGCCGGACGTCGTCTAAATAGAGAGTTTACCCAAATGTGGTGCCCGCGCTGGGCAGGCTCTGGGAGGGGTACGGATGTCTTAATATCAGCTGTTCGTGGCCCCTCCTATCTCAGGCGTGGAGGTCACACTGCGTGATTTTATTCGGTTCGATGCTCACCGCCCCGCCGCAAACCCCGGTGGGGTGACTCCCGAGGGGGTTTCCACATGTTAAAATAAGAAAAAATGGTAACCAGGTTGCTGATAAACATACCTAAATATTTCTAAAAACATACATATTAGATAAATTATACACAGATATAGAACAAATGATCGTTCTCACACACAATTATTTCTCCTTGGTGGAAATCGAACCCACTACCACTGGCTTAGCAGTCAGAGTCACTAACCACTAGACCAAGAGGCCCATCAACAATTAAATAAACTGGTCTTGCATGAGAATGAATGTATTAATTTATCTCGATTGCACTTTACGGTAGTGATAATTTATTTTTGTTATGCGATATACATTACATATTACACTATTAAGTATCAACGATTATAAACTTACCCAGCGGATTAGACCATAAAATGACACCATTATCGCATTTATTGCATTTAAGTGTACTGAGGTGCGTCCCCAATTCAGTAGGGTCAGCACATCGTGGGCAGTCACATTGGAAGAATTTTGACTCTTTAAGGAAGTCCCTTCGCACAGGTGTGGGTGACAACGGGTATGTGTAGCAAAGGTGCAGAGTTTCACCGGCTTTTATTGGAACAGCTGCTCTTACAACTACCCTGTAAATGTTCAATAAATGTAAAAAAATATTTAATTGAAAGTTCTTAAATATTTAGCCCAAAACAAAACATATTTAGAAGACCTGGTCTTCTCGGTAACAGCCAGTCCAGATAGCTCTACCTTCTAATTAATTCTTATAAGCAAAATTACTTTTCTTCCCTAGCCGTATCGTCTATTTATCAACCTACTTCAATTTTTATTCCCAAAATGTTCGGTTAACAGCAATATAATGTATATAATAATAATTTGATTATACAAAAATTGGGTATACATGTATTCAGTACAATGGATGACAATTTTCTCATTGTTAACTAAAACTTGAGTTGAGTAATGCACTTCTAGATAGGCTACTGAGCAGCCTGTGATAAGAAGTTACAGTCCCGGACCCCTGTTGGTATATGGGTTGACTTTATTAGTGCATGAGATACATGCACATTTGTGTATGTGTGTGTGTGTGTGTGTTTGTACGCCTGAGTGTGTGTTCGGGTTTGAGGATACGTTATTTAATTAAAAGGAATTAAGTACCTTCATAGCTTAGCGTTAGTAAGAATTTTGCTGCAGTCTTTTTACACGCAAAGTAAGTCAAGATGTAAATATTACACCTTGCATTGATTTTTTTTGTACAAGGATATATTATACCAAGAAACATAGAAAACCTCTTAAAGAAGGGAGTATATGTGCGTGGAACGGGACAAATTTTATCTTTTCTACGTGTCGTGATTACTTTGTATGGCGTATGAAGGTGTTGTAGGTATCATAACTATTTGCAGTATATAAAGTTGTCTTACATTGAGCACATTCCACGATTAGTATAGATAGTTCAACTCAGTGGTGCGCGCGGCCCTATGTGTGCGTGGGCTTGTAAATTTACAACTTTCATTCGTGTGGCAGTGACGCGGCAGTCGTCGTCCGAGCAAGACGTGTTCTTATCGCTTTTTCTTAAGGGTACAGTCGTTTACGAAAATGTCTAGTTCTTCACGGAGAAAATGTTTAAGGAGTCAGGTAAATATTTTTTAAATTTAGATGTAATTAATATTTATTATGATTCTATATACGAAAAAATATATCCTTGTTGACGTTTACGTATTATTGTTTTAGACTCGAGAAACCATTGCTAAGGTATACGAATTTCTGAAAATAGATGCGAGAGATATATTGGAACTAGTAAGTGATCCAGTTTGCAGTGCAAGTCCAATTTTAATATCGAAATTAAGTGAACATTTAAATAGCGTACGGAAAAGAACAGCAATGGCAGTGGGGGTATCAGAGAGAACAATTACTAATGTATTGGCTGAAGGAAAAGAATCTGACTCTAAATTTAAATCTCCGCATAAAGACCGTAAAAAACGTTCAAAAAAGTTAGAATTAGACAACTTCAACGTTGATGTTATACGTTCCACTATTCAAAATTACCATTTAGAACATCGCGAGTTACCTACCTTGCTAAAGTTGAAAAGAATATTTCAGCAAAACAAAGGATGGGGTAATAAAGATGGACCACCTTTAAAGAGAAACCTGTCGAAAGGACAAAGAATTATCATTGTGCATGCTGGTTCAGAACAAGGTTTCGTACCTAACGCACTATTGACATACAAAGCAAATAGTTTTTCTGGTGATTACCACTCTAACATGAACGCAGAAAACTATGAAAAGTGGCTAAAGGACGTCTAGTACCGAATCTTCCACCTTTTTTGTTTTTTTTTTTTTCCGTGCGGAAATCCCCTCGGATACCATATATACCATATATAGTTGTATTTGTACGACTGTACCTCTCGTCACGCACACAAAGTCACTGTATATGTACAAGGTTTACCCACACATAGGGCTGCGCGCACATCTGAGTTGAACTATCTATACCTATAGTTAATGTGTAGGGAATAAGATTGGTCGAGATGTAGCTACCTTTAATATTGCTCTGTTTCCTATCTCTAGGGGCAATAGGCTTACTCCCTATTACCTACGGGCCAAAGAGGAGTACCTAGACCCAGTGGCGGATTCAGGATTTTGGTTCTGGAGGGTTTTGATCATGACCATTTTATTTTGCTTAACATATAAACAGTCTCCTCGGATAACTTTTCGTGAATTCTTCAATGAATCCGTTAGGTTGTAGACTGCCAGATATATTTCGCTGAATATACATGTATAGCAGCCAAACCGTTCAACCTGTCCTCCGTCATTGTCTTTATTAGTCCGTGATTTTATTAGTTTAAGCGCCGAGAAGCTGCGCTCCACACTACAAGTGGTGACTTGTAGTTTAGCGAGAATTTGTAAGAAAATTTTTATGTTTGGGAAAACTCATTTGTCTCAGTGATACGCCTCTGCTGCTGTTTGAGGGAGATGCTTTATTAATCCCAGTCACTCCAAAGCTCCTTCCAAAAGGTTATTTGTTCCAATAACGAGATAGGATGAGGTAAGTCGTCATTAATGCAGCTGCCACTACTGAGGTTAGATTTTCAGTTCTTACGAGGGAACTTTTTAACAGGCTGTACAGATCGAGAATTGAAAAGTGCTCTGCTTTCAAAAAGCAACTCTTCAACTGTCTCAAGACAAAGTCGATGAACTAAAGAAATATATTTGATCTAAAACAAAACATGATATGACATTACCTTCGAGCTCGAAAGAACATAACAGCGAAAGATGTGTTGCATATCATAGCAAATACAACAGTCTGAAGTTGCCGTGAAAGTGGTGAGAAAGGTGAGACAAAATCGAATCGTTGAATAGAATCCAGAAGTGTTGCACTTTTCAATGACGGAGAAGTTCTCTCCATACTTCAAGAAACTCTGTGATAGAGTCAAAGAATTAATGCAGCACCAGTAAGTCAGTTGCAGATAGGAAAATTCTACGTATTGGGTGCCCTTCTGTGTATCAAAATACCCAATACATACACTAATTTGTTCTATACCACTGGCATCGGTTGTTTTTTAAGCAAGGGCAATATAATATTTGGCTTCTTTGAAATTGTCGAATACCTTTATCATAATGATATAATGCCAACAATTAATCAGCTGATTTTGAGTTGTCTTGCTCTGATACGTAGCGTTTCTGGGCGCTGTTTCTAAATGTTTTTCGAGAGATGTATCACCTGAGTCAATGCGACATTTCAAAAGTGCTCGAAATTTTCCTAGGCCGATTTCATCACGATTACTCGATGTACCATCATCTCGGTGGCCTCTTAACTCAATACTTATTAAGGACTAGCTGTATCCTGCTACGCTTCGCTGCGGCACGTTGTGATTGCCTTTATGAGACATGACGAAAAAACCTGTCGCAAAAAATACCTAAAAACAATCTTTGAAGCGTGTTGTATATCTTATCAAAATTTGAGCTCAACCGGTATAAACTTTTTGAATTTTTGAAGCGTATGCAAATCGACTTAACATTTTTATATCGATAAATAATAATTGATGAAAATTGTACTTTAAGTAATGTAAAAATGCAAAAAAAATAATATACCTATTATCAAATTTAATTTTGGATTTGTCATGGGAGGACTCAGATAGATGCTTTTGAGCCCCTTAGCCCTCTCCTGAATCCGCCACTGCCTGGACCTACCGTACCTACATAAGAGGGGCCAATTTATACCAGAAGGCCAATTCTCGCAATAAAAATTCGGTCTCAATTCAGTTCCGATCAACTCTCGATCTCACAAGACACAACTGTCAAAGATATTTTCGTAGTAAAGTATTAAACATCCAAAGTTCACTGTAATGTGATCATACCGTATTTTAACCGATAATTGAATCGGTAATCTGCTAGTCTTAGTAATACTTCACTATTTCACTACGGAAATTAAATACCTTTTTGATCGAACTTTTATTACGAGAATTGGCCTTCAGATAATAATATTCTTGTGCCTACCTACATTAAAATAAATAATAATTATTAATGTATTTACTACATATACCTATGTACCTAGTGGATTCATTTGATAAGCTGCCATAAACCTGACGAGAATACAATAAATTATCCTGATAATTATGTTCCAGTAGTTTGATGAAAAAAAAATTAAAGCGCTTGTAGTTTGTGCAAGGAGTATTTCCTAAAACTACTCCTGGGTCGCAATTCCCAGGCGCTGTCGCAGTCGCATGTGTCTACACGCAATGGACCCGGCACCTTTACGATTAATCCATTAAACGATAAGAAATAGGTATTTTTTAAAACACTACGTAGGTACTATAATACTTATATTACCAAAGTGTAGTATGTTAGATTATATTAAATGTTGTTCAATAAGTCAGTTCCTTAAAAAAGAGTGATGTGTTAGAAAATTAATTCCGTAGGTGCTTAATTTTCCACGGCATTTTTTATTCACATTTAAATAGAACGAAAGGGGAAATGTACCGTTTCAAATTAAAAAAATAATTTTCAAAATCGGTTCACAAATGCAAGAATTTTAAGGTAACAAAAATGAAAATAATTACGCAACAAACCTTTTTTTTGGTTATTTGTTTTATAATCTCATTTATTACTTTCTTGTGCACATATTTCTTTAACCCAACACAAATCCCTAACAGATACCTTGAAAGAATAAATATTAAATATTTAGAAGTCAATACATGATTGAAAGAGTTGTCCTTTTACTTCCAAAGGTTGAGGACCCTGCCATCATCAGCTCAGCAACATGAGATAACGACTACCAAACGCAAAAACTCGTATAGCTAGGGAAACAAGGTAAAACACATGGTCGGAGCTGTAATTAATATTAATAAATAATAAGTAATTTGAGGGTTTCCCTAGATTTCTCTGGGATCTCATCATTAGATCCTGATTTGGTGATTATTGGACCACCTCGGGAGTGTAGATTACAAAATAATTTATTAATTTTTTTAAATTATAATTTTTAAATTCCAGTCCACAAACGGCGAAGACATCGCGTAACATAAACAAAAAGTACAGTCAACTTGAGAAACTCTTTTATGTTTTTGAAGTCGATTAAAAATATAAAGCCTAAATAATGGGAAACCTTTAACAACGCCGTTTTAGGTCATGCCGGGGCCCCCGGGCATACAAGAACTTGGGGTCTTGTTGTACGAAAATAAATGTAAACGTTTATAAGCTTAGAATTACTTTATTATTATTATACAAAAGTAGGTATGTATCATTTGAATCACTCAAGACTTGGGCGCGATGCCCAAATATCCTATACCGAGCGATAATTTTACCGCTATGGAGATCGACTCGAGAGGAAACACGGGACCCTCTGATACCGGCTGACGCAAAGGATGCTTTGGAGATCAGCTGTGTCTGTTCCGCAAAGAGCCAACGTCTGGGTGCCCGGCGTGTGTAGAGCACAGGCATGACCTTGTGACTGATTGTGGCCATAGCATAGAACGCGCCTATAACTCCGCTGACTGAGTGCATAAGGTTTATATAAATAATTTAGAAAAATGCTTACTGGTTGTCATCTTGCGTTATCGTGTGTACGATGTTGGGTACACAGCTGTGGGCTGCAATTGCCAGGCGGGGATATAGAGCACGAACACTGAAACCTCCTCTAGACGGAACCTCCACTGAATTTACCTGTATGGGGAAGATTTAAGAAAAGGTTTGGAGAAAGGATTTGAAAAATTTAAACTTTTACATAAAAGAAAAAGCTTTTGATTACATCGAGTATAGATTTTTTTGTGAAATGGTGAAATATCATCAATGGTGAATACGTCACAAAGGCCGCTTAGTTTGAAGTGAGTTTATAGTGGCGTAGGGCGTGCCTATTTGAAACGGCAATACAAAGATTTTGGGTTGCTCTCGAAAAAATGGCACAGCACTATTAAGTTTTAAATTTTCTTCTTTTCGTTTCAGGTATTGTGGCGAGGATGATAAGAAAACTATATAGTTGTTCACATACCGCCAAACCTAATTGGATCCTTTTGGTGAAACTGAATGTGTTTTTATTTATCACAATCAATTTCGTTGTCATTATCATCAACAGCCTTTAACAGTCCACTGCTGGACATGAGCCTCTCCTTAGAAAGGAGATGCTGGCCCACTATACCATGCTGGCAAGACAAGTTCTTATAATGGTTGTTTTTAAGTTTTCCTTCTCTTTGCAGTGCTATTGTCCTGTAGAGCTTACTCCCTTAGTCGGCTCTTATGACACCCACGAATTTCGTTGTAGTCGAAATACCTAAAGCAGGTAAGTATTATGTAATAAAAGCTCCCCGAATAAATTATAAACACGTTGGTAAAACAAGCATTAGAAAATAGCGTCCATAAAAATATATATATACCTACACACGGATTGAAACCGAACCTCTTTTTTGAAGTCGGTTAATAGCACGAAAGTTTTCACGAACGTGTTTAATACTCTATGTGTGACTATGACATGAATGCTTCCGTTGTACGAATCAAATAACCTTTTCTATAAATCTAAAATAAACGCTATTTACGATTATTACATTACTTTCGATTAGGTACTGTAATGTAAAAGAATGGAAATAAATAAAGTAAATTAAAATTAGGTAGGTATACTAAATGTTACCTCGAGAATGCCAGAGACTTTCAGCACTAGTTCCTTATTGAATCTATTCTGCAAATTGCAATGGTCGACTAAGAAGTCAGCAATGTTCACTTGGTCTGCGCTCCAGGTTGCTTTTTGCTGTCGTGCTGCTTTGTGGTCTTCCATCACTTCAACTTCATGCTCCCATCGCTCAGGATCTTGTTCTTTCGCTAAAAGTACTCTGTTTGAATTGAAATAAGTGTCCAGGTTGAAAAGAAGGAGTTACTTCCTTTTTAATAAAGAAAAAGTAGAATTCTAAAAGGAGTATTGATGGAAATAATGTTCTGAGACACGTTGGGCTGTTTATCATCCACCATGATTTCACTCCTGATGTCTTTATCAGATGACTTTTACACAATTGAACTAGATCTTAGCCTTAATGAATTCTTATTTCAGACAAAAGAACAATGAATTCTTAGGAAATTAATACCTTAAAGGTGTTATACAGTCGAGCTGCGGTGAACTTGCCGTCCAGTCCTCAACGGGCTGGAAACGCACCTTCACTTCGGAGAAGACTTTGCACTCAGCGGCATGTTGCTGAGACTTCTCACATTCTTCACTACAAACGGGCCATCCACATTGAGAACACAACTTGTTTTCAATCGGATAGTAACATCCAAGGCATAGCGGAGGAGTATCTATAAAATAAAGAGTAATTGCTTTTTAATGTTTAGTATTTTGATTGTAGGTACAAAACTTTTACCTTAATGTGATATTGTAGAAAAATAAATGATAATATCAAAAAGCTCTAGATCATTCTGTTGCATTTTTCTTGTCTCGGTTGAAGGAGCTTTAGGTAATATACCGAAGTCGTGGCTTTAAGTTCTTGCAGGCCCAGATCTACGATTTTTTCGAACCGGGCCAGAAACTTGATAGTGGCGCCCCTTTCTCCAACGTTAAGATAAATTACTTGGAAAAACTTACAAATATATAATTTCACTTGTAGTATGGGCCTGTGTGGCGCCTTTTTATTACAAGTCGACCAGGTTTCTGTATGGTAGGCGCTTTGTGGAGCAAGTTTTTTATTTTTAACTAGTTGGTAACTATTCATTCGCGGGAATTTGAAAAGCACTGCCTTAGTGGGTTCGATTCCCGGACCGGGAAAAAATTCAAAGGGTTTTTCTGAGAGGAAAAATAGCCTAAGTTACTCCTTATATTTCACCTACCTGGTAGTAAAACATTATCAAAATTGGTCCAGCCGTTTAGAAGACTACCCGAACAAACAGACAGACCAACAGACAAAAAAAATTTTTTAGTCATAGTTTACCCCCCCTAGATCCGGGGCTGAGTTCTTTTTAATAGAAACTTATTTAAGTATACTTATCTATAGTTTTAGAAAAAAAAAGATTTATGGATGTAAATAAAAGTTAAATTAAATTGTTAAATTGTACTTAATAAGTAGTCGAAGTAAAAATGGTTTCAAAACTTTAACAAGCTTTTAAATTATACTCACAATCTTAATTGAGGTCCTAAAGAAGAATATGTAAGATATTTGTTTTTGAAGAAATATGTTCATATGTATTATAACATATAATTAATTACCGCTTTTTTATACAATGATCTTATGATGAATAAAAAATACTTATATATTTATTGAAAAATAAATAACACGATAGGTATTCTGTTATTTCTGTTGTAGGTATGTGATACTTGCCTGGTTTAGGTCCAACCACGAAAGGTTTATCCTTAAATATTATTTCACCGCTCGATAAATCCTTGAGTGCTGTTAAATATCTTCCATATTCATCGTTTAATTTTATATCATAATGGCAAACGTCGTCTACCATTGCGAGAAAATTAACACAGCGCACTAGTGTTCAGCGAGTTTAATGGCTTGAGATTGAAAACGTCAGAAAGTGTTTGCCGACTGAACAAGATTAGCGTCTATAATAAGCTTCAGACCATTCGAGAATTGGGCCGGTTGAACTTTCGAAACGTTTCTGTATCATATGCGTTTACATTCCGTAAATTTAATTGTGTTTTCTCTTACGTCTACTATTAAAAATAACGTGGACGGCAGCGTTGAGATTAAAAGAGCATAGTTATTTAATATAGCCATAACAAAAGATCTGCTAGCCTTGTTTTTATTAAGATATGCCTATCCTTATCTTATTTTAAACCATCCGTGTTTTTTATTATTATGGCTAGTGTTCTGCTCATGTGGGTCGTCATTTTCGACGAGAGACGAGGAATTCTGAAAATTCTGAAACAACGCAAACAAACTGCCAAATTTAGTGTGTTTCGGTGACGAAATCGTAACCAAGGGGTGTAAATTGTTTCACAGTACTTTTACTATCTACCAGTTTTTGGGGGCAAAACTTACCTAAGCTATATCTAGGTTAAAAAAAAGAGTTTAAAGTCGAAGATGATGTTGTATATCAGGAGGAAAATATAAAAATTTAGAGGCAACTTGGTCTTTTGATGGAATAAAAAAATGCTTATACACAGTGCTTATGCACACAAATAAATCTGTTAGAAAAAAAACTGAAATTAGTTGTGCAATTACAAGTTGTGCTTCAGTGAGATTTAGATAGCTTACATCGACATAGTCGCGAATAGGAATAAGAAATGCTTGTGTAATACAAGTGCAGATGTAGATCGCAGCCGTACAAAAATGGAATCGTGCCAAGGATCTCGCTAAGGCAACAAAATTTACGTCAGGCACTATCCCTACTAATATTATAAATGCAAAAGTAACTCTGTCTGTCTGTTACGTTTTCACGCCTAAACCGCTGAACCGATTTTTAAGAAAATTGGTACAGAGATAGTCTAAAACCTGACAAAGGACATAGGCTACTTTTTAATTCGGAAAAAGGGCTGTAAGGGGTGAAATAGGGGATGAAATTTTGTATGGCAATTACGTCATTTTTAAAGCTAGAAGCTTGAAACTTATTTTCTAGCGTTTTGATTAGATGTAAATAAATACAACATTCAAAGTTTTTTAAAGCTTTCGTTTTGTCGTAGTTTTTTTGGATATAATAAAAGTTAATTCAGACTGTGTTAAAAAATAAATATATACATATATGGATGAAGGTACAATCATCCCTACTAATATTATAAATGCGAAAGCTACTCTGTCTGTCTGTCTGTCTGTTACGTTTTCACGCCTAAACCGCTGAACCGATTTTGATGAAACTTGGTACAGAGATAGTCTAGAACCTGAGAAAAGACATAGGCTACTTTTAATTCGAAAAAAGGGCTTTTAGACCAAATTCGTAAAGATAAAGCAGTTGCTGTAGCCTCCTCTGGACTAGCAGTACTTAAACTGCCATTGAACTTAGGTCATGAGGAAATGCCAGTTTGTAACATTACTAAAAACAGTGACCGTGGACGAATGTTACAGCAATGTAAGCTATTGGTTTGGGATGAATGTACGATGTCCCACAAAAGAGCGATAGAAGCACTAGATCAGACCATGAAAGATATCAAGAGTAACCAAAGTATCATGGGTGGTATGGTGGTACTTTTAGCTGGCGATTTTAGATAGACTCTGCCGGTAATTACTAGGGGCACGCCGGCAGATGAAATAAATGCATGTTTAAAAGCATCTCCATTATGGGTGCATGTAATTTTTTTTTGTCTAACTACAAATATGCGAGTACAACTGCACAATGATGTTCAATTGGGACAATATGCGGCTTCTCAAAATCGTCAAAAAAAAGAGAAGATCGTATGGAAACAAATAGTGACGGTATGATTACATTAAAACGTGAATTTTGTAATGTTGTCTGTAACATAGCTGACTTAAAGAACGAAGTCTATCCAGATCTTCCAACCAATATGAGGAACAGAGAATGGCTGTGTGAAAGAGCAATTTTAGCACCGACAAACGAAGTAGTGGGGCAGATCAACGAACAAATCATGTCAGATGTGGAAGGCGATTTCGTTGAGTTTCTGTCCGTAGACAATGTCATGGACACTGAGCAAGTTACATCGTTCCTTGTAGAGTTTCTTAACTCCTTAGAATTATCGGGGGTGCCTTCCCATAAGTTGAGGCTAAAAGTAGGATAAAAGTAGGTGTCCCGGTCCTGTTGATGTGAAATCTTGACGCACCAAGAATGTGTAATGGCACACGGCTTCAAATTACACACTTGGGACGCAATATTGTAAGAGCAATAATTATGACAGGAACAGCAAAGGGAGAAGAAGTATTAATTCCCCGTATTCCAATAATCCCTACCGATTTGCCATTCCAATTTAAAAGAGTACAGTTTCCCCTGAAAGCAGCATTCGCTATGACAACAAAGCTCAAGGACAGACACTCAAAGTAGCTGGTGTACATTTGGAAAAAAACTGTTTTTCCCATGGGCAACTGTATGTGGCGTGCTCACGAGTATCGAGTCCACAAAACCTACATGTTTTGACCAAAGAAGGAAAAACAAAAAAAGTTGTATACAAAAACGTGTTAAACTAAGTACTACCTACCTTATAAGTTGCCCCATGGTTTCACCCGCAAAAGTCAGGGATCGGGGTCTACCTAAAGTCTACCTATGTTACCCCTAATGATTCAATGTATCCTTATACCAGCTTCATTGAAATCGGTCCAGTATATTTTCAGAGCCTATTCATTACAAACAAATTTACCCGAAGTAGTAGTTCGACGCAGACGAAGTCGTGGGTAAAAACTAGTTTCTTATAATTCAGTTTCGTTTCCCTGGGATAGCAACGCAAGACCCCAGAGCCCAGACCGTGAAAGCGATAAGATAGGCCCAAGTATGTTATAAAATAGGCATAGGCAATGTATGTTACGTATAAAAATAATTGAGATTGCTAATCACTTTCGCTCGACACATTTAGTATATTGGATAACTATTTTGTATATGATCGGTTGTACCTACTCTAGCTAACTAAAGATGTTAATCATTTAGTTAGCCTATGAGATTTTAAAGTTTAATTCAAAATTTCCGTTAATCTAGACGTACTCGGTTGTCACAGTTTTCAGACAAATTTGACTAATTTAATTATTTTTTTCATAATTAGGAATGTCAATTTTAGAGAATTTATTTATCTTCACAAATGATAATATCATTGTTAATTATTTGCGTAGTGTTAAATTATATCCTTCAGTAGAAGCGTCATTTTGGGAAGCAAACGTGAGTTTGACGATGTCTTACTTTATCATTTACTTTATTTAGGTAAACGGCTTTAGGTCGAAAGGTAGCTAGCATTTAAAAGAAATTTGCTAACTTTATGACAGAAGTGGAATAACCCTAGTTTGCCATTATAGCGACCACGGTGGAAGCGTGCCTGCGACATTTTGTGGTAAACACACCGTTTATACACACTTTTATTAATATTATTGATTTGAATATTTAACCATCACGTTGTCAAATATATTATTAAAAATGTGTAAATTGAAAGCAAAACAAAAACATTATTTCCTTCTGGGCCACATTCGAATTGTCCATTGTCGGGATATTCCCTGATTGTAGAGATGTAGCTTCACTCTGGATACTCTATAGCGTGTATTATGAGGAATGCTTCGAAGAATTTTATTGTCCAGTTGGATGAAAGTTTTTCAGAATCGTTAAACGCTGTAAATAATCCATCCCCATCATTTGGATATTTTATTGGACTCCACCAATGTGCGACAAGTTATCGTCGGCGGTATTTCTGGACCGATATGACCTTCAAACCTTCGAGATAAGAGCGTACTTCTTCCTAAAAGGCCGCCAAAGCGCTTGTGACTCCTGAGTTGCAATTGTTCATGGGCGGCAGTAGTCACTTTCCATTAGGAGATTCGTCTGCTCTTCCATAAAAAAAAATACGCCTTTCAAAGAAACTTTCCTTGGACACCAAACCTGTTGAACAAATTGTCCCATTTCGAAGGCCGGCACTGCACTTATGACTCTTAAGCCACAAGTGTTTGTGGACGGCGGTGGTCACAAAGTCCAGGTAAACCATTTGCTCGTTTTTCCCTGTACATCAGAAAGAACAAAGTCCTAAAATGCTCTTTCTAGACACATTTAAATTGACAGTCCCGAAACGTAAGAAACGTAAGTGCAGTTTAAAAATTGTTAACTAAAATCCAGCTAATGTGTAATTTCCTTTTTATAGCAAGATGATAGCCAGCATTCGCAACAGGATGGCACAAAACCTAAAAAAAGTAAATGCACACAAGATAAACAGTTATCATATGAAGAACAAGAGGAGTCGTCAGTGATCCCATTTTTCTCTAGTATTTTAAACGAAAGATCTACATGCCCACTATTATGTGATCCGGTTAGTACGTACATGTAACGCATTTCACGACAGAATAATCTATGGTAAAATGCGAATAATTGTATCTGAGGCGAAAATATAAAAGTTTATTACTTTAGAGCTATAAAAGTGCCGTCGTTGTCTTAAAAAATTGTCTTTTAGTTTTTAAAGCAGAATTAACGAAGTCTAAAGGAACACTATCACACAATCAAGTAGACAATATAAGTTAACTTTTAAACTATACTTAGTAACATAAAAACAAGATATCGTATAAATTCAGTTACAGAACGGATTCCGAAATGTTATTGGTTTTTTTTGTAAAAAATTGTTTTACTGTGTCAAGGATTTCATAAATTACAGTATTTATTTCGTGGCCAGCCAAGTTGACGTTCTCTCAACATTTGTGCACATGAAGATGTAAATTATATTGTATACTACCTATACTACCTATGTATGTATGTATTTTACAATAGAATTTCTTGAAGAATGAACGAAATTACAATAGTAACTAAAACATGTTTAAAAAGTAGGAATACATCACCGATTGCCGTCCTGGACCTAGTGTTGCGAGCGATAAATCCGTTAACTTCATCTCTATGACATGTACGTAGGTAGTAAAGTGACGCTTAGTATCTGTTGACGTTCTTATTACCTAGTTGATACATTGGATCTATGTATCGCATCATCATCTAATGATTTTATAAACTATTAAGGTGGATTAGTGTTCAATGTTAAATTCAATAGTTGGCCCTCTTTCTAAGTTCCTTTTTTTAATGTCCTGCTACTGAAGAGCCACAAATGCCTTGCCGCCCATTGATATCCCCTCCTCAGAAAGAGGACTAAGAGTTTGGGTTTCTTAATACCGGTGTTCTGTGAGGATTCTCCAGTGCTCCAGGTCCCATTTTTGCCAAAGCATGGCTCTCCTACAATAAAACGGTCACTACTTTATATTCGAAACATAGAATTAATTAATGAAATTTTAAGTAAATGAGACAATGCTTGTAGCCTGTAGGTCTACCTTTAAAATGGATTACTTTACTCTATGGGTCTACCTACTATCTACAAACTGTTTATTAGGCTTTGTGTGTTGCATACTGTAGCCTATCCTCAATTTTTACAACTCATGTTAGTATATTGGTCAACTGCTCATACTATATTATACTCAATCAAAATTTGGAATTTTATTTTTATAAATAGCATGTTAAACTTTTTTTTTTATTCATCAAACTAATTTTAACAATAGTTTTTTCTGCGAAAATGATCTTATATAATTAACACAAAATTATGAGCTTAATATCAATAATCTCAGTTCCGGTATTAGCGCCCTCTTCAGGTCTTTCCATGAAACCGAACTTGTCTTGTGGTGTGCTAGTGTTAGGAGGTCTTGTCTCGGCCTGTATCAGGAATTCGCAGTTATATAGGATCAATCTGTGAATAAATTTAAACCGCAGTAAGTATTACAGTAGTGTTTTCTATTAAAATAAGTTTTAAGTGCAAAATGAAAGCAAATCAACACTATATCATATGTAGGTTACAATTTTGAGTGTCGAGCCGGCTGAAGTAAGGAAGTATCGACGTCATTTTATAATTTTTATATTTCTTCCTCATTAATTAGTTAAAATTAAATATACAATCCACAAGATCTGTGGTATCTATACTGTTATGTTTACAGTAGGAGTAAATTTTCGTTTATGTTGAATTAAAACGTCACCTGACTATTGAATACATAATTGACGCATGTGATTCCAATAATTTCAAGTTCTAAGTTTAGTGCTCTTACGAAGGTCAAGTTTACGGGCTCATCCATAGCACTAACGGAACTGTATTAATTTAGAATGCTATTAATGTTAGGACATTTTATAATAATAAATAGCCTTAGTCATGGTCATACTGCATCAACGTTATGTAATACCCTAGATAGTAGAGGCATGTAAATAAGTCGGTAAGGTGATTTTAACCCTGACACAGATGGCACTAGTTATAATTTCGCAAATTTACAACATATAATTTATTCACATTAAGGTTAATCTTATAAGACATTTAAAATTGGGAATTTATTAGGTCTACGACCGTAAGGTTATTGACCTTTACCTAAACAGGTTTTAAATATTATTTGTTAAACGAAATCTTTTCCAATAGCTAATGGCTCCCCCATACTATGCTGATCTTGGAAAGAAGGCCAATGATGTCTTCAGCAAGGGCTATCACTTTGGAGTATTCAAACTCGACCTCAAGACCAAGAGTGAATCCGGTGTAGAATTCAGCAGTGGTATCATCTCCAACCATGAAAGTGGCAAGGTACAGTAAAATGTCAAAATTGGTCTAATTTTGTAACAATAGAATGAAATCATTAATGGTATCAAAAATATCTCTGTAAATCTGTGAAATAAACTAATTTATAGATCTAAGTAGATACTGTTTTTATTAATACTTAACCCATCATGGGTTTGTTTTCTACAAAAAGAGATGATTGAAAGTACCTGAAAATTACTTTAAATCATCTTAAATTAAATATCAAGTTATTACAATTATGTAAACTATATTGTCACAAATACTTAGTACATCCTTCTTATAGGTTTTTGGTAGCCTTCAATCTAAATATGCAGTGAAGGACTATGGTCTTTCATTTACTGAAAAATGGAACACAGACAACACACTGGCCACTGACATTACTATCCAGGATCAACTTGCAGCTGGTCTGAAAGTAACTCTTGAAGGAACATTTGCACCACAGACAGGGTAAGAAAATAATTCTTCACTTTTGTCATATTACACTTAAAGAATTAATTTTGATTACTTAAATAACTCAAATTTCAATTCTCAGGTACAAGACTGGTAAGCTGAAGACCTCATATGTCAATGAGACTCTAGCTCTCAACAGCAATTTGGACTTAAATAGGGCTGGTCCCACTGTTGATGTTGCTGGTGTACTACACTTCCAAGGCTGGCTTGCTGGTGTACACACACAATTTGACTCACAGAAGTCGAAGTTCACCAAGAACAATGTTGCTTTTGGCTATCTTACTAATGATTTCAACCTCCACACCAACATGTAAGTAACATTTGATCCACCATCACAAGTCTATTACACACTCGTAAAATATCAATACTTCATAAAACTAAACTACTACTACTAACTAACACTAAACAATTTTAGTGATTTAGGATTGCAAAGTAACTGTTTTTTTGTACATGTCAAATAAAATATAAAAGTTATTGTTTTTAAGAATCTATTTTAAGAAACAAATGATGTATTATGATTGGGTATGTCTTAAAGAACATGTCTGAAAACCTCCTTTCCAAAGAGAGGCCTATGTCCATCAGTGTCTTTTTAAGGGCTATTGATGATATATGTCTAAATAAAAAAGATATTATTCACTTGAACAATAATAATAATAATTTATTGTTAACAGTAATACTAAATAATGGTTAAATATACATAAATATATTGTGTGAATATTTCTGCCCCAACGGAGAAAAAAAGAGTTATTTTTTTTTCTCTGCAGGCATTCAATACCTATGTAACCTGAGGTGACTGCTATTGATTTTATACAATTGCATAACACATGTCTCAGTTAAGGTTTAGAAAGGATGTCATCATTATTGTTATGTAAACCAGTTAAATCCACTTCTATTGTATGACATTGTTGTTAATGTGAACCTACTTGTTTTTCATGACCACTAAGTCTTATTCTAGATTTTACTGACTTGGTAATAATATAAGCTTGTATTAGTCATTGTTCCACAGATAATTTATTGTTCTCAAAATAGGTTTTCTTAATAAATACTGATTGAATGATTATTTATAGTGACAATGGTAAGGAATTTGGTGGCTCCATCTATCAAAAGGTGAGCGAGAAGATTGATTGTGGTGTAAGCATGAAATGGACTTCTGGAACAGCTGATACCCTGTTTGGTGTTGGTGCTAAGGTAGCATTAGATGCTGATGCCTCTCTCCACGCTAAGGTCAACAACAAGTCCCTTATTGGTCTTGGATATCAACAGAAGTTGCGCCCAGGTTAGTAGTCTTTCTTTTGTTGTTAGTTAATACAAAGTAAATAAGAATTGATATATTTCAATTGATTTAACTCTTGTTTTTAGTTAGATATTTGATTACTTGTAGATTGCGGTAGTTGCTTTTATTAAAATTTATTAATCAGTATATGTGACTGTTATTCAAAGCTATAAAAATATCAGTAATACTTTTCTCAATATATTTTATATATAACATTAAATAATATATTTTACTGCTAAAATATCTGAAAAGATTTACTTACAGAAATTAATATCATTTACTTTTCTAAATAAAATCATAAGATTTCATAGATTACAAATCTGAATCATATGATCTATCATCCTCTTAGGTAACTATGTTATCTTATCATATTAGTTATTTACATATGCTTAGTTGCGTAAAGATTTCTCTGCTATAGAAAAGTTAGTAAGTTAAAAACGTTGTTTATTTATTATGCTTAGTTTTTTACGTTTAGTTGATTAAAGTTGTAGGCAACAATAATTAATAAATTTGAATATATTGCAGGTGTGGTATTGACTTTATCAGCTGCCATCGATGGCCAGAACTTTAATGCCGGAGGACATAAAGTCGGAGTCGCCCTTGAACTTGAGCCCTAGGTCAACAAAAGTGCATCGGCTTTTAATCATGTAGAGATAATACATAATGCCACAATGACTGTTATTAATAACAGAAAAAGAAGCGTAACATAGCAAAATCAATTAATTAAATGGTCTCTTCAAGTGTCCTCTGCATAGTGTATTTGTGCGTTCAGAACGCTACAATATAATTGTCGTACACCTATTTCATGTCTTTGGCGAAAGAGAGGCCTCGCCCGCTGTCGACACTGATAATGGCTTATAATGACTGTGTCAAAAGGGCGAGCTCGCTTTTTCTCATTGAATTATTATTGTCCTCAAGTATTATGTATTAGCATGCGTCGTTATGAATCCCCTTTTAATAACCATAAATGCAAATAATGTCACTCCCATGTCTTGTAAATAAATAAGCACCTATGGTGTATTATTCTATTGATTGAATGGAAATAAAAATGAATAGTCTGTTGGAATCAGTGCCTATTTGTTTCATTAGACCTTCCTAGACTGTGCTGTCTCACTACTGTATCATTTTCTTATGTAAGTTCATCCTGATGTATCTGGTACCTTCACTAGATAAGGTAGCTGAAACTTATAGTGATATATATCTATATTTTTACCGATTTGTTGTCTTTATACTTTATTTTTATTTCAATAAAGCATTTTTATAACATTCCTCTATTCAATTAAACGTAATCAGTATAACATTTATTCTTTTTAATTTTTTGGAAAACTTTAGAGGGCTATGAAAGCCTCTTAATGCATATGTATTTCAATATAGATTTTTTAGCAAAATAAAGTATTACTAAGACTAGCAAAATACAGATTCAATTTTCCGTTAAAACACGATATAATCACGTTACAGTCAACGTCATGACAGTTGTGAGATCGAAAGTTAATCGGCACTTAATTAAGACATTTTTTTACGAGAATTTGCCTTCGGATGCTATATTTGCATTGCGCCGGCTATGTGAGAAATACAGAAGTGCACACAAAAACTCAATACGGGATGGATGGAGTGGCGCCAGGTAACGGGAACAATTTGTGACCACAGTTTCCCCTTAATACTGAAGGGACAAATTTATAAAACTATCATCAGAGCTGCCTTCCTGTATGGTTCTGAAAGTTGGCCCATTAAGAGAACGGATAAGAGACGCCTAAACGTAGCCGAAATGTGAAAGCTAAGATGGATGTGGGGTGTGTTATTCGGATGGCCAAGGTTAGGAATGAGTATATACGAGGCAGTCTGAAAGTAGCGCTACTGGATGAAAAGTTAAGAAGTAATGGGTTATCTTGGTATGGACATGACATGCGGAGGAAAATGTGGCGAAGAAAGTGTTAGGTATGGGAGTTGAGAGGTTCTAGAGAAGAGGAAGACCAAAGAAAAGGTGAAAGGACTGTGTGTGAGGATATGGCTAGGAAAGGAAGGTAAACAGTGAGATGATGAATGATAGAGTAGAATGAATAGAAATTCGGATATTTGGCGACTAATTTCTACTAAATTTGGGAGAAAACAGATCTTCAGAACTTCTTCTTCTTCAGAACAGTGCTCTAGTTTTTGACAGACAGAGTGACCCTGCTGGGAAGACATCCCAGCCAGGGCCTCTATAAACTGTTATAACTTTTAAACCAGTGACCGACATGTTCTGAAGGCCAATTCTGGGAATAACAGTTCCGTCTCAATTCATTTCCGATCAACTTTCGATCTCACAACTGTCATAAAAGGTATTTTCGTAGTAAAATAGTAAAGTATTACTAAGACTAGCAGATTACCGATTACATTTTTGGTTACAATAAGATAAAATCACATTACAGTCAACGTTGGATGTTTAATACTTTACTACGAAAATACCATTTATGACCGCTGTGAGATCAAAAGTTGATCGAAACTGAACTGTGACCGAACTTTTATTACGAGCATTGACCTTCACATATTTTCGTTAAATAAGCTACTAATTTTGGGAGAATACAGATCTTCGCAAGGTTCCCTAGTTTTTGAAATACAAGCTGGTGAGACTGACTCCAACAGGAGCCCCTATAAACGCTTATTACTTTTGAACAAGTGACCGGCAAATTCTGATATTTGGCGACAAATTAGCGACTAAATTTTTTTGTTATCAAAATTAAAATCCATGAAGGTAGTAGGTATCCATCCCTGCCAGAATCAGTGACACCTTTGTATTGACTATATAGACATGATGGTTAAGGTAACTGACGTCTGAGCAGTATACCTATATAAATAAACAAAAATATATCAAACTGCATTAGTGTCATGCCTGCCCGAATTTACGATACTAGCTTTTGGAAGCGATAATTATCTTTTAATTCCTCCGCGTGATAAAACTTTTTCAGGCTTTTTTTTTCCCCTATCTCCTTTATGTACCCATGATTCATAATAAGTACTTACGGTGTGAAAGCATGACAGTTTCGTGTTTTCAGTAGTAAATTAAAATTGCTTCTGAATATATTTTTTTATAAACGTACTAATTCGTATCAAATCTAAATACATTGTTGATTTGTATTTCCTACGTTCATATCCTCTTCAACAGTATGTTCAGGCATTTATTTAACTATAATTCTAAATGAGCATTATAATTTTTATATTAACTTTTTTAAACAAGGTAAGTAACTGACTTTAAACTCGAGACAAGTCAGTTCTGACCCGATATTTATCCATAAATAAATAGTAATGTAAATTGATTTTGAGTCAGAATAGCAGTGACGCGGCAGCGCTGTAATAACTCGACAATGGCTTGTCGCGAGTTTGGGAGTCAGTTACTTATCCTGTGTAAATCAGGCCTAACGTCTAGGAACATACGGTCATGTAGAAATAACGAGCAGTCTGTCAGAAAGAGTCACAGGTCTTATCACTATTTGTTGAATAGAAACACATTGAATAGTACAATAGTATATTAGAATAAAAAGAGATTTTGAAGATACATTTGAAAGTTACTACTGAATCATTTCTTCTTCCATGAGCTTTGCCATCCACTCCGGCTCAGCAGCACCTATCTTTTCTATCAAGCTATTCACTTGATAACATAGGCTCTGGATCTGCTTATCCCATTGAGGCAGAATTTCACGAGCTGGAAGGAATACGACAATTAGAAAAATGTCTAAAAAAGTAAAGTATGTCATTGTAAAAAAATTAGGATTTCAATTAACAAGAAACTAATCGTACATTATTATTACTATAGAGATATACACTCAATGATATTACATACAAACAAGAGGTATATACGCCACCAAACACAAACGCGAGGGTTCTAATCTGGTCCTACCACTGCAAGCGAGCACACGTACTAATTAATTCGAGAAAATTCATAAAATGCCTTCCTGTGTATTCCGAAAGTGCACAAATTAAGACAAAAGGTTTACCTTTTGTCTTAATTTGTGTACATTCGAAAAGATAAAGGAATATCATATCACAGGTAAATTTATGTTTTGTTCTAAAATGCATTATTAGATGTATGTACGGTTACAGAACTAATTTTTTTTTGTCGGTACTTAGTGTATGTCTAATATTCTTTTTTAGTTTCTTTTCACGCTAAGTACACTAGCTAACCAACAGTATCCAGTCGTCCAGGGTGATCCTATATAAAGCACGACAGTTGACAACCTCAGTCAAAGTAATTTTTTTTTTTTTGGACATCTGTCACACAACGCCATCTAGTTTAGAACGAAGCAGAGCTTGTACTGCGAAAGTTAGGTTGACTTATAGAATACTTATGTACTTATTTTATATAAATACGTACATATTATACATAGTAGAGAATAGATCTGCATACGTACAATAAGTACACCAACATTTCCAGTAACTTTTAAGGACTTACTTTCAAAATGCACAACTGAGCTAATCTGATCTATGTATCCATTCATTCGTCCTTCACTGATCATGTGACTGGCGATCCTCTCGGCCTTAGCAGGGGGCGTCTCGAGCAAAGCGCCTAGTTCTTCAAATGTTATATTATTGTATAGTTTGCTGGCAGAGAGCAAGTTGTGTTCGAACACTGCACGGTCCAAAATTGTAGAACCATCAGATGTTGAGGCCTGTGTAACGAAAAAATATTGTTATTTAGATAATTTGCCACAGTTATGTACATTTGTAATTTATAAGACATTAACTAAAATAGTTCTTAGTATTATGATTTGGGATTCTTAAAGGTAAGAGACGTAGTATTTAGCACATAGCAAAAAACCGGTCAGGTAAGAGTCGGAACTCGTGCGCCGAGGATGCCGTACCTACCCAGATTTTACGTAGATTTTCGCGAAAATTTGTAAGTACCAAAATTTATTTAATTTTCAACTTTTTTTATTTTTTGGAATTATGCCTTTATTTGTGCTGGAAGACGTTTCTTTTTGCCAAATTTCGTGATTCTAGGTCAACGGGAACTACCATATAGGTTTTCGACCCAAAACCTATAGGGTACTTCCGGTGGACCTAGAATTGTCAATTTTGGTTAAAAGCAAGGTCTTACAGCACAATTAAAGAGAAAATTCTAAAAATTAAAAAAGTTGAAAATTAAGGTAAATTTTGGTACTTACAAGTTTTGTAAGAAAATCGTAAATTTGCCCATATCTCTTTAACGTGTTAACTCAGGACCTTGATTTTTATACATCTAAAAGCGACCATAGACCTCAGTATCTGGTATAAATTTCAACTTGCTAGGTGTACCCGTTCCTGAGAAAATCGGTGGTGACACACGGACAGACGGACAAGTCGCCTGTCCCTATTAAGAAGGTCGGATATGCAATTTTCTTGATTTTGCTTTTATTTTACTATTGACCTAAAAAAGCAATATTTTTCAGCAGCTTTAACAAAAAGTCAATTTTTCCTCATAGTATTTAAAATAGCTATGTTTACAAAGTAAATTTATGTATTTATATATATACAAAATTAAGCAATTTTAAACTTTGACGCGTCCTCCTGTAAAATTGCTGATTTGCAGATCCTACATTCTTAATAGGGATGGGCGAAGTAAGGGTTCCTTTTTTACGTTTTGAGGTACGGAACCCTAAAAAAGGGAAAACTATCATCATGACATCTGTGGTTGAAACTGCAATGATAGCTTTTGAACACATTTTAAACATGGCCATTCTGATCTCAAACTAGGCAGAGCCTTTACTATGGTAACTGGAGTGCTAAAAGACATATCATATCATCAATGACCTGCAGACACAATGTGTGGAAATGGTTCTGAATCGAACCCATGACCAGTCAAGATCACTAGCCCTTATACCAGCAGTCCTGTAAGTATTTGTAAGTCTTATGTATAGTTAAAAAAAAAACCTGAAGAAATGGAGTTTGGAGATTAATGATTAATGAGATTAACGAAAAAATAAATATGCTACTCAAAATATTCTAATCTGTATATGGCAATAAAAGCTTATTTTGCAATAATCTAAAACAACATTACCTTCTGATGAGTTTGCATGAGTGCCTCAAATTCATGTAATTCTGAACGTCTTATAATACGATCTAAGTACATTTTCTCTAAAATTGAGTATGCAGGTAACTGTTGACATCTTTCGTCTTTGAACAAGGTTGCTAGCATTCTTGATCGCTGCTGACCTGTAAAGATAGAACTGATAAATCCAGTTTTGAAAGCTTAATACATTCTAATTTTTAGACTAATTTATATAATATAGTATATTATTTATAAATCCTATCTCAGTTAATCTATTTTTATGTAAATACCGAAATAAAACCGTCATTTAAATAAATATGAATTTATATTGTAGGGTGGGTCAAAGTTATGCTTCAATCAATTTCGTCCCACAAACAACAGATTGCTCGCGCGAGTGATGTTAATATTGTTACAGACCTCTAGGCCGATTAGATCCAGACAGACACAATCTAAATCTTGTTGTAATAAATTATCTTAAACATAATTCATATTATATACTCGTATAATGACATCATTGCTTGACTAGCGTGGAGGGCGTTATTTGGTCATATTATTGGATCTAATAACCGCTTAGAGGCCATTCATGAATTATGTCACATGTTAAGAGGGGGTGAGGTTGCTGCTGATGAAATTCGTGTAACCTAATTTACGGATGGGCCCTTACCGCCACACATACATGGCTTGTTTTATCAGCTTAGGAATAATAAAAAAGTATAATTACCAGCTGACGCAAGTACTGTGCAGATGAGTGCATTCCTAAGACACGTCATCCTCTCATCTTCATGTATAATGTTACGATATGAAAGCTCATTATACCTCTGGGCTGCTTCTATGAATTTCCTGTTCAACAAAAATAGTATTGAACTAAAAGGAGGTACGAAGAGATTAAGAATATGGAGTGTCAAAGCCTTTATTCATCCCGTGAGTGTCGTAAGAGCCAACTAAGGGAGAAAACTACGTAGGATACTAATCCGTCTGGCCAGCGTCGTATAGTAGGCCAAAACCTCCTTACTTTGGAGAGGCCTATGTCCAACAGTGGACTATTAAAGGCTACTGATGATGATGATGAAAAGGAAGTGCAACTACAGCAAATTTTTGTTCAAAACAGAGCACCAAGACTGATATATCATTGTATTATTGATCTTAAAGTTATTTCCATTACATGTTACTTTCATCTTAGAATATTCAACAATTGGCAGATGTATTCAGTGCCGGTTTGCAAATAATATGAAAATATTATCGTCGTAACGATAAAGCTTGCTTAAACTCTTGACTGCCACATCCCAAAAAAAGCAAAAGCTACTATAATGTCTAGCTACATAATAACAAAACAAATAAGAAAAACAATCCTTTTTTGTAAGATTTATTAGCATTTAAAAGTCTGTCGTACAGTCATGACCGTGGCGAGCTGGACACATTTTCTTTTGTCATGTATACATGACTGTTACTGTGGCAAAAAGTTAAATAACGTAAGGTTGACTACCAAAAACGTCTAGTACAAATCACAGCCGTCTGTTGCCTTTTCGTTATATAACATTTTAATCGCATTATTTACAGGTGACTAAACATATAAAAAATGTGATTAAAATGTTTATGTAATGTTCTATATACAGATATAATATATATATAACAAGCAACTGTACTTACTTACACTAGCTATAATATTCGAATACTGTCTACAAAGACCTTATAATAAACGATGGGATATGAGGGGTTTATAATGGGAGGAATAATTACTTGTATTGTGACCACTATTCTAACATACCTTCTATAATCTAGAACTCTGGCGTAACAAACTTTGTAATAAATCTGTAGTTGTTCATTAGTAGTTTCAGCCTGCAACAGTGACGCCCTGTTCACAAAAGCTTCTGCTTGAACCGGATCATCAACTTCCAGATACAGCCTTGCTATCTTCAGATATGTCTCTAACTTGTAATCCACTGAATATTGTCTGTAAATGCATAAAGTGTGTCATGAGTTGTTTATCAATCGATTTTTTAATTATTTCAGCTGTTGCAGTTTCTAATTTTATTATTCAAAGTACATACATTTAAGTTACAATTATATTTTTCTTTTTTTTAAGTCAGATCATATAACCCGCCCCGCGTCGCTCCCGGTGCAAAGGTGCCCATGATACTGGCAGCATTGCCTCGCTGAATTGCAACGGACATTCTTTGCACCAGAAACGAGCCGGAGCGGGAGTCACCACTTTTTTCCCTAACTCGGCGACCAATCTCCGCAATTAACTTTTTAGCTTCTGACCCCCAACTGCCCAAAGTCTCCACCGCAATAGGCACAAAATAATAGTGCGTCTCCATTGCGGCGTATTTTGATCGCTTCCTACTAGCGGCATCCTCCGCCGCCGCCGCCGGGGCTTGGACGGTGCGACTCAGATGTGAGGCCGCGACTGTGCTAACGCATGTGGCGTCCCATACCAAGCACTTGCCGTTTTTCCACGGCACCAAAGTCAAGCCATCCGGCCGCTTCCCGTCAGATCTGCTAAGACCCGATGGCTCCAGCACGCAGGGTACATTGGCGGATATAAGAGCCCTTCGGACTATGTCATTTAGGGCATGGTGTCGCGAAAATCTACCTGCGCAGCGACGACAACTCAGTGCATGAAGACCATCGGCCCCCACCATGGAACCGCAGGTGCATCTATGTGGTTCGCACACCCTGCAGCCCAGGCGGAGAGCCACTGCCACACGCAAAGAGTCGCCGTCTAGCAAGGTACCCAAGTGAGGCGATGGGAGTGCATGTAACCATGCCCCTGACTCTGGCTGCGATACGGCCCTCAGTCTTGCCAGATCGGTACCCCCAGCGGTATCCAACATTTGTTTAAGGAGTCCCTTAGCTCCAATGTCATCCCATGCTCGCTGGACGTGTAGGGTCACTGGAAATGGCTCACCTGCGTTGACGGCTGACCATGCCGATACCGCCTCGGACACATAAGGTATGCTCGCCCTATCACCATTTGGAGAAAGTGTGACAGCGACAAGGTCCGCAACCCCATGCGCCGACGCTAGGAAGGCTGGCAAGCCAACATCCAGCACACGCCGTAATCCGAGACCCCCATATCTTATTGGCAGAGCTGCCTGGATCCACTGGTGCTCATCAAGGGAGACGTTAAGGATCGACTCAGCAGTATCTCTTAAAGCACCGTCGAACAAAGAGACAGCCTCCGGACAAAGCCAGGTTGGAGTAGTCCGCAATAAGTACGTGATTTTAGGAACCGCGAAACACATACGAAGCAGCAGAACCGCAACATGAGGAGAAAGATGCTTTAAACGTTCCCGAGTGGCAAGGAGAAGATTTTGACGGGCAGCAATGGCCTCAGGGACTGCCTCAAGGAAAATGGGAGAGCCCAATAGGCTGAAGGTACCTGGTGTGATCTCGCTGAGGCCAGGAAAGAACATTTCAAAGTGTGTAAAGTGTGTGCGAGCTTCAGTACTGCAGGGGAAAAACTCGCACTTTGCTGGATTCACCTCCAAACCTAGCTCCTTGAGGCGTGGGATCAAAACCATAATGTCTTTCGCCACCACCTCAGGCTGTCCGCCAATAGTACCGTCATCTAGGTACCACAGGTTTAGGGGTGACTCCAGCTTGGAAATGATTTTGTGGATGGCAAGGCTAAAGACGAGTGGCCCAAGTGGATCTCCCTGCTGAGCTCCCACTTGCGAAAGAATAAGATCCTTATTGTAAAAGAGGTTCGAAGGAGATTTATAGACTTGGTGAAGGAAAGGATAGAGGGAAGGAATTTCATCCTTAACTGCGCTTAACAGAACATCCCTTTCCAAGGTATTAAAAGCGTTGCGGATATCAAGCTTCAACACGACGCAACGAGAGTTTTTAGGGTCCATCACGTATGTCCGTGTGGCATGGATAGCCGCCTCGCAACCTCGACGCGTGCCAAAGCCTAACTGGTGCGGTTGTAGATACTCGGCCATTTCCTCCCTGACTGAACAACAGGCCAGCTTAGCAGTCAAACGGCGGAAAACGCTGCCGACAGCTATCGGCCTGAGTCCTCCATCCTTCTTATTTAAGGCACAGAGCGAAGCCCCATACATTAAAGGACACACTTCAGGGTTTAACAGACCGCTAAGTAAGAAGTTACACAGCTTGGCCAGACTACCCATTAAACGTTGCCCGTTTTCGCCCGCCGCCCTAGAAGTGAGTTCCTTTAGTTGCCCCGGACGAATGCCGTCCAAACCCGCCGCAGAACCACTATAAAAAGAGTTTAGCGCCTGAGCTACATCCTCTGGTGTAGCGGTAACGAATGCGCATGACGCATCCGGCGCTGGCGGGGGCTTGAGTGGGCGCGACGGGCCGGCGTGCTTAAGCTTCAAGGCAGCCAGGGTCTCAGAACCCCCGTGAGCAAATTTGTCGTTCGCCATCAACAGGCGGACGGCTCCCCTTAGGTCTCCCTCAAATACCTTATTTTCAATAGTTTTTTGTATTGAACACGACCTGCGGTTCGTTGGCGCGCCGTCACACTCATCTTCAAACTGGTAAAAGCCCGAGGAGTTGATATTCGTCTTTACCTTAGACGTCATATTACCCGGCAGAGACTTAGACGGCACCCTCAATGCGCTAAAGGCAAAAGAAAGAAGCGCGAACCAGTCCTCTACACCATTACCGTCCACGCATCCATCTATTATGCTGCTTAATTTGGCCGCGGCCAGGTTACGTGCAGCCTTAGGAATGTGCCGCATCACCGGAATGCTACTTTTGCAAGTGGCAAGCCTTTCCAGAGGGCACCGATGTTGGGGCACCACCCCCGGGCGCGGCCGTTGGCCGACATCACTAGAAGACGTGTCCTGTTGCACGTCCGTAGGGCTCGTGCGTGGTTGGTGTCCATGTATTCGTGCAATATGTATTTTGAGGCCGCGTGAACTAAAGATGCGCGCAGACCCCTGGCAGTGGGGGCATGTCGATTGTGACGACAATAATGAGCTCATGTTAATGATGCCGACAAAACACACACGTATACAATATATATATATTAAAAAAAAAAAACACATTAAAAACAAAAACCCAGTCAAATTGAGAACCTCCTCCTTTTCTTTTTAAGTCGGTTAACAATGTCAAAACATTCTTAAAAATCAAAAAAAGTAGCTTTAAAGTAGTCAATTTATAAACGTATTTATACAAGGCAAAGTACAGAGGTAATCATGTCATAGCATAAAAAGTAAAGTTTCTAAACCAATAATATGTGTAATATTATAAAACCATTTTATGAAACTAAACCAATAATATTATGAAACTTTGCAGTAATAAATTATATAATATATTCTTATGGTTAAATTAAATGAGTACCATAAATCAATATCAACAACAAGTTTCTACAAAATTAGGGTGGCATTAATTAATAATAATTTACAGTAACAATTATGATTCTCACCATCTACAAAAGGGTAGATAGGAGTAAAAAAGGAAAAAAATAAATAATTGAATTGAATAGTAAGCATAATTACTAGTATACAAATTACAAGTGTCGCCCTCTGTGGAAAGCCGCCGGTACAAGAATTCTTCCAGACACTCGACGAAGTGGCACCAGCAGTGCAATATTATGCAGGACCACAACAAAGCAAAGCAACAATCGATTGACGAACACGAACCGATAACGCAAACAGAGATGGCGCCAACCGAGCGTTGGCGAGGTCAGGGAATGTTTGAAATATGAATTTTTCTTCCCACTGTTATCAATTTTATTTTAACGTAACTTTTCCGCACACACACTTTAACACTCAATCACCGTGGAAGCACTGATCACCACTGTTGATGTCGCAGCCGATCTCCCGGCCGACACACGCAGCTTCGGCGCCTCCAGGGTTTTCGGATATTTCGCTAGCAACGACACGAAACTTTGGGATAACATTTATTCACCTACATTGGGCCTCGTTTTCCATGTATAACGCATAAAAAACTGCAATATCACTTGATGAAATAATAAAACCTCTGATGCTAACTTTCAAGTTTGGTTTTTAGTCTATTTGGTGTTCCAAAAAGGAAAAGGTGAATTTTTAAGTGCATGTTGCATGGCTTTTAGACTGCAATTGTAACTGCATATGACCTAAAATAGTGAATATGAGAAAATTGAAATAGATTCCATAAACAAGTAACTAAAATATGAATTACTCGTCCCACCCCTCCCATATGAATAGTAGTTATTGCAAATAACTGATAAAACTATTTTATGAAACATAACAATACAAATTAATTAGACTTGATTACGAAAACAGAAGCTACAATTGCAAACAAAATAATAGGTCATAGCTAGAGAACAAGAGTAAGTTATAAAACAACACCTAGTAGTAGATCTACCTTTTTATTTTTAATGTGCATTATTAATATAAAATAATTTTCATACTTTTGGCCTGTTTCCAATGGTATCCCAACTAGTACATTTGCAGCTTCCTTCCAATTTTGGTTTCTTTCATAGATATCAGCTAAATGTTGTCTGATGCTGGCCACCTAAAATGAATGTTTAAGAAATAGTCAATCCAGAAGTTCAAGCATTTTGATGTACGTAACTAAAAACACTGTTTACAGGCAATTCTTAGAAAATTTTCTAAATTGGTTTTACCAAACAAACTATGTGGTAACAATTAAACAATATAATAAATGCTGTATAAATATATATTAATAGTAATAAACCTCTTCATTTAGAAATTTGTAGATCACACAAAGTTTTAAAAATATTTTAAATTTAATTATTCTGTTCACAATATGCAGTATGTTCTCAAAAAGCTTTCAAGCAAAAGCTAGCAGGTAATATAATAATAATATGGAATAAGTAAATAAAAAATGTTTCTTGATAATCGTAAAACATAGGAACTGCATAACATGATTTCTTTAGTTAATGAACTTATCGCTAGAAAAAATTTGTGAAGTTTATACTTTTAAGAAACATTGATCATAAATAAGTTATTTGCATAAAACGTGGCCCAAAGAGATATGATAACCTTAAAATTCTATCAAATCTGCCTCAATACATGTAAAAATCTTCAAACATAATAAGTATTTCATTAAAATTATTTCAATATAATTAAATTTTTGTAGTTATGGCAAGAAAACAAAAACTATACAGTGCCAATGTGTGTTTTCTGAGTGATTTTTTCAAACAATTGTACTAGGTACAGGAAATTAAATACAGCATATATTTATCAAATTCATACAGTTTTGTGATGTCATCTATGACTAAAGGTGACTGCTTTTACAAAATAATTACATGATTACCTGTTCTTCAAAGGAAATGACCCTTGGCTGTATAACATCCAGAGCAAAATGTGATACATCTTGGGAAACATGGTCAGTTAGAAGAGCTAAATGAGTGCTCACATCTGTTAGCAGCTGGCGGGATATGACCAAACTGACATTTTCATTCACAACTGAAAAATTGCATTAAAATGAAATAAACAGATATAAGCAAGAGAGAATAGAATAATATCGGGTGGTATACAAATTTCTACTCTAAAAGTACGTACTTGCTTCCACAAACGCTTTGAGTGAGTCTGCTAGTTCAGTCTCGGAACTTTTTAAAATTTCCATGAGAACATTGCGGTACCTTGAAATCATTAAATATAAATAATAAATTAACATCACTTTTTTCATCATCATCAATTAAAAAAAAAAAATTAACTTACTTCTCAGCTTGATCTTTGTGCAAACCACCAGAATTTCTAAGCTCGCTTAAGTACTGCCGTACACCTTGTAAGTTTAGAGGCATTTTATCAATGCAACAGTTAGTATGATATAAACACAAGAGTTCTTGACCTAATCACTTTGACTACACCAATCAATTGAAACAATCAAACAAGAGTAATTTCATTATTACAGACTGACAGTTGATACTGACAGTTTCAGACTTCAGTCAAATTTCAGTGTTTTGACAAAAATAAATGGGCTTTTGCCATCGTGTTGCCAACCCTCAACCCTGTACCATAATCACAGATTAGTATAATGTTTATAATAGGGTAAAAGCCGGATAGTTGCCTCAGACGGATAGTTGCCCAGGTTTTGAATACACTATGATAGGAGTATTAGTTATGTTAGCGCTTTACTACAATAAGAAGTGACCCCCCACAGGCCTCAGTGCCATGTAAGCAATCGGAGTAGGCGAACGTGTTTTGTCCGTGTGAGCAAAAATCTTCCGCTGTCAAATGCTGACGGGCGTTGATCTTATTTTGGTAAGTAATTTTAGTTGAATATTTTTATTATTGATCGTGCTTTCAGTCAACTTTTTGTTTCTTTGTATGCATTAGAGTCTAAATTACAATGTTTATTATGTTTTATTACTCAATAGCTTTTTTTTATTTTTTAAATAAAAAGGGCAAGTATCTGCATTAAAAAGGATAGTCGCCCTACTTACTTTTGCGGATAGTTGCCCCTAGAGTGACTGTAAATTCTTCATCGAGCAAGCACAGTATTTTTTTTCTTTTGTTGTTTTTTTCCAATTTACTGTGACTTATAACTTGTTTTAAACAAAATAAATAGTTGACTGTTTTATATATTTATTTTAGGAAAGCAAAATGCCTACGCAAGTACAAGCGAAAACCAGCCGTGGTGCCACGCCACATCAGCTGGACAGAAGATAGCTTAGCACTTGTAATACCACTTAGCATGACTAAAAGAGCTAAACAATCGGCAGAAATTTTAAACTCTGACGATAAAATAGTCCAGAAGAAGGATAAAGCCGAAAAAATAAAAAAAAACAAATAAAATTATCACAGAGAAAAAGAAAAACGTTAGACAGTAAAAAAACAAACTAGCTGGTAACAAGAAAAGCATTGAGAAAAAAAAGGAAAACCGCAAAAAAAAAAAAACACCAAAAAATATATTGATAAGACTAGCAGTGAAACTGAATCTGATACCGCAGAGTTTATGAAACATAATAAGGGAAAAGCTTTAAGGAAGAGAAGATTAATAATAACCTTAAGTTTGAATAATATTTTTATATTTTAAAGCATTAAAACTGAAGAATATTTAATAATGTTAATTAATATTTTCATGTGTACTTAATAAAAGATCTCATTAAATTATGAAGACTGATAAATAAATGATAAAGATTAATTAAATTGATATAAATTTATTTTTATCCCAAAAAAACATATATCGAGGTGACTATCCTCGCACGAGGCAAGTATCCCTCGAAGGATTTTCCACGCTAGGCTACTATCCGCCACAGTAGGCAACTATCCGTTTTTTCAGAGGCCAAATAAAACAGGATTTAAATAAAACCAGTGTTAATTATGTTAACAAAAATAGGCTATAATAGAAGTAAAAAGACCTATGTTATGAAATACATATCGTATAATTTTCAGCAAGTAAATATTTAAAAAATATAAAGCTTTTTTGAAAAGTGGGGCAACTATCCGGCTTTTACCCTATTCTTAAGTGACTGTCGAAGGAAAGTTCATGCATAGAGAAATAAGCATGGAGTGAACACTGGGTACAGCTGCTTGTAAGTGGAAGCGATAAAGAAAACGAGAGAGATAGATGCCCAATAGTTCCCTCTATGTCTGTGTAGGTAAGCTGCGATGGGGAATCGTGAGTAGGGCATGGTTTTGACCATAGAACATGAGGGAGATTAGAAATTTCGCTAATTTACAAATTGGGTGTGAACAATTTTAACATAATATAAAATTTGTAAGATTGTCTGAAACAGAACTGGAAGAGGAATTGACCTTTTAGTAATCTCTCCGAAACCATTGAAAGTACTCAAAATTCTCTATTTCTTCGTCTTTTTGAGTACTTCAGGTATAAAATAATACGTGGCAATCTCTCCATTTTTATAGCGTATACGTCCCTACAGATTTGCCGACAGAATGATCGAAGATATGCGTCGTGTGCTTTAAGTCTGTGAAAAATCTGCAATAGCCTTTTTGCACGCCATGCAGACTTTTTGTGCACAAAAAATGTGTCGTCTGCGTTGCACCTAATTGACTGATTAAAGATTGTGGCCCCTTTAACCAAGATACACCAATAGTTCTATCCGACCAAACATGTCTTGACACGCCATACAATACTTCTGATGGTAAAAAAAAATATAAATGCGCGGTGGGAGAAGATTGAAAAGTTATCATTTGCTTTTCGTAGCGTTACTTCCTCTAAAGACACGTAATAAATTGCCGACAATCGCCTGAAACTTTCATTTCATATCTGACGAATTAATTAAATTTAATATGCCCAAAATCAATTGTGGAAAGGATTTTACCATACAACATTTAATTAACGATTTAATTAAGTAATTTTACATTCAAAAGTAAGTAACTAGTAAGTTATATCTAAATGCCATATTAGATTTTTGCACGTAATATATTTTAGCGCTAAAAAACTATCCATAAACTTTTCAAACCACCTGTGACGTGACTTAATGTACGACGAGTAATAATGATAACCCAGATTCTTTGTTTACAGAATACATTGCATTTACCAGGACATTCTATAAACATTTATAGGTTCCTTCGTACAAAAAAAGAGGATCTAGTGTTGCAGTAAGATCGATTCACTATGTGTGTTTACAGAATGTTCTTCTGACTAAGGCGCCTTTTCCAGGTTAAAAATAACTGCGATAACCGTAGTTTTTTTTTATGGAAGAGGGGGTAAACGAGCAGACGGGTCACCTGATGGAAGGTGACAACCGCCGCCCATAACTCTCTGCAACTCAGGAGTTACAAGTGCGTTGCTGGCCGTTGAGGAAGGAGTACGCTCTTTTCTTGAAGGTTTGAACGGTCGAGTTGAATTGGTTCGGAAATACCAAGTAAAGTATGTATATCTTTTTAAGCATAAACTGCCTGTGCCGTATTTCGTATTGCTAATAAAAACACCCTGAAAGTAAAGGGGTCGAAGAATTACTAGGGAAAAGTCAAATAACTTCTTAATATCGATTTGTGTTTTTTATCTAATTGGATTCAATAAGCTCTAAAATTCAGATCCTTCGTCTTAAAAATTTCGTTAAAAATTGGGTTGCGAACTTGCAATCGAATTATTGTTAATCAACTAACCCGATAAGATGAACTGTAAATAGGTGGGTAGATTAATAAATTATATTGTTGATGTTTATTTAAATGATTCATATAATATTTATTTGTTTAGCGGTTATATAACAATTAATGGAATAAAGAATTAGGAATAATAGAAATAAGTTTTTATTTACTGAGGTCAAAGTTAGCCTATACTATAGTTTCTATTCAAGCTACTTTCTTAGATTATTTATTTTGTTTCTTATGTTGGCCAATTGTGACATCAAAAATTGAAAGAAGCGCCATTGGAATTTTATTCACTTTTATTGAAATTTACTAGCAAATTATTTGTTTTGTTTACATTTTAAGCATTACAAACCGTAGAAAGTTGTACTAATTTTGTAGTTAAGTGCTTGTGAACTATTATATGGCGAGGTTCTGTCTTATATTATTGTTATACGTTTGTGTGGATTTGTTTTCAACCGTGGCGACAGAAGAGACTTCAGCAGCTTGTCGGAGAATTTTGACAACTTATAAAATGGCGGCCTCTTTTGAACTCAAACATGGTTTTTATTTTTCTCCTGTTTAGTGCTATTAGATTTCTGACTAGAGATATTAACTGCATACAATTTAGAAGCTACCATCTTTAACATGGATCATAATCTGGACGAATCTTTGAACTTGGACAGTGCCATGGGAAGTGTAAGTAGCAAATTTATCATGATAAATTTTAACACATTCTATAACTTTGTATAAACTTGAAATATTAACTTGGAGATAATGTTCTGTATATTCATTTTAATCTTGAATTCCTATTTATCAGATTTTGTTCAATTGTCGTAATTCATCGAAGCTACAACTCATTTCAAATAAAAAATCCCAATAGTATACTTACAACTATAAAGACTTGTAGAGATTTTTAAGAATAACATTATTTTATAATAAATATAGAACACTATATATGGATTTTTCATCTATTAAACACTTAAGTCACAGTAAAAATCATTCTAAAATTCAAATATAAAACCAATCACAAACTACTAGTACTTATGACAATAATCTTAAATAGTCTTAATCTTAATCTGTATTCAAAGTTAAGATTTGGATGTGTAATTACATAAGGTTATTTTAAACGATCTTTACATCAAATTCTACATAAAAAAATTAAACACTAAGTTTTTATATCTGTAGGTTGAATGTTTCTCTATGTTTGCAATGAAAATACTCACTAATACACTCAACTTTGAAATTAGATTTAGTACCTTAGCACAACTCTATCTATACAAATAAATAAAATTGGAGTGTCTGTTTGTAATATTAAAATAACTGCTTTTTACTAAATGCAAATGTATGTTTACACGGTACATATGCCAAAATAACATTTTTTACAATTTTTGTCTGTCTGTCTGTTTGTTCCGGGTAATCTCTGGAACGGCTGGACCGATTTCGACGGGACTTTCACTGGCAGATAGCTGATGACATAAGGAGTAACTTAGGCAACTTTTTTTAGACTAGCTTCGCCCCGCGGTGTTGCCCGTGGTTATAACAACAAATGCGGGTAACACCGCGGTTCTCAGCTAGTGTACAATAAATGCACATAATTAAAGTTAATTAAAATGAAGGTAGTGGTCATCTAAGAGAGTTTAATGTTCTTTGTTTATCACATTTCCAATGAACAATTTTTTTTTACTGGTTTAAGAAAATTATCCGTGTGGTGACAGATTAAGAATACAGAGAGTTCTATTGATCTTAATAGCCGACTATGGGAGTATACTATGCCGGACAATAGCACTGCATAGTGAAGGTAAAGTTGACACAAACCCTAAACCAACCCGTCTGGCCAGCAGTAGGCTAAAGCCTCCTTTCTAAACAAAGGCCTATGTCCCAGCAGTGGACTATTAAAGTGTGTTGATGATGAGATCTTTTGTGCAGAGATAAATACTTTCGGTTCAGGTCGCAATTAGTTTTCCACCAAACTATTGTTGTAACTTTTTTTGATATCATTATTATTGTCTGAGCTATCAACCAAAAAATTGTCTCAGAGTAAAGGAACCTGAAGAAACTGAGTTTTTATCTCCTTAAAATGATGCATACCAGCAATTTCTAACTTTCAATCTGAGGAATAAAAGGGTTAAACAGTTACATTTTATAAATATGCAGATCCCTTGATCCATTGAAAATAAGGCTGAAAATCTTATGCAAAAGTATAATCTAGTCCAGCAGACACTGGTATACAATGTTCCTTATAACCACTAACTACTGTTTTTTTATTTTCTGTTCTAGATGGATTTTGATCATTCTGGTGTAGTAGTAACTCAGGAGGACATAGCTTTGGAAACAACTGGCCATGAAGGTGACATACCTATGGAATTTGAGAACATAGAGGAACAGCCAATGCTTATGGACACAGGAAATGAAGAAATTATTGGTAATTACCTTAATACCTAATAGTCAAAAACAAAAAGTGATTCAATTTAAAGTGCTATACTATGCTATTTAGTTGTAACAGTAAAGTAAAAAGAATATTAAAACTAAAAACAGGTATGATCACTTACTTAATTGTTAAAATAACTTGATGCTGGGCCTGTCTTAAGTTTAGATCGGATCAGTTTCAGATGTCTACCAGTACCACTAGATTATTTACACATGTATCTTTTATTTTAGCAAGTCCCTTAAGTTTAGGATAGGAAAAACTCCTATTACAGGCGCAGAATGGCACACAGTGTGGTTTTAGTCTGTCCAATTCCGACACAACACCCCGCCGTAAACTACTGGGGGTAGAAAAACATTTTAAAATACAATAAACTTTACACAAGTTCAAATACAAATAAATTATAGACAAATTACAGAATAAATAACAGTTTTGTAGACAATCTGTAGGTGCAATACCCATACAAAATTACCCATTTCGACTGCACAGATGGCGCTGCGCCAAGTGTTGTGGATTCAATCCCCACATGGGACGACACTTTGTGTGGATCCACAAATTGTTGTTCTGAGTGTGGGTGTTCTTTGTGTCCGTTTCATGTATGTTTTTAAAGTCCCCTGCGACACAGGGTATATTCCTAATGCGGGAGTTGTCTAAAAAAGAAACTGTTCCTGTGTTAAAGCTTATATTAAATACTGTGTTAAAGCTTATATTATATTAAAAACTTATATTAAATTATTATTTATATTTATATTATATAACGTTAATAATTCATACATTTTAAGTATAAAAGAATATAGTTGTACACTTTTTTAGTTTTACCCCTTTTTTAAGTTTCAGATTTTATGGGTGAAGAATTTACATTGCAAGAGTATGCAACACAAGATACAACAGGAGTTTGTGAAACAGTTGATGTCAATGTATGTCATTTTAGTTTATCATAGTAATTTGAGAACAACTGTAGCAAAAAATTATAATGAAGTAAATTACAAGTAAAATTTTTAGTTCAGCGGTTTGGGTTCTATAATATATAAATATTTCTATGTATGCATATGTTAACAAAACAATATATCTATCATTTATATCCTTTTTCTAGCCTAATAGCTACCTAACATATTAGTTTGGGTCTAGAAAGAACATTTTTTACTAATTTATTGGAATTGTTTATTATAAAAGTAAATGTTGATAAAAAAAATTGCATTTGTTAACTGTACAAAATGTTTCTAATAATGCTATAATAATTTTAGCATCTCAACATCCTATCTCAGTCAGAATCAATGATAGACCTCAAGTTTGACCCAGAGATGATGACACAAAGTGTGGCTCCTGAGATTCTTCCTCAAACAAAATATATTCAAGTCAAGGTAAACTAAAAGAATGATCCTTTTTAAAAAACGTTCCATAGTTTTCTTTAAAACGATGTAGATAAAACCTAAGGTATCAATTAAATAAAAAATAAAAATGTGTTTTCAATCTAACATTATTATTTATCGATTGAATCTATTTCTAGTAATCACTTCTAACTACTTCGTTTTTCTTAAAAAAAATTCAAATTTTTTATTCTTCTCATATCACTTTTTAAACCATGGTCCAATATGCATAATATAGGTATGTTGAATGAATGTGCATAAAGTGCATTGCGGGATTACGAAACAAACTATTTAAAGTACTACTATGCTATATTTCAGGCTGCAGTGGCTCCACCTCGTACTATAAAGAAGGAAATGTCTACAGCAAGCACTTTACCACGCCAAGTAGCGATTGCACCGAAACCGCCTAAACTTACTCCTGCAGTCTCTAAACCTTCTTTTACATCTGGAAAACAATTTGCTATTGCACCCAAACCTGTCACATTAGTCGCTAATAAAAATGCGAGTTTAGTTAAAAAGATGGCTCTCACTGGCGTCATTCAAGGCGGTGCTAAAACTGGAAATGCTGTTCTGAGTAAGAATATTTTATTCAATGTGTGAACTAGGAATATATACTGTGTCGCAGGGGACTTTACATACATACATGAAAACATTCAAACTCAGATAATTTGTATATTTATTTAAAATAAATAAATTATTTTAATTGACATTTAAAATTTTCATCTAAAGATTTTCTTACTATAACTATTAGTTTCTGTGGATCAACACAACAAAGTGTTAATGTACTTTGCTTTTTTTTTTACAGCACAAATTGGCAAGCAACTAGTTATGGTGCCAGCAGGAAGTGGTCAGAAAATAAAATTAGTTACATCTGGTTCAGGAATGTCAATGCAATATGTACGACCGAATGCTGATCAGGTACATGCTATAAATATTTTTAAAACAAAATTTTGCCAAATATAATTTGCTCCCACATACGTGAGGGGGAAAGTCATTGCCGTGAACTGGGCCCTTTTGCAATAAGGGAATAGAAAGCAAGAGATATTGCTTATTTGGCAAGTCAGACTTGCCAGACTCTACTATATAGAAAAATTTAAAACAATTTTTTAATGTTTCAGAGTCAATTGATTACAACAAAACAAATTAGCGGCTCTAGTGTGCCAAAACCATTAGTTGGAAAGATTATTGTACAAGGTAAGTCTAAATTAAGGTAAATTATTTATAAATAAGGATGATTCAAGTTTTGGTGATTTATTTTTATAAGGGATTGTTACTTGTGCCTTAAAGTATTAGAAATATTAGTAGTAAATAATGAAAAACAAACCGAAATTAAAGGTAAGATAAAAAACGCGCTCGTTGGTAAATTCTTTTTAAAAGAATATACATTCTTGTATTTCAAAATCATCAATTTTAAACATTTTTGAAAAAAACATCACACTTAAAATAAATCAAATGTAATGTAAATGTATGTCATTAAACTAAGACGTCACCAGTATTCAGTGTTGTAGTTATTTAATTTATTTCCTTTGCTTAAAGATCACCTCATGTTTGTAATTATACCGAAGATGACCATTGTAAAGTAATTCTGTTAGGGTAAAAAGTTTGTTAAAAAAGATCTCTAGGTTTTGAAAAGAGGATGAATACATCTCAGTAAACATTGTTGTATTAAAAACATGAGAATGTCTTCATCCACTGTTAATTGTATAAATTATTTTTATTTTTAAATTTATTTATTAATAAAAAAAGTATTTAATTTTTGCCAGCAGGTCAGCCCAATGTATCCAATATTGACCCATCAAACCAACCAGCCGTGATCACGAAGCTAATGCCAAGTGTGAGCACAGCCCCACATACTAGATATGTGATGCAACAGAAGACTGTACCCATTAGCATTGGGGGGACTAAGGTGACAATGAAGATTAATTTTTGTGCCTTAAAGCAAATACATCTTAATACATTACAATTATGCACTTTCATCTGCATACTACATGCAGAAATGAAGTCATGATATTTTTACTGTATTATATGTTTTAACTTAATTAAAGAGGTAAAAGTATGATAATGGACTGATATCTACTTTATTTTACTTCTTCGGGTAATATATATGATACATAAAAACACATGTATATGTATATATATACACATAAAGAAATCATTATTGTTGGGAGTAGTTTGCAGAAATTGAAAAATGGCTCATTTGCATGTTAAAATATCATTGTTTACTTAATTTTTAATGCACCAAACTTCATGATACTTTTACATTAAGATTATCATTTTTTTATTTTTTCATCTAATGTTTTAACGTGTTATTGATGAATTTTTTTTTACACAATTTACAGGTTTTCTTGACGTCGCCGACAAAACAGGGGATGAAATTCAAAAAGCAAATAATATCAATACAGTCACCTACGCCAAAATTGTTACCAGCAACTACGCAAAGTATAATCAGAGCATTTACATTAAAAAAAATATTTTTATGGTTTATACAAATAATAACCTCTGTATTGGATTGTTGTAGGTGCTACTACTACCAAGAAAGTAGTTATAACGGCGAATCCCACTCAGAATGTTATACTAAAAACCACTGCTCCTCCTAACACAGCTCAGGTAACTTAAGTTAGTTGAAATTTAAAATTATATAGATGGGGCCGTTGGTCTAGTGGTTAGTAACCCTAATTGCTAAGACAGAGGTCATGGGTTCGATTCCCACCCAAGACAAATATTTGTGTGATGAGCATGATAATTTTGTTGTGTGGAGTAATTTATCTAAAATATGGATATATTTATACAGAAATGTTTAAGTATGTGTATCTGTAAGTCTGATTACCATTGCGCAGGCTCTGCCTAGATTGGAATCATATATTATATCATTAGTTCACTCTTGATTGTAGATACAATTCATGATATTCCGATTTTTTTTCTGAAAATAGAATCGGGCTCTTTTAGTGTTATTTTTAACTTATATCAGCACTCACTATTGTTTTAAAATGAAGTTGATGTACACAGTTTTAAAGTTCTGAAAATCTGTTTATATAATTATAGGCAGTCAGCCAAAAAGATGCTTGATATAACAAAGACAATATCCGTAACATAATGTTACATATATGTAACATTATTTTACGGATATATGTAACACTATGTTACCGATTTCTATGTGACGAGAGCTTTTAGTCAAAAACTTTGCTTTTAAAGTTGTACTCTTACTGCTGTAATATTACAAACCAAGTTCAACTGCGCTATACGTAAACTGATTAAAAATCCTATTTATAATGTCGCTCAAACAGTAAACTCGTATTTTAGGTGTCAAAAGAAGGACAGATAACTCAATTACATCAAATCAGTGTTCCTGGCAAAGGCGTAAGTATGATATTACTGTCATATCCTTATTATCTTAAGATTACACTAATCTTAACTTCCTCAAAGAAGAATATAAAATAATCAGAGAAATGCATAGATTGATCCACTTCATACCTCAGTTTTTAATTATGAGTAAGTGAAAATGTCTATAAAGAATTAATCAATAACAGATGACTTCCTTACAAAACCTTTACAGATCCAATACATCCGACTGATAACGAACCCAACACCTGCACCGCAGAAACCACAAGCGGCGGTCAGTCTCCCTTCAAAAAGTTTCGTCCTTACGGATACTAAAGGTAACAAATGTTCATTTTACAAGAGTTAAATAAAACTGTAACATGTGTGTATTTATATAATCAACAACTACGCCCACTATATTTTTTCCACAATAATTTTTAGTAATCCTGGAAATGATCGAAATTTGAGTTAGTTTACCCGACTGCCAAGAAAGAGTCATGTTTTTCTCGCCTATCTTGTTTGTTTGTAAATTTCTAGATTACCTCGTATCTTCCAAATGGCTGGATGGATTTCGACAGTAAAGGTATTCTTCTATCCGTCTCAAAAACACGTTTAAAAAAAAAAAGTGGCGGATTTAAGGCGCAAAATAGTAATAGGTTCATAAAAAAAATATTACCAAACCTATCAAGTAGGGTATACAAATTAACAAAATTGAAAGGGGATTACAAAAATATAAATATAAGTTATATATTTAAATTTAATACAGAATAATAAATTGTGTTAAAAAGTTTTTGATAGCGTAAACAATCCAATTTTTGTGTCGGACATCGTGCTGTTTCGGTATTTTTAGTGCATTACTTTTAAGTTGTCTTTTTGTTGTCGGGTTTTTGATTTTTTATACTTTTTTATTATTTTCCGTAATTTCTTACGTAGAATTATACTTTGCAGGTAATTTAATTTATATGTCAGGACAAAACTTAGTTAGTGACGAACCGCCTCCATTAATAACAACCGGAAGTGCGACAACTCCCAAAAGTAAGCTTAAAATTTGGATTTTTAAACAATTTTTAAACTTGAAATTGCTGCAGTACCAATATTTCCATAAAATAATAATTTGGTCTACGTAGCTGGGATTTACGCACTTGGTAAAATATCCGAATATTTTTTTTAGGTTGCCATACTTTTTGACAAGCTAACTTTTTAATCCATTTTCTAAATAAATTTTAGAAAATAGAAAACGCTATTCAAATATATATGACACTAACTCTAATTACAAAAATGTGTTTCTCTATTTGAAACGATATAATTTGAAAATATTAAACATGGAACAACAATCTTTTGGAATGGTTCAAAATTAAAAAGTCAGTTGTCAATAATAGAATAACAATACCGATGCAAGTACGACGTTCGTGAAGCGTTTAATGAGAATTGTTTTAATTGTGCAGTGACATCAAAGCCACAGAAGAAGTTGGTGCGAATAGCGCCCGTTGCTGCGAAACCCGCGCCTTCTGTGACGGTAAGCAAGCTACATTCATACTTTATATAAAAACTTTTAATATGTTATAGTATAATCCTCAAAAATGACTGAAGTAATTTAAATAACTTTATTTTGACTATTTTGTCATCCCTGAAAATATTTTTTTTTGGTGCATCGCAAAATGAAGCTTTCAAATTCATAATACGCAATACCGAATTGGGTGGGTTATATTTTAAACTACTTCAAAACAGTAGTTCTCTTACACCTATATATAAGTCAAACTATGAGTAGTCAATTATTATGTTAAAATTTATTGTTTATCCTAAAAAGACCTGGTCCTTTATACTTTTTAAACGAACATTCACTTTCTTAAAATATTTCTGTTTGAAACTCATGTTTAAAATAGTAGGATGTGTTTAATGTTACTTAAGAATTGACGATATTTTGTATACACCCGTCACATAAAAAAAAATGCAAAAAGCTTTCCCCAATGTGGCGTAGATCCCAGCCCTGATCTGTATGTTATGATTAATGTTCTCATAAAATTATCATTTCAGCAACATCCGTCGCGATCATCGCAGAGTTTGCTTGCACCACTGTCGCCTATCGAAACTATTGAACAAATCGAGCAGACAGGCGACCTGCTCGAGGAGCGCGTAGAAATAGAAGTCAGTGGTATCGAAGGACAAGAAGATTCGCAGAGTGAGTCTAAGGCCGCCCTTCGAGCTCTGTTGGGTGACGTGGGGGGCGCCACTGACTACCAGCAAGAGCACCACGACGAACTGCGAGCTCAAGGGCACTTAGAGCCTGCTATGCATGAAGTTGAAGTGGAGTTTGAGAGACAACAGGTTCATATTGTAACATACATAGAATTACTTGACTGTTCTGTTCAGACGTCACTAGCGATTATCGGTACCCGCTGCTAACAGCTTAGTACAAAGTTGCCTGTGGACTGGTTTATCTCCACTGTATTTAATAAAATAATTGTTGACTTCATAAGGTTGCTTTTGGTAAATCAACATCAACACCACATTTGTATGACACTTCTTTGGCGTGTGAAAATTCTCACAGTTCATCTTAATTCTCACTGCGGGCTGTATCCGGAAACCGACTAAAACTAAACAGGAACGTTAACTAAGACATAAACTAGAACTAGCGTTGTTTGTCTCCTGGTGTGCTGGGACTGAGGAGTGTGAAGGGTTTCCCCTTTTATATTATTTCGCAGTATACATTACCAATTTTTTTGGTAAATCCTCAGACACCAGTGGAGGAAGATCCAAACAGCATGGACGCGCTCGATTCTAGCCACAGATCGGATGAGCATCCACTTATTGTCATACCATCCAGTTACGGAAAACAGGCCCAAATTAGGGTCAGCAGTGATAACTCGCGACGAATAGTAAGTTGGTAGTTAGTTTAGAGTGGTGTACATGTATAGATTTCTATATAATGTTAATTATAAAGTCTCTCTTGTTGTAGTTAAATCAATTTGTCTGATTTTCTTTTCAGAATGATTCTAAAGACTACCCCAATATGCAGGTCAACATAGAAGGAGAATCACTACCAGCACCTTATCTATCGCCAAAGCAATCGCAAGCAGCTCTATCTGAAAGTGGTAACTATTTTTTTCATTTAAATAATTCGCTTTTTTATCGTTATTCCTAATTACTATAAACTGTTCTAAAAGAAGATCCAAATACAATACTAGATACATTTTGCAAACTCTTTATTAAAATATAATTTTTTTAGTCTTCTTATATACAGATAAAAATCGTGTTTGTCTCTTGTATTTTACGCTCGCCTATACCGTTAATTCCGATCATAATTAAATTAGGTGTACACGTTAAAAAACGGATAGCAGAATATACATATTACATATTTTTTTCATAAAAAAATAATGATCCGAAAGAAAAAAGGCTACTTTACTTGAGTGAATCCGATTGTATATTCTAGTATCTTAAATAATTTACCAAGCTATCGAACTTCTTGGTAAAGTTTCTTATTATAAATGTGCACTTTTGAATAACATTCTTTAACCAAACACCCAATATACCTGTAGTTAAATGTATGACAATCGTTAGACATAAATATTAGACTTGCAACGAATAGTATATTCGGCAGTATACCGAATACCGAATATTCGGCGAGGCCCCTGACCGAATAGCCGAATATTAGGCAAAAGTATTCGGCTGGATTTTAGCGCCAAAAACTTGTACAGACGTGAATTAAATTATGTACCTGTTTTATGTACCAATGACTACTTAATAAATGATTATAAAAGAAATGAGAACCTTACCCTTCTAAATTTTGATTACCACAATAATTCAAATACATAGAATCCTCCATTTTTCCATTTCAGAAGATGATTATGTACCTGTGTTATGCACCAATGACTACTTAAATGATTATAACAGAAATGAAAATATGAATATATACGTAATCAATCGATTTTAATTTTTCATTTTACCAATTATTTCTTAATGACAAAATATATTATTTAAGGATTCGGTATTCGGCCGAATATTATGCAGATATTCGGTATTCGGCCGAATATAATAAAAGCAGCCGAATAGGCCGAATACCGAATAGTAACCGAATATTCGTTGCAAGTCTAATAAATATTCATATCCATCGAATGTTTTATAAAAAAAATACATACATGACATGATTATAATGTATGTATTGTAACTAAGTCAAAACTAAATTTTATGGGCAAACGATTAAACTCAAACATTTCTTGGTAAATATTAAACAAAATTGCAAAATATTATTCTTGAACACAGATAGAACAATGTAACCGCTTATAAATAATGACTGTTTAAAATAAATGTGCATCAGTGGGTATCCAATCGCATAAAATCTGATTATTAGATTTGGTGTCAGGTGATTTGGGGCTTCGACCGCGCAAGGCGTGTAACTGCACCAAGTCTCAATGTCTCAAGTTGTACTGCGACTGCTTCGCCAACGGGGAGTTCTGCAACCGGTGCAACTGCAATAACTGCCACAACAATCTGGAAAACGAAGAGTTGAGGCAGAAGGCTATCAGAGCGTGTTTGGATAGGAATCCAAATGCATTCAGGTAAACACATACAGTACCAGTCTTGCTAAATAAAAATTTAACTGCATGGATGGCGTAGTGGTTTAAGTGGTGTTGTGGGTTTGAGACTACACATGAGACTACACTTTGTCTGACCCATATTACATGATTTAATCCTAGTGCGGTAGTTGCCTTTTTAAAAACAAAACACACAGCATTCAAAGCAGCAACAGTCACACAGCTCAAAAGTGGTATTCTTTTATAGGTAGCAACGCTTTGTTTACACATTAAACAGGTTTCTCTTTAGGTTTTCAAATAAGATTTTTTTAAACAACAATGTACGTTTTTATAATACGTTTTTTGTTAGTATATGTAAATTCAAATTGCATGATCTCGTCTGTAATCGTGAAATTTTAACTTAAGGTGTCATGGAACGATCGTCTATAAAATCTAAATCTGTTTAACGAATTACAAGGTTAAGAAGAGCATTCAACCAGTGCTGATGTTTGTAAAATACATGAATATCTAGTTGCATTTGTTTAAAAATATGTATGTTAGTGACCATGTCCTAGGCTTCACACTACAAGCTAGCAAGCTATGCTTACCTCTACTATTGTGTAGATAGTATAATTATGTGTTAAGAATATTATTTTTTCCCTCAAAAAACGGTATCGTAATTTTTTTTAGGCCAAAGATTGGTAAAGCGAAAAGTGGGGGTCCAGATATAGTCAGAAGGCACAATAAAGGATGCAATTGTAAAAGGAGTGGATGTCTCAAAAACTATTGTGAATGTTATGAGGTAAGTTATTATAATGCCAAATAAAAATGCTAATCAATATAAATTTCACCAGAGGAGTTCCAGTGAAAAAGGCCAATACGGATGTTAGTCAAGGTTTCCGCATGCTTTTAGTCCCCAAGTGCTATTACTATATACCAGTTCCCACTAACATCATAAATGCGAAAGTAACTCTGTCGGTCTGATTGTTACGCTTTCGTGGGTAAACAGCTGATCCGATTTTAATGAAACTTGGCATGGAGATATTTTGATTCTTGAAGGACATAGGTTACTTTTTACTGCAATGACTGACACACATGCGGTCGGAGCCACGGGTCAAAGCTAGTTTTAAATAAAAATACACAAATCTGAAGCCGGTGGTTAAACTTGCTGTAGATATAGACATACGCGTTAATAAAATCTTTAAATTTTCAAAGGGTTCAACGGCGATCTTGGTAACTTCTTAGCGTTTCGTATTCCTAACGTGGTATTCTTATAGTTTCGTCTCTCTGTCCTTCCCTCCGTCGGCGGCTTGAAGTTAGACTGTTTAAGAGTATTTTCTAAATATAAAATTATAAAGTATAGCATTAACTAATAAAGCTGTATTGACATTTATATTAGTAATAACTAGGTAAAATGAACTCCCGACAATATATTTTTAATGTACTTCTCCTGTACAGTGAAATTAGTCTCGAGAAATTTTTGCATATGTAGTGGTGTGTATATTACTCAGATCTTAGAGCGCGTTTCCACTATATCGTTCTGGCCTATACAAAAATGTTTCGATATCCTAACATTACTATTTAATTTTATACTTATCCCTAGCAACACTCTGATTTTTGTTTTCAATAAAATCAAGTTTTTATTTTAAAGAAAATGGTTTTGACTTTATGAAAAAAAAGGTGTGTGTGAAAATTCACACACGATAGAATTGAAACTTCAAAGAGGAGAGACCGATATTTAAATTCTTTTTTTTTCCTTTCATCTAGGTTTTTAAAACTCCGGGGGTTCTACGGGGGGTCAAAATTTTTGTTATTTTTGGCCTAGGACGCACCGTTTCCGAGATATTTCAATCTAAAGCAAAAAATCGTCACTTGATAGTGGAAAGTGGAAACACGCACAAAACCAGAATAAACCAGTTTACGCTGTCCATGACCATACACTACTACAAACGCAAAAAATTGTCCAAGCTAATTTACCTGTAACATAATATAGGGATGATTTATGATTTAGATTGACCGGAAAGATATTTTGAAAACATGGGTGTGAAGGCTTTTTTTGATTTGTTAAGTTTCGCCAGCGACTTTACCTTCTAGGGAGGGTTAGGAGTTTCTGACGAAAAGTGAAACGTTTTGGTGGCAGTGAAAATACTCAAAAAATAGCTGGCAAAAATGTGTGCGAAAAATTTCTATCTATGAGCGCATATAAGAAACAGCTTTTAATTATTAAATTAAAATTTGTTACAAAAATATTCTTCGTTATAGGCGAAGATAGCTTGCACTACGATGTGTAAGTGTGTGGGGTGCCGCAACGTTGAAGAAACACTGGAACGACGACGAGACGCCATGCGCCTGCGGGACAAGCTGGCTGACCCCATGTTCCGGCCCCCTACCGTCGGACAAGTCAAGTTAGTACATATCTTAAAACAAAATTTACGTGTGAAATGGAGCCCCAAGGAGCGCCTACTATCCCGGTCTCGGGCAGTCCGCATCCATCCCGCTGCCAGCCACTTTCCATGAGCTCCTTGGAAGAGGCCTTCGTTCAGCAGTGGACGGCGGTAGGCCGATGTTGATGATCATATAAATGTCTACCAGTGTACTTTCATGTTTATCTTCCAATTTCACTATTCAAATCAGGCCGGTTTATGTATGCGTCGAAGGAAAACGCAGATTTTGAAGCAATAAGCCCTTTAGTAGTAGTAAGTAGTAAAAAATACCTTATTAGTATTTATTTCGTTAATGTCAAAAACAAAAAAAATAATGAGTATTAACTCAATACAGTGAGCGAGCGTAGAAATACTAAATCATTGAGGTAAAAAAATTAGTTAACAAAGAGCCTATTGGCCTATTCATATGATATTTGAGTCGCTTAACTTCAAACTCAGATAAATCCAATTCTGAGAATTTGGTATCAAAATAAAGGGTAAGAAACAAGCTTTGAAACAATTTGTCAGTTGTCTATGAATCCGCAAGGTTTTAAAAAAGAACCTAGTCAACATATTTTATTAAAATTCGATAGATGCATGAGACAGTTCTTTCAATTGTAATTAAGTCCATCCGAGCCAATCAGCGAATTACTCTTGTTCAACATGGCGGTCAGTTGACGTAAACTCTGCGACAATAGCACAGTACTCTCTCGCTTTTTCTTGCTTATTTTTAAAAACTAGCGAGTTCGAATGGATAATTCCATTAAAATTTTGCCACCAAACAAAGCCCGCGAACGGCCTGATATGAAAGTGGGCCTTAAGAAAAAGGAAAGATCAAAAATTCGTTAAGTTTGAAATACCTATCATGCATCATTTGGAAATCCTGCGTTGGCACTTGTGTTGTGCTAATTATCGATGTATCGATTATCTATATTTTGTTGTTCACTGTTACAGAATAATTTGAATGTAAAAAGCATGTATAAATTCAATATTATTACATATTATATGAACTGTCCTATCATACTTGTGTACTTGGTATACAGGAGCAAAATGTAAGTTCCAAAATATTCGTGCCTTGTGGAGTTGGCCGTCTGATTAAGTTTTGCAATTATTTTTTTTGGGTTTACTCCTTAAGAATGGATTTTCATATGAGGCGCCCGGTATGAAAAAATATGAAGAGTAAAATTTTGCTATCGAATGACCTCGTTACGATTTTTGTGCGCAACGTATCGTGCGCACCTTTCACTTTTTAGTAATGCGTGTGTTTAACTTGTATACGTGTATGCAGGCGAATCATTCTTAAAGAGTAAAGACCAGTCGTGATTCGGAGCTGCACGCTATATAAAATAAATAAATTAAATAATCGTTTAGAAATTTTAATCTAGACATAAAAAAATGATTCAGAAGAGATATTAAATTTTGTTTAAATATTAAAAGATTTTGATTTTGGTAAAAAAAAAATATTTAACTTTTTTTTAAATAACTAAATTTCCCCATTTGGTCCGTATTTTTTTCATGATATATTAAGTCGGCTATCACAAATTTTACAGTCGATAGTATTCCGTAATTTCGCCACTTCCACATCCCTAGTTATATTCGTATTTTTTCAAATCTAGCTATATTCAGTTCCGTTAAATCAAAGTCCTATAAATCCACACCGAGTTTTTTCAAAGATAGATAAATCGCATTCAATTATATCAAACGAAGGCAAATCCGCAAATTGGTGGTTTTCATAATTTGCTGAACAGAATCGTTTTCTTCAATACTGTTCTCATAATAATAAAAGACCAACTTTCAAATCATCGAATTAAGATAATTATCACTTTTTCTTCAATATCTCCTGAGAAGGTAGAGTGGATTTATAGGAGTTTGAAGTTAGGCGACACATTTAATGATCAATTTTTATGCTCTTACAGGCAACCGTGCAGCTTTATGACATCAGAGGTCATAGAAGCTGTTTGTCAGTGTCTAATTGCTGCTGCTGTCAGTGGAGAAGTCGAGGGAGAGGGAGAAGGCGACGGGGATGAGGAAAGCGGCCCAAGACCTGACGCTGATCCTATCGGAGACGTTATAGAGGAATTCGCGCGCTGTCTGCAGGATATCATCAGCGCTTCGCACCAGTCTACGTCTGTTAAAGACGAGGTATTTATGAAGACCTTTAATTTATGCAGAAAATATGAAGTCTTAGACTGGTGTTCATATGAATTAAAGATATTGTCAGAACGTCAGTCACATGTAATTTCAAGGATACACGACTATTATACTTATTTTTATTATACCCAACTGTTTATACAAAGATTGATTTTGTTATACCAAGTAGACCTTGACACTTGACTAATTAATAGGATAAGGGTAAAAACTTTTACGAGATCGACTTACTGAATACGGTATTAGAAGTATGGGACACTGTAGACATGGGACGAAATCACAGTGAACTGTGAATGAAAGGTGATTTATCATTCGTTTTTACTTACTACTTACTCACGCCTTGTTGTCAATAAGCTATTTTCAGATGATAGATATAGACCCTATTTCGCTTATTGAACAGTAAAACTAGTAATTATTTTATTATATATAGCTACCATTCCCTACATAATAATTAAAAAATACTAGATTTACTGTCAAATATCGTCCAACCTACCTACCTACCTAGCCGTAACCTACGTACGCAAAAACCGAATGAAAAATCACAGTTAGAATGCATACATTGGAGTTGTCAGCTGATGTTCATTAATAGTTTTAGTAATATAATTAATAATAATTTTAGTACAATTTTTTTTTGTTACAGGGTCAATCCTGATATAAGAAGCGGCGTCGTATGACGTTGGCACCTAGAAATTTTACATTGATATGGATTAAAGTTGCGTTCTTTGTACTCTTTCTCCATGTTTGGGTAAGATTTGAGGCGCCGAGATTGCCCCATAGACACAATGAGCTTAATACCAATGCAATAATGAGAAGGAAACAAATGCATAAGTAAATTTTATTTAGCAAAAGTTTGCACAATGCAATACTAGATAATTGTATAAAGCTACCAACTCTCTTGAAGTATAACAATATGACACATAAAGGTACAGCATACAATTTGACGTTTTGATTACATGTCTCTCAACTCTAATTTGCCACAACTCAGAAGTATTGAGCTATGTTAATTTTAAGTGCAATCGGTAGGTAACAGGACTTTTAGGAAATACTTGAAATGCTAAATATTGATATAACTGTAAATATATAATAAATATTCTAATATATAATTTATATTTTAATTAAATAATTTGAATATGCATGAGTCATTGTTTCGTAGACACATCTGACCTTTAAAATATACATAGCTCTTGGTGCAGCGTAAATATGGCTGCCTTTAGACTGTTAGTACATAAATATTAATCAATGACAAAAGGGATTTCTTTCCGATATCGACTACATTTTAAAGAAAATAATTATATAGAAAATAGTGTGGAATAGTAATAATTTTAATTACTAGGTATAACAAAATTGTTATACCATTTTAAGACTGCTGCCGTGTATTATTGCGATTATTCATTTAATAAAATTATGCATTTTTGTATAATCTGTTTTAATATGGAATAAAGCTGTACAATAATAAATTGCTAGATTTTTATAAATGTTTTGTTAATGTAAAAATGTACATAATGTTGTTGTAAATAAAATATTTACTAGTCTTAAGTATACCTTTGACATAGGTGGAAGTTATTGTAAATAACTGATATAAATACAATGTTTCTTGATATGACTGCAGTTTTATTTATTCATTTATTAAAAATTTATAGAAAATATTATTCCCCTCTGCCAGTCTACCTAATTTCCGCATATCATCATATCATATCATTATCATCCAAAGATGATAATGCAGAAATTAAAATGTGATAAGTACTTGCAAATATGCGTGAAAAAATGAACTGTGAGAAATGTTTGTGTATTTGTGTACACAAACAGTTCCTAGAATACCTCAAGAACGTTTGATAGGAAAGGAAGGATAGGGATTGGATAGAAATGCTCAGGAAGAGAAGGATTATTCATTTTAGGGAATAGGATGATGTAGGCTTTGTGCCAGAGAGGGAAAAGTTTAGGATTCGAGAAACGTCAATGTCGGCTATAACTTCGATGACGTAATCCAGGATCTCAACTATCATTCCTACGGCTACAACAGATTGCGTTACAACAGACCGATAGGATGATCTTTCTGATGTCAGAAGGCTGAGGCAAAAATTCAGAGTTGAAAATATTGGGTCTGGGCAGATACAATCCAGGGTCTGATGACGGACGGTTTAGTAGAAGAGAAATGAAGATTAATATCATTTAAACTAATGAAACTCGGTCCGTTGTTGTCTACCAGTGCCCAACTTGTTAAGGACACATACTAGAGGTATTGCTCTTAAAGATGCCCAAGGGGCAAAGGAAACGATTGCCACCATGAACAACCATGAAACATGATTGCGCCATGGTACGGAGCGTGCGCGAGTGCGTGGAACTTGGCAGTCTCCTTCTGCGAGCAAGTTATGCTTGCGAAGAAGATGGCAGAGGAGGGCCGGGAGAGGTTTAGAACTCTCCAGGCCCGCCAGGCCCGGAAATGGGCGAGGTACTGCAGACGACTCAGGTGCCGGAGGTTGCAGAACGACTTCCGTCCTCCATGAGCGCAGGCCGGGGAGTAACAGGTATGGCCATTTGTAACCCTAGCAGAAGCAGGCTGTGGTGGCGGCGAGACGCGCTGTGGAGCGCGCGCACCCTTTCGGAAGTACAAAAGGAACATGGGGTTCCTACACAGGAGGAGGTTATCGCGACGTGGATGCCCCGAGGTGCGTCGGGGTATAAGAGATTTATTTTCTAGGGTACACCTGGTTCTCCGGCTACTGGTACCCAAGTACTGGGTTTTGGTCGGTTTGAGTCCGACATAACCACCTCACCGGTGGGTGGTATCCACCGAGGGAATTTTCTAAAGAAGAAAAAATAAAAAGGGGGCAAGGGACTTTGACAGTTGAGGAATTAGCAAACTTTGGTAATCCTCTCTTGATACTGCTTCATTTCAATGCCGATGTTGAGTTAAGAGACTATAGGTATAAACAGAGGAATAGAATAAAGTTAAGTCTTTTATCTGCTATGTTAAGAATACGCTGTGGTTTGAAGTTGGACGGAGAATGCTGCAACAAATATGAAAACCCAATAAATGTTGTAAAGCAAATCGGTACCAATGAATCGTATTAATCTGGAACCGATGATGATGGTGGTCCCAGTCGATCAGCCTAACGTTTAAGTTTAGTTTACTTTATAAAATACAAGTTTAGTTTTCTATCTTATGTCGCTATTATATTTTATCAATTTTAAGAACCTTTGACGGCCAAAAAATGAATGAAGGAAAAGCACAAGTAGGTACCTTTTTTTTGTTGACGGGGTGGAAAATCGGCTCCCGGCTCCTTGGGGACATAGGATCCAGGAGTATGTGTTGTTTCCACAAAAAACACCCCGACAGCCGGTCTCAGGCGCCCTGCTCTGGGGAGGAACCGGACATTGTTATTTCAGGTCCCTCCCGGATCGACGCCAAGCCTAGCCAGGCCCTATCTCCCGTTCAGCGGTCCCTTTCCAGAGCATTACAGCTTCACAGAAGGAGACCACTGCGCCCTAGCCCTCCTCACCCGCCAGCATGGCAGCAATGATTGCTGGCGGGGAAAGTAGGTACCTACTGTAAGAACCGCCATACTAATCAGTCACCATATCTCAATGTCAAATAAAAACTGTCTCTCGCAGCTATTACTGAATATTCGTCTCTAATATATTAGATAAAAGTTATTAAGCCGGCCGGAATAAAGCAGCTTTTAGCAGAATCGCACGTGGTCATTTCTCTTGTTTCTATAAATAAATCATTGTAGTTAAAAATATAACAGTGTTCACTGTGTTCAGTTTCTCGAGTTCGTGCAGTGGTTTCGGATTTTGTGCTCGATTTTATAAAACTGGTACACCATGATCTCTCGATATGAAGTGCAGACTTCTGAAAAACTCGGCAGGTGCGTGCATAAAAGTTATGTTGTTGCTATGTTAGGGTTATAACAAAGGTATGTAGATATGTGCTGATATTTTGTGTATCGAATTCACTTTTTATTGTACATGATCGCTGATCAATAAACACTATTTACTATCCAGATAACTGATTTTATTGACCATTAGAAAAAAAATATCACAAATTAGAATAAAAAATAACACAACTGTTACTGATTTATAACTAATACAATTTGTAATTAATACTAATAAAACTCAGTAGGTACCTAGTAATATAGTAGCTAGCTAGCTACGAGTAAATGTTACATGTACTAGCTAGTAATTATAGTACTTAATAGCTAGTACATGTAACATGATACATAATATTGTGTATTATTGATATGTATAGGTACATATGCTTATTTGGATTTAACAGGAATTTGATTTGTTCATAAGCCGTCGTTATGACCTTGCACTGTCCGTACCTGTAACAGATTCTATGCAACTTCAATTTCATAGTGGGACACCCATCATGATCGATGTCCTGTGGTAAATGTCGTATTCTTAAGAATATTGAGTACGTCAAATTTATGTTCTAATTGGGGACAGTTCGACAGCACCACTCAAAAGGTAGGATAGTTAAATATAGATATCAGGCATATATTGTTTTAACGAAATTCATTAAGAAATTTAAGAAGTTTACAAAAATTTGCTTAGATAATAATTGATAAAATGTTAGATTTCCAAACATTTCATTGTCCATCTAGTTACTACTTTTCCCAAAATAACAAATATAGGTGCCCAATGAAATGGTTAATCTAGCATATTTTAACTTTGCCGAATGTCTTAATAAAAGCTGTTCCCGGATCCCCCATGTTTCAGGCGTAGAGTGGCACACCGTGTGGTTTTAGTCGTTTCGAAACCGACACACCGCCTCGCGGGGATTTTATACACGTATTTTTTTTTTTATTCTATCTTTATTTTCATTGTTATTTTTATTTTCTTTGTCGTAGACACTTAGTTGCTGCTAAAGATCTAAAAAGTGGTGAGACGATACTGTCGGATGAACCATTCGTGTTGGGTCCAAACAGCGACACTTCTTTGGTATGTTTCAACTGCTATTTGCCGTTGATGAGCAAGTTTGTGGTGTGTAAAAACTGTGGTGTAGCGCCTATCTGCCCTGGAGATGGGTGTCCGGATCATCTTGCTCATAAAAGTTAGTAAAGTTCTTTGATTAGGTTTTTACCCAAATAACTACCTATTTTGTGTGTACTACTTAAAAATATCACAATAATTACTCTTAATTGAATATCATAGTACGTCTGTGTCCGTGTAGTGACGGATTAAGAATACGGACTGTCACTACCCCAATTCATCTCGTGGGTGTCGTAAGAGCCGACTAAGGGCGCAAAACAATGCAGGTCACCAGCACCGCAAAAAGAAGGAAAACTTGACCCAAACCCTATACCAACCCGTCGGGCCAGCGTGGCGTAGCCAAAACCTCCTTTCTAAGGAGAGGCCTATGTCCAGCAGTGTATGTATACACAGACAAATTGTACCTACTCAATAATATTTTTTTAATAGGGAGTAAGTATAAAACAGTGATTCAATCAAAATGTTTTCTTATTTCCAGAGTGGCATACTAGCACAGAATGCGATTTCTTCAAAACTCTAAAGCTAACTAACGGATTACATCCAATGACAATGGTTCAAAATGTGGGATCTTTGTTAGCTTTACGAGCATTCATGAAAAGGAGCGTCGATGTCAAGGCTTGGGATGAATTTATGAAACTGGAAAGTCATTTGGAGAAAAGGAAGCATACGAGCGCATGGGAATATTCAGATAATACTGTTAAGGTTCATATAAACTAAAATTTTAAGTAATTGCATTGATTGAATAATGACGAAACCTTAGTAATTTATACTGGTTACAATGCAAATGGTGCAGTACCAGGAAAACTCCTGTCCAATTAACAAACCCTCGAGAACATCCCGTAAAAAGCAACAAGTGTTTATTTTGAAAGCACCTCTTTCAAAATAGGCACTTATTGCTTTTTAGCAGCAGTTAAAGTTAACTTATTAAAACATATAAATTCCACCTCTTAAATTTAAAAAACTAATAAATGAAAAATGCATGCTATTCTACTTTCTAATATACCTGTTTGGCTCCTTGAAGTAGTTACCTTTTTAAAGTTATTATTTTAAGTTTATATCATACTTATCTATTCTTATAAAAGAAGAAACTGGCAGACCGATTGACTGACTGATCGAGCACCGCACAGCTGAAACCGCTGGTTCTAAAAGCATAAACTTAAAATTTAAAAGCACAAATGTTTCTTAGGTGACGTAGGTGTGTACTAAAAAAGGATTTATAAAAATTCAAATTTCAGTGCAAAATAGGGGTTAGTAATTTATATTAAACTTAGTTATTTTTAGTAGTAGCGTTTTCGAATTCAGAGTAAATACTCTTTATTAAAAGTAATAAAAAACGTTGTTACAAAACTACCTTTAAAAAGGGGTGCAAATTTGTATGGGTAACTTTTTTTTAACTTATCGATTCCAAAGTCAGTATACTTATATTCTCTATTAAAATATCCTACTTTTTAATATAAACACCTACTTTTTTAATTCTTCAAAAGGTAAGAGGTAAGCGCAACCGTAGGATAAAGCTAGTGTTTTCATAATAAAGTCTAACAAACCTACCATATTTGCTAAATGCAAGCTCCCCGTGTCGTTTCAGTTTATCCAGTCATTACATGTAGCAGGCGTCGTACCGGACGAAAACTTGATCCAAAAGATATGTGCAGCAATAGATGTTAACAGCTTCGAAGTACGTGGTCCAGCCATCCCAGCAATAGGATGTGCAGAAGTTTTACGTGGAGTTTATCTAAAGGCTGCATTACTAGCCCACGACTGCGTAGGTAACACGCACATGTCCATAAATGATAATAATGTTCTTGTATGCCATGCTAGTACAAATATTAAGAAGGGCGACATCATTTACTACAACTACACAGATCCTTTAAAGGTTTGTATCAACGTATTTGGTTATTGGTCCAAATATATATATAGGAAAACAGATTTTTTTAGGGTTAATTTAAAATGATTACAACGTTAGCGACCGCATGGCGTAGTGGTTTGTGTGATGAACTGCTATTCCAAAGGTCGAGGGTTCGATTCCCGCTCAAGTCAAACATTTGTGTGCATGACCATTTAATGTTTGTCAACAGACAACCCCAGACATCTTCTAAAATGTCTTATCGTTTGCTTCACGTGCAACTCGAATCGAGCTTTTATACATGGTGTAGAAAATCAATTCAGTACATCGTAAAACTAGTCCTAGCACGGTAACGTTTCTCGGTTCGTAAAGCTACACCTGTTGTGATTTACATACAATGTAAAGGACGCAAAGACGACTGGATGGCGTAGTGGTTTGTGTCATCATCATCATCATCATCATCATCAGCCTATCGCAGTCCACTGCTGGACATAGGCCTCTCCCATTGCACGCCACTTAGATCGATTTTGGGCTTCTCGCATCCAGCTCCTGCCAGCCATCTTGCGCAAATCGTCACTCCACCTGGCCTGTGGGCGTCCTACACTACGTTTGCCGAGACGCGGTCTCCACTCAAGAACTCGTTTTCCCCAACGGTTATCGGTTCTGCGGCTAATATGGCCAGCCCACTGCCACTTCAGCTTGCTGATCCGGTACGCTATGTCGGTGACCTTAGTTCTCTGCCGGATCACCTCATTTCTGATGCGATCCCTTAGAGAAACGCCGAGCATAGCCCTTTCCATAGCACGTTGAGCGACTTTGAACTTGTGGACCAGCCGTACCGTAAGTGTCCACGTTTCAGCTCCGTATGTCATGACGGGTAGGACGCACTCATTAAAGACTTTCGTCTTAAGGCACTGTGGGATCGACGATGAGAAGACTCGACGTAGCTTCCCAAACGCTGCCCAACCCAACCGAATTCTTCTGTTCACCTCGTCCTCGAAGTTGTTTCTACCTAACTGCAATGTCTGCCCGAGGTACACATAATTTTGAACAACTTCGAGAACGGCACCGTGTACCGCAATCGGTTCCGGTAGTACATGTTCGTTGAACATGACCTTGGTTTTATCCAAGTTCATCCGTAGGCCGATGCGTACAGAAGTGTCAGCTAAGTCATTCAGCATTTGCTGTAGGTCCTGCAACGTCTCTGCCATGATGACGATGTCATCTGCAAATCGCAAGTGAGAGATGTATTCGCCATTGATATTGATGCCACGCCCTTTCCAGTGCAGCGTCTTGAACATGTCCTCCATTGCATTTGTGAACAGTTTCGGGGAAATAACGTCCCCTTGTCTCACTCCTCGATGCAATGGTACGGGCCTTGTTTGCTGATTCTGTACTTGGACGGACATGGTGGCGGCTTCGTAGAGACATCTCATCACTTGGATGTATCGCCAATCTACTTGGCAACGCTGCAGGGACTCCAGAACAGACCAGATCTCGATCGAGTCAAAGGCTTTCTCATAGTCCATGAATGCTAGACACAGGGGCTGATTTTATTCTTCGGTCTTCTGTATAATCTGCCGCACTGTGTGGATGTGGTCTATGGTGCCATATCCGCTCCGAAACCCAGCTTGCTCCGGTGGTTGGAATTCGTCGAGTCTTTGCGCAAGACGGTTCGTGATGACTCTCGAAAACAGCTTGTAGACGTGGCTTAGAAGGGATATGGGTCGATAGTTCTTCAACCTGGTCTTGTCACCCTTTTTGAAGAACAAGACGACCACACTCCTACTCCACGCTTCTGGAGTTCTCCCTTCAAACAGGACAGCGTTGAAGAGCTTTTGGAGCTCCCTTAGTACGGGTTTACCCCCGGCCTTCAGCAGCTCTGTTGTAACGCCATCCTCTCCAGGGGCTTTTCCATTTTTCAGCTGTCCAAGAGCCATCTCGATTTCGTCAATGCTAACTTCTGGCAGGTCTTCGGTGTAGTGACGTGTTAATGTGGCTCTAGAGTCCTCATTTTCGGGATCAGGTCGAGATGCATGCGAAGCGTATAACCGGCCATAGAAGCTTTCCACTTCCAAAAGGACTGCCGGCTTCGAAGCAACGACTTCTCCACTTTCTGTAGTCAACTTTGTCAGGTGGCTTCTTCCAAGAGATTGTACGAACACTTTTGACCCCCGATTTTGCTCGATCGCTCTTTCAATTGAAAGAGTATTGAAGCACCGGAGGTCGTGTCGTACGAGTTTACTGATCTCTCGGTTTAGAGTCCGCTTTGCCGACAAAGTGACAGGTGGGTTTTCACGTCGTTTCTTCATCAGCCCTAGGGTCCTTTCTGAAAGCTTCGACTTCCTGCCCTTACGCTGCATTTCACAAAATCTCATACCTTCTTCCCTGAGGATCTGAACCACATTTTTGAGGTTCTGGTTTACGTCGATTGTGGTTTCCACGGCAGCGAATCGGTTTGCCAGTTTTGACTGGAACGTTTCAGATCCTGTCATGGCCTGGAGCCGAGTTGGTCGGAGCCCGGATTTCATCAAACAGACACGTTCCGCCTTAAAGTTGATATTCAGAGAGCCCCGGACAAGTCGGTGATCACTACCGGTATTAAACCTATTGATCACTGAGACGTCTCTGAATATGTGCTTTCTATCCGTCATGATGAAATCGATCTCATTTCTAGTCATAGCGTCGGGGCTTTGCCACGTCCACTTCCTTTGGGGCTGTTTCTTGAAGAAAGAATTCATCAAAAACAGCCCCTCCCGTTCGAGGAAGTTGACCAGCATTTGCCCCCTATGATTCCTGCTTCCAAATCCATGGGATCCTACTACCGATTCGCTGCAATTCTGTACTCCCACTTTAGCGTTGAAGTCACCCATAACAACGTTGTAGTGGGTCTTAGTTGTGAAGTGGAGGGCCCTCGATATGTCATCGTACATATCCTCCACCTCGTCGTCCGAATGTGCCGAGGTCGGTGCGTACACTTGCACAACCTTGAGGCTATACCTCTCGGTGAGCTTGATAATGAGGTACGCTACCCTGTTCGACACACTGGAAATTTCCACAACGTTGTCAGATAGGGACTTATTCACCAGAAACCCAACCCCACCTTGGGATTGTTGGTCTCCCTCGCGGAAGTACATTAGGTGGCCTGACTCGAGGGTTATGGTGTCCTCCCCCTCTCTTCGGACTTCACATAGCCCTAGGATATGCCACCTAATCTTCCCAAGTTCCACCTCAAGTTGCGCCAGATGCGAGTCTAGCCGTAGCGTGCGTCCGTTGTACGTAGCCAGGGTCAGTCGGTTGTGGTGGCCTCCCGTAGCCCGGAGATTCTTCGCACCCCCTGCCCCGCCTTTACCGTGGTCGCCACCATGACCAGGAATAGCGGGGCCGCCGGGAACTGGGGGCCGTGGCCTTTGTTGCGTCTGCATGAGAGGGGTTTGCCCATAATCGCCACGCTGGGCAGGCGGGTTGGCGATCGCAGGGCGTAGCTTGTCGCACCGGTAACGCTGCTGCCCGTCACCGGCCTGTTATATTTAGCTACGCCTATTGGGATAGATATACCGCCATCGGTCGGTCGCCAGAGCCTCGTTCGTCGTTCAGCAGGATGCACCGCGGGCAGGTGAGGTTGGCTTGGGGCGAAAGATGGTGGTTCGCCCCTCACACCCCTGGTTTGTGTAACGGACTGCTATTCCAAAGGTCTCGGGTTCGATTCCCGCTCAAGTCAAACATTTGTGTGCATGAACATTTGATGTTTGATTTGGTCTGGGTGTTTCTATGTATAATATGTATGTATTTACAGAAAAATTGTATTTATATCAGTTGTCTAGTAGCCATAGTAAAACTCTGCTTAGTTTGGGACTAGATGGCGTTTTCTGAATGTGGTACAATATAAAAAAAAAAAAATTTGACTCGCTCGACGGCGCCTTCTGTACTCATGCGGAGGGATCGATGGTTCGATTTCCGCCCAGATAAAACTTTTATGTAATGAACAATTGTGTTTATTTTGTGTCATGATGTAGATATCTTTATAATGACTATATACTTACTGTTTCATTGATTGTTCTGACATTTGTAACACAAGTTCTTAAGGTAATTATCTCGAATCAGATCCATTTAAGTGATGTGTAATATTTATTTTTATTATGTTTCGTTCGCTCCTATACGACAAAACATGCTAATCGTCAGTGATATTTGAGCATCTGCTCTACTGGCAAAATATCAGAATAACGCGAAATATATAGGTAGGTACTCAGTAGTCTGGTATGTATTTAAGTTTTCGATTCTAAGTATACAAAAAACCATCATTTATACAAAATTGGTTCTCTGGACAAGGACCTTTTGACTAGTTAACGACATGTAGAGACGTCTTGCGGACCTCTTACGGTCAAAGAGTACAGAGAATGTGTTTTTAAATTGTAAAAAAATATATATTAATATACACTTAAAACCCCATGCCACTGAGAACACACGATGTCACGTAGCGTTTGGGGTTTAATAGTGGTACTACCTAAACATGGAACATGGTAGGAATTAATACTCATCACATATCGTCGGATTTAATTGGGTTTAATTAGTATAGTTCCGGCTTTATGCTACTCATATGTCAACACTTAGAATACCTAGTAGAAAAAAAACTAACCGAACCAAGCAGTATTCTTTACCTTTGAATTTAGAATGTTGACTTGAAATTTAAGATTGCATTTGTACTGGCTATAATCATTGTGCTGTTCGGCAGAGCAGTAGGTGTCCTAATCGCCTAAGTTTTAATTAGTACATTGTATAACTGACTGAAGAAAGAAATCTCATAGCAAATTGTACACTTTAATAATAATAACTTCCCACATCTCACACACGGCTATCTAATTCCAACCTAGGCAGAGCCTATACTATAGTAACCAGACTGCTTATAAACATAGGTACTTATATATTTCTAAATACAAATACATTATATATAAATTACACCCAGACACAGAACAAATTATGATCGTGCACATCACACGATTATTTGTCCTGGGTGGGAATCGAACTCACGACCTCCTGCTCAGCAGTCAGGGTCACTAACTGCTAGACAAACAGGCCCCTAAGTAACACTACGTAAGTCTACGTCTTTTTAATAAATATAATTATTTATTTCAGGGCACTGCTATACGTCAGCAACATTTAATGATAGGCAAATATTTTAAATGCACTTGCAATAGGTGTGCAGATAACACAGAGATGGACACTTTTATGAGTTCCTCTAAATGTACAGAATGTAAGACTGGTTTGGTTTCACAAACGACTCCTGAACAATGGACTTGCCATGATTGCAAAAATACTTATGCAGATGATAAAATTAGTTACCAAGTTCAATGCTGTGCGGAAAAGTTTGGAGTTATTAGTGAGTGAACAATAAATAATTAGATTTTCAAATTTCGAATTAAATTCCAAAATAAACCTAATGTTAACATCAACTTTAATATACGTGCCATAACTGACAAAATACGTTTGCAGATTACACAAATATCTACTTATCTGGATTCTGGATAGGCTGGTAATCTGTCATACATGTCTGCCTAGTACAGATACCGTGTCTCGTACGCATCTTGTGTACTGTGACTGAAATTGACCAGATTGTTTAATTTTAAAAATATGTTGTATTGCGCAACTTCAGCATCATCATGTCAGCTGAAAAACGTCTATTGATGGACATAGACCTCCCTCAAGGCTCTCCACAACAAGCGGTCTGGTGCTGCTCGCATCCAACGGCTTTCCGTGACCTTCAAAAGGGCGTCGGACCACCTTGTAGGGGCCCTACCTCCTTACACAACTTGTTATTCATTTATTTAAAATATTAATTCCAGTACATGTTTGTTCTTAAAAAAAAACATGGATTAATAAATATATTTTATTTCTCCTTAAGATAAAAAAGACGAAAAAGAACTAGAAGAATATATAAGAAACGTATCACTGGTTCTCGGACCCAACCATTACCTGTTACTAGAGGCGAAGCAGCGGTTGGCTGGGGTTCTAAGAGATACTATTAATCGAGAACCACGTCCCACAAAAAAACTGATGAAGCGAAAAATGGAATTATGCGAAGAAATACTCACCGTGCTAAACAAATTATGTCCAGGAATATCTAGAACAAAAGGTACTCTTGCTAATCTAAAGATGCTTAGCCTGATTTAATCTTCAAAATAGAAGGAGTAGTTACTTTTTCTACCTAAAGTCTATTGGAAAGTAGAAAGAAAATTAATTTTATCTTTATCACGCTATATCTGACGCTGTTGTTTTTCATATGATAGATTAAATTTAAACCATAAAAAAAGTAAAATAAAAAATGCACAAGCCTTGCAATAATTGTATAATAATACTCGTATAATGTCTAACATCTGGCTATCCATACATTAATAATGCTAACACCACGCGCGCTTATTCATACCATGAAATAATGCGCGATTTGTTAGAATTATTTTATTTATTTTACAAAAGTATTTTTAAAGATTGCAGTAAAGCCTCCTCTCGGAATGATGTTACAAACTAAAGAACTAATTTTGACATTAATTTTAGCAATCACGTTGTATGAATTACACTCAGCAATTGTGCGCTTAGCGAAAAAACTTTTCGATGGAAGAGAAATTACAGGTTCTGCGTATTTGGTAAGAATGATTAATATAGGTTATCTTTATAAATCCATCAACTCAAACTTAAGGTGAACCAATTTTGCAGGATGAATTAATAACAGCCGAGAAACACTTAAAACAAGCTCTGGAAATGCTTTTCATTGAACCAGGTAATTCTCCAGAAGGAGAACTTTGCGCCAAAGCTCTAGAGGAATATAGAGCATTGAAGGGGACCATGAATGCTGTACTCGACGGAATACATGCCGAAGGAAAAAGTTATCAATTTACAGAAGAAACAAATGGTACTACCAATTAATAAACTCTCCCAAATAGTGAATGTGTTTTCATTACTATGTAGCCTGGGCGGTTACGCGTGTCAATACACAATCACACCAGTGATTAATCTACCAGAGCCACACGGAGTTCCATTTCATTACTATACCTAATTTAATACACGTTTCATTTGAACTTTCTTTAAAAATATAAATCATTAAATTAATTGGATAATCAAAGGTGAAGGTTATATATTTTCGTTTTAATCAATACGAATGTTTTAAAATGAGACATTGATCTTGTAAAATGAATTATTCTACATTTATATGGTATCCAATAATAGGTCTCAGTGATTTCAATTTCAGGTGCCTGTATGATCAAAGATCACTTCTCCGTTGTCATGAGCCAGAATATGATATTATGAGCCGGCCCTGTTACTTAGTTTTATACTAAACTAAGCAACAAGCGTGTAAAAGCCCATTAATTTTACAAGACAAGATTTTACTGATAACTTCTGAACTTCAATAGAACTGTCAAATTTCAATGTAAATGTCAAGCTGAGTGTCTGAACTCTGAAATGTCATCTCAATCAGAATTTAAGCGAAACTTGAACCCATCAATTTGTTATTAATTATCGTTATAGTTAGGTTTACACAAAATAATATATAAAAATAAAACAAACGAAGTTATTAAGTCTAATATTTATTGAATATCTTTACTATTCATTCATCATACCGCTAATCGTGAGTGTACACTTGGATTTGTGGAGGTAAAATTCACCGCAATTGCCGAGTGCTTTTCTATTATTATCTAATTATCTACTTAACTCTTGGTTGTCGTAGTCCAGCTATGGCGGATCAGTCATCTGTGTTAGCTTTGATGATACTAGCAGTTGGCGTCACAGTGCATTTTTCGCTCCACAAAGTTGAAGAGGGTCATGTAGGAGTATATTATAGGGTAAGTCCTAAATAATAAAGTTAGTGCCTTCATGTGTAATGTTTACTTTAGGTCATTGTAAAGACAAAGTAATTAATTTGTAAGTTTCACTAATATATTTCAAATTATTATCAATTACAAACAGAGATTTTCCTCATCAAAACTTCAAGCAATATGTTATGCATTTTATGTTAACTGTTACAATTATTTTATTCCCTAGTAGTTTTTATTTAAAGTTTCTACAATGAACAGTTATCCAATATGAATTTGATTCTGTTAGGATATTCTGCTGCTGAAAATGACAGTGAACTTGTGAAATACATAGAATAAAAAAATTAAGGAAAATCGAATATTTAATTGAAAATAGTTACCCTTGTCTGCTAACTGACTATTGTATTAATATACAGGTGACTTTAGATTTTCCGTCCATATTAACACAGAAGAATCTTTAGTAAAATTTATGAAAAACCGCATTTTAGTTTAATATCACATGGTACAAAAATATTGAATAATTAGCATCACAAAGTTGTCTCAAGAACTCGGAATTTATAGACACTGTCAATGGTAGGTGTGCAAGTGTCAATGACCTCTCCATCGGTATCGCATACTTTGCTACTATTCATTGATAAATAAAGTACCTAACATAAAATCCAAATACTAAAATTTCACTTAATTAAAGGGCATATTTGAAATAAATAAAAAATACATACAGCTTGTGATATGTACAATAATTAATAAACAATGTTTGACGTCATGGAGGAACGAGCGGTAAACACAAAGGATTCACCGACGCGACAAGACGCGGCCGACTGACCTATCAATTATTTAATTGCTGGATTTGAACCTGCCTGCGGCCGGGGCCACCCACACCGCGTCTCCCAATGCATTCTTTCTCTCACTGTTTACGTATCTAGCATAAGACCATTTTTTACGTTTTAATTAGTGACGTGGACACTGCTAAATTTCTTTGTGATGGAATATTTTATGTAAAAAATTTGAGAGACCTTTTTTTTTGCAAAAATGGGGTCTTAAATATTGCCTAGTGCCTAAAAAAATTTGGACGGCAACTACGATTTCACGGTGTACGTATAATTAGGGCCTTCCATTTGAAATTATTACATAGATTCATGATTTTTTTTACTTACAGGGTGGAGCCTTATTGCCGGTCACTAGCCAGCCTGGGTTCCACATGATGATACCACTTCTTACATCATACAAAGCTATACAGGTAAAAGGGATGCTCTTTGTATGATAAAAATAAACCTTTACAGATTAGTAACTATAAAGTGAAATGGTATAACCATACAGTGAAAACTGTGCTACTATGATTGTAGTAAACCTTTATTTTCTAGATATGCTTATCTTTAATTTTTATATCAACCAATTAGTGGAAGCTTCTGACCATCAGCAAGGTAGATTTTACCCTGGAACTGTACTTTTTTCATTGGTCCTACATATTCTTTTCTGTGCCCCTGACATCATTGGTTAAGAAATAAAACAAGTTGACTTTCGTATTTTTTATCTTAATATACAAATAAGCTGTGTTACTTACACAATGAATTTGTACACAGGAACGGCTAAACCGATTTTCATGTTGTTTAATTTGTTAGATTCTCTCTTGCCCAAATAACACTAACTATGGCAATATTTAAATATTAACTACAAAAACAAACTAAATATTATTTATTTTCTCCAACATTGTGTAAAAGACACTTTGGGAGAGCCATGCTTCTCACAGACTTGCCGAAAACTGTTATAAACAATTGTGCCTCACCAAGCGAGTGAAGTAACTAAAGGCCCCACTCGCCCCCTAATTTAAGATGAGAGGGGTCACTCAAAGGGACAAAATACTTATGTCTCTGTCTACAGTTTTTGCCTCTTGTATCATATAACAAATTTAAACAATGGTTGGTTTCAAATTTACTGGCCTTTTGGTCTAGTGGTTAGTGACCCTGACTGCTACGCCAGAGGTCGTAGGTTCGATTCCCACCCAGAACAAATAATTGTGTGATGAGCTTGTGTAAATTTGTGTCTGGGTGTACTTTATCTATAATATGTATTTAGAAATATATAAGTATGTTTATTAGCAGTCTGGTCACCATAGTACAGGCTCTGCCTAGTTTGGGACCAGACGGCCGTGTGTACATTATTATTAAATTAAATTCAACCAATAAGTTACAACACAACATTCATTGTGTCTGAAATGATATTAGGTTTGTTAGGTTGTCTTGTATTAGTGTTAAAGGGATATTTAAACAATAATGAATCCACATACTTATAATATATTGGCATATATCTAAATATCGATATTTTTTTACAGACTACACTTCAGACAGATGAAGTAAAAAATGTCCCTTGTGGTACAAGCGGCGGTGTGATGATCTACTTTGAGAGGATTGAAGTTGTCAACAAGTTAGAGCCTGTAAGTGGTAAGTATGTACTGAATAAAATATTAAAATAATATAGAGAAAAATGAGAAAAAGCATTTAGTGCATCCTTGCTGTTTGAGAGGAAATTAAAGAAACTATATTTTTTATTATTAAGTGAGGGTAAAGATCTGTAAATGAAGAATACACCTACATAATAAAACAACATAGTTGCTATTCATTTAAAAATTTTGGAAGTAGAAATCTTTTAAGCTGTTTTAAGACTGCATATATCAGCTACAATATGAAATGACTTTGATAACTGCTCAATAGTCTACTTAAATACGTTTTAATTAAATTATAACAAGACTTATAACATAAATGTAGTTATTGTAATAAAACTTGTAATTAGTATTGCTTTGAACTGGAGTTCAATGTAATAAGAATGTATTTTTTATCTCTGTATTAAAAGTTATTTATGTCTTAGCTAGTACAGTCTGTACCTATAATAGTTTATAGTATATGACTCTAGCTAATCCTTATTTTCTAACTTAGTGGTATATAGTAAAACAAAAAAGAATTGGTTTTACTAATAGCATTTTTTTTTCAGTGTTAGATATGGTGCGCAACTTTACAGCAGACTATGATAAAACCCTGATTTTCAACAAGGTGCATCACGAGCTAAACCAATTCTGTAGTGCCCATACTCTGCATGAGGTCTACATTGATCTGTTTGATCAAATTGACGAGAACTTACGAACGGTAAATTGATCTTTTTTATTTATTATTGTCCGTGTTGTGACGGATTGTGAGTGTCGTAAGAGCCGACTAAGGGAGCAACCAGAACAACAGCACTGCAAGGAACAGGAAAACTTGAAACAAACCCTATACCAGCCCATCTGGCCAGCTTGGTATAGTAGGCCGAAACCTCCTTTCTCTGGAGAGGCCTATTTCCAGCAGAGGACTGTTAAAGGTTGTTGATGATGATGATGAAATTGAATTGATGAAATATTTAGTTACTATAAAATGAGTTCATAAAAAGATGGAATAAGAGTATCACTACTGTTAATGCTGGAAAGTTATAAACAATATTTTTTTAATTCTAAGTGTTGAATTATTCATGCACAGCAAAGTGTATAATTTTAGTACAGTCTATGAAGGGGATCATAATTGCTCCATTGAAAAGATAAATTTTAGCAAAAATAAACAAATTTGCAATAGATTGCTAATGGTACTGTGTTATTTACACAGTTTGTTACACTTCAATGTACTGAATTAGAAATTAATAACAAAAGTAGGTATAAAAACAAGACAAACAAGCGGCGGTAGCCTATTGGTTAAGGCGTTGGACGTGCGATCAAGAGGTCGTGGGTTCAAATCCTGACCAGTACACTACCGACGTGAACCCACTCCTAACACAAGCAATTCAGCTTAGCGGGAGGGGTTAGCGGGAATACTAGTAATTTCGGATGCTAGTAGATCTATTGTAAAAAAAAACATTGAAAAAAAATCTATTGGTACTTCTAATTTTCATATATCCAGTGTCACTCTCCAATAAAAAAAAAAAAACAAACGTTACCTCAACGTTACCCAATCTAAAATCAAAAATCAATCCCAAAAAGTCAATAACAATAATACTACACTCGGCCAAAATGACGACGAAATGTTTACATGTATGTTCTTTTGACAGGCCTTGCAACAAGATCTAAACGAAATGGCGCCAGGTCTGAGGGTTCAAGCAGTTCGTGTCACGAAACCCAAGATACCTGAGATGATTCGTAAAAATTACGAGCTTATGGAAGCAGAGAAGTCTAAGTTACTCATTGCAGCTCAACATCAAAAGGTAAAGAAATTAAACTTAGTTTCTAAAAATCATTATACTTCTATTACCCAACCGGTATTAATCAGAATTTTTTAATAGGTGGTGGAAAAAGAGGCGGAAACAGCAAGACGCAAAGCTGTTATCGAAGCCGAGAAAGAGGCCCAAGTTGCCAAAATTCAGTATGAACAAAAGATCATGGAGAAAGAATCTTTGCAGAAAATTGAGCTTATTGAAGACAGCATTCATAAAGCTAAGCAACAGACTAAAGCAGAAGCTGACTACTACCATCTAAAGAAGCAAGCAGAAGCCAATAAATTACTTCTGACTAGAGAATACTTAGAATTAAAGAAATATGAGGCTCTTGCACTCAACAATAAGATTTACTTTGGTAATGATATTCCAAAAATGTTCATGCAAGCCAATGTTGGTGACAGTGTTCCTCCAATAGCTAAAAGTGTCCAGGTTGAATGAGTAATAGTTAATATACCACCAAAATATCTGCTAGTCAGTAAAAGTGCTAAGAGCCAGTAAGAAAGCAGTGAATGACTAAAAGTTTGTCAAGTTCTATTGATATATATTTACATGTGACAAAGCGCGAGTAATAATGTTGATAAAAATTACTACTAATAGTTGCTACCACATTCTAAGATACAATGAAATCACTGATGTTACAATGTACAAATGGATAAATGAAGGAAAGTGTATTTAGAGCTAGATCTTTTCAAAATACGAGGAAGTGGAAACAAGTATTTTTACATATTAGATTAAGTAATAAATTAAATGGTATAGTATAAAAATAGCTGTGTGAAGAACTTTGAAAATTTTTAAATGCTTTTCTGGCTGGTCATTTACAGCATGGTATTAGGAAAATAATTTATAGTCCACATCCTCGACATACAAAAGTAGTTCGGTGTTACAGTACATGGAAATTTCCTCATCCTGGGCCTGTTGGTCTAGTAGATAATGACCCTGATTGCTATGCTGAAGGTCGTGGGTTCGACCCAGGACAAATATTGTGTGATGAGCACAAACATTTGTTCTGTGTAATTATGTATGTATTTAGAAGTATATAAATATGTTTATCAGCAAGTTGGTTGCCATAGCACAGGCTCTGCCTAGCTTGGGACCAGTCTGTGTAAAGTTAGTTGGTAGTCATTTCCCATCAGGTGAGCAGTCTGCTCATTAGCCCCTGTAAAAATATATCATAATAATAGTAACATATATATCCATACCTAGGGATATGGTTAAACATCCCATTTGTAGAAATGGCCTAATACGGGTTTCATCAATCTCAAGAGTAGGTAACTGCCTAATTTATAATCTCATTATTAAAGTGTAGTAGTACTGAAGTGTCGTTTTTCAATATTTTATTTTGTACTAAATGAAATTTTAGCTTTTGTAATTAATTTTTACAAAAACATGAAAATTAATAATCATGATCACACAGGAATCTGAATATAAAAATATGGCTGCATCACATTTATTGACTGAAATTGATGTAGATTGTCATTGTAAATAGCTTTTTTATATGTATAATAAAAGAACATAAATGTGAAAAAACTGATTTTATTGAAACTTAATATTAATTGGCTTCACATTTTAGATTTTGTTAAATGCAGCGATATCAACTGATTGGACGAAGTCTTCAAATTCTTGGATTTGTTCAGTGAGAAGATCAACAGATACCTTGTCATCTTCAATGACACACATGATCTGTAGCTTGTTGATACCATATCCAACAGGAACAAGTTTAGAAGCTCCCCAGAGGAGACCTTCCATTTCAATGGAACGGACTTGCTTTTCCATTTCCTTCATGTCTGTTTCATCATCCCAGGGCTTGACTTCAAGGATAATAGATGACTTTGCAATAAGAGCAGGTTTCTTTGACTTCTTATCAGCATAGGATTTTAGGCGTTCCTCACGGATTCTTGCTGCTTCAGCATCCTATAAATAAATAATACATATTAAAGCAGCTGGTCACAGTTAACAATTTTGTCCAAAATCTTGTGGAAAAGAAAACTGTACTGTGTGTAACTAACCTCTTCCTCATCGCCAGAGCCGAAGAGATCGACGTCATCATCGTCATCGTCATCTTTAGCGGCTGGAGCTGGTGCCGTGGGCTTGCCTCCGGCGGTCAATGGGCTCACTCCAGCAGCCCATGACTTGCGTTCGGCGGGTGTGTAGGAAGCGATATGGTTGTACCAACGGAGAACATGAGCAAGATTGGAGGCTGGTGCTTTGCCAACTTGATCGAAGACCTGAATATCGGCTTGAGTTGGCGTGTAACTATAAATATAAGATACGCGATAATATATGACTCTTATATGATTCTCAGCTGGTTATCAAGGTCACGGAGAATACAATCAAATTTTTAACTCAACTCTAATGCAAAGATATAAGATATATTTTATAAATAAAATTCTGTAGCATAGTGTAAAAATACTATAGATTTTTGGAATTGAGGTTATAAAGTTTCTGCAATCTGTGTCAGGTTGACGTGGTATAAATTACAATATTCGGCTTACCCTGACACGTAACTCCTTTCAGCCAAATAGGTATTCAGGTCATTAAGGCCTTGTGCAGTTTTAACATTTCCCACTGCCATTTTTTGAATTAAAACTTATTCTTTTCTAGCGTTAACTACACACCCCGGCACAGTGTGAACGAGAAGGAAAGGGAAAGCTTCTTTAGAAGGAGAAAAAGAATGATCGAATGAATGAAGACGTCACTAAAAAGACGTACATATTAGTAGTCTGTAGGCGGATAAAATCATAGGACTGTGAAAGACCGGTGATTTATAAATTTATAATTCGATTTTTTAGTAAGTAGGTTAGGGTTACTACTTACTCACGCATTGTTGCCAATATGCTGTTTTTAGACGATGCGTAAATACCCGAAATCGCCTATTTAACAGTAAATCTAGTAATTATTTTATCATTTATAGCTACCAATCCTTACATAATAATTTAAATAATACTAGAGTTACTGTTAGATAACTTATCTAGCACCTGCGTCCTCAAAAATCGAATGATAAATCACAATTCAGTGATTTTGTCCCATGTCTAGTGGTGGCTGTTGTATAAAATTAACTAAAACAAAACCGTACATCGCTAGTGAGTATTTGCCTAGAAGATCATTGACAGTTCTGTCTGTTTTAATATCTATTATCTGTCATTTTACTAAAGATTTTCGAAACATACATTTTAGGTATGAATTCTATGAAAATATAACGCTAATTCCATGAAGTAATAACTGTTTCTCAATATTAAAAAAGTACCTGTATGGTGTTGATTGTATAAATATTTAATTATCTTAATATTTCTTTAGGTTAGATGTTCATTCTTATGTAATAATACTATAGATTTACTTTATATTAAGTGTTAGTTCACTGATTTATTTCATTGCGATAAGAGATAAATCTTTTATAAGTATTTAAAATTCAGTACTGTATTGCCAAGTCTGTGAAATGTTAACAAATTTGTGTGATAACAATTGTGTACGTATTGGCGTTTGATGCAGAAAATGCTGCGCCAGCCGCTATGTCGGGCGCTTGCGCTGAGCTCGCCAGCACGTGCGGTTCCTCTGGCGTCTCGCAGCTACTCTAACCCTGTGCCAGCTGAACCTGAAAAAGTGGAAGTCTTTATTAATGACAAACCTGTATATGTAGCACCGGGAACCACTGTCTTACAAGTAAGTGCTTTCGAAGTGTACCTTTCATTCTTTGCTATAGTACCTTCGCCACAAAGAGATTATTATAAGAGAAATATAATGTATATGGGCAATCTTTATATATTGTTTGAAATCAACAAACAACTCAAAATATTGTGTGAAATATAACTAATGCATGTTATTATGTGTTGTCTTCATGGCCTCTGATTAACAAAAGTAAAGTAAGGAATTAAACAAACAAATCAATATTACTTAAATAGGCTGTAAGTCAATTTTGTATTATATATATAGAAATATTTATTATACTTAAATTTATAAAATGAGATTCTCTGACTTACTCTAAAAATAGTATATTAAAAATCTTAACATTGGAGCCAAGTATATGGAAATTATTTTTGTATTACTTTAATAGGCAGCAGCTCAAGTTGGTGTAGAAATACCTCGTTTCTGTTACCATGAGCGTCTTGCCGTTGCCGGCAACTGCAGGATGTGTCTGGTTGAAGTTGAGAGATCACCGAAACCTGTAGCAGCATGTGCTATGCCAGTTATGAAGGGGATGAGAGTGAAGACAGATTCTGACCTAACAAGGAAAGCTCGTGAAGGTGTAATGGAGTTCCTTCTTGTGAACCATCCTTTAGATTGCCCAATTTGTGACCAAGGTGGTGAATGTGACCTTCAAGATCAGTCTATGGCTTTTGGCTCAGATAGGAGCCGTTTCACAGACGTTCACTTCTCCGGCAAGCGGTAAGTTTAAATTTTATTTTTTGTAAATTAGAGTTTGCAAACATATGTTCTCGTGATAGTCCTTCAATTCCACTTTGCAGTACTAGTACCATGGGTGTTAAATGAATAGAATAATAGAATAGGTTTGATGGCTTTTTGGTAGGCATTTACAGAATCTAATCTGTTTTATGTGGACATGTATCAACATGTCAATTGTGGTAGACAATTGATGAAGGGATTATTTAGGGTGACATTTGGGCCTGGTATGACAAAAATTAGTTTTCAAATTAAGGGTAGGTGCACCAGTTTCGTGACCACCTTCAGTAGGCGACGTTTTGACAGGGTAAGTTCCTTTGTCAAGATTATTATTTTGACTTATGATCTTGACTTGGCATTTCTAGAAGTAATATAAACGAAAAATAAATATTATGCGTTTTTTAAATAGTTATCAAATGGCTTATGCAGGTCTTCTACAATTTAGGGTGTAGCATTGTAAAAGTAGAAAGATGCAATTGTTTAGTTAGTAACCATTACTTTACATTTCGAATTTTTTTAAATTTACTTACAAACTTAAGCTAAAAGGTGGTTGTTAACGAACACAATTGAAATCAAGACATTATTTTGTGATCACAATTTTTTTTTTCATTTTGTTGTTTAATTAAATGTCTGCTTAATCATTATTTTTGCATGTAACAATGTGATCTTAATTTGACGAATACTAAAGATGATTATTTTTCATAAATAGCTAGTCATAAAAACCAAACAGAACTACTTTAAAATAAAAAATAATAATAAAAATTTGCAATAAAAGACTGCCCCAACTAACAAGGATATAAATCTAAATGACATGAAAAGAGAGGAATAAGAGAAATTGGTAGACTGTGTCAGATCCAGGTATAGTACTAACGACTTTAATAATTGGGTAGAAAACAACTGTATAAAATAAAATATATTACTACTGATTGATGGTCACAAGTCGCACATGTCATTGGTCTTGAGTGCCATGAGCGAAATTCTTGCTTTTTTTTTTTATGCTCTACCCAAAAACACAACCCACAACGATGAAGGTTTAGCTTTACTGAAATCTTCATGGAAATCTAGCAAGAAACTTTCTCCGAAAACCAAACGTAAATATTTTTTTATTTAGAAAACAGAAAAATAAAAATGGGAAAAGGCACCACACCAAGTAATAACCATATTATTTTTGCTAAAAATTATTATTTCCATAATTACAGTACTAAAAGATAAAATTAAATACATTTTGTCTGGTTGGTGGGTGTAATTTATCTATACTATGTATGTATTTAAAAGTATATAAGTATACTAACTTTTAAACTTTCGCGTTCCATGATAATTAATATTATTTAACGGGAATTAACGCGATCTCTTATTTAGGGTATTACATACCGTGGTCACAGGCTGCAGTCAGCCTGTGACCACGGCCGGTGCAACCTGGTCGAAACGTCAGGCAAACCAGAGGTATGTAATACCCTAAATAAGAGATCGCGTTAATTCCCGTTAAATAATATTAATTATATAAGTATGTTTATCAGCAGTCTGGTTACCATAGCACAGGCTCTTCCTAGTTTGGGCTCAGACGGCCGTGTGTACGTGAAATGCGTGAATTATTTTTATAAATTATCATTATTATTATTTTTATTGGTGTATTTATCACATTAAATTATCAATGATCATCAACAGCCTTTAATAGTCTACTGCTTGACAAAGGCCTCTCCTTAGAAAGGAGGTTTTGGCCTTACTATACCACGCTGGCCAGACGGGTTGGCATAGGGTTTGTGTTAAGTTTTATGGGTGACCGGAACGGCTCCGTGGCAGTCGTCGGTTCCACGGCGGCTCATTCCCCCGCCCTTGTCGCTAAGAGACAAGGGCACTGGATATGTTGCCGCCGAGTGGGGGGGGATCACCATATATGGTGTTTATTTCTCCCCATACCGGAGTTTGAGCGACTTCGAGGTTTTCCTCAACAACCTGGAGACCTCGATGCGGCGACTAGCGTCTGGGCACGTCCTTGTTCTGGGGGACTTTAACGCAAAATCCACTGCGTGGGGTTCCCCCAGGACGGACGCAAGGGGCGAGGCCGTAGAGGAGTGGGCAACCTCTGTCTTCTCAACAGAGGCTCCACCAACACATGCGTGCGACAGCAGGGGGGGTCGATAGTGGACCTTTCGTTCTCTACCCCTGCCCTCGCCGCACGAGTAAGGAACTGGCGTGTCCTGGAAGAGGTTGAGACGCACTCGGATCATCTCTATATCCGATTTGAGCTCTCCCAGACCCAGGACTCCAGTAGGGGTCACGTGGCGCTGCGTTTATCCCGCTTTCCGCGGTGGGCTGTTGCCAGACTGAACCGGGACCTACTAGAGGAGGCAGCCATAATTCACTCGTGGCTGTTTCCTCAGGCTCCGACCGAGGAGGTCGACGTGGGGGCTGGTCGCTTTCGCGATGCGATTACGCATATCTGCGATGCGGCCATGCCCCGCATTCGAGGTCGTCGGCCTCCAAGGAAGGAGGTCTACTGGTGGTCCCAGGAGCTGGCGGACCTCCGTGCGGCCTGTACACGTGCCCGGAGGTCCTACACGCGCAGTCGGCGGCGTCACCGTGGAGACGGTGAGGAGGACCGGCTTCATGAGGAGTACCGACAGGCGCGGAAAACTCTGAAGCTGGCCATTAGCCGCGCCAAAGAAGAAAAGAGAGAGGAGATGCTGGAGGGTCTTAATCGTGACCCCTGGGGTCGCCCTTACCGCGCGGCGCGACAAAAGCCCCGCGTCGGCCCCCCCCCTTACGGAGACTCTCCAGCCCAGCTTCCGGCGAGAAGTGGTTGAGGGCCTTTTCCCGCAACGAGCGGAACACACTCCCCCGGCGATGGCCTCCTTGGCCGGAGACGACGGGGAGCACGAGGAGGATGATGTTCCGCCCGTCCGGGATTCAGAGGTAGGGGCGGCTGTTCTACGGATCCGTTCCAAGAACACCGCCCCTGGGCCAGACGGGGTACCGGCCCGAGTGCTGGCCCTAGCCCTCAACCACATGGCAGACCGCCTCGGGGAGGTGTTCGACGCTAGCTTGGCGTCGGGACGTTTCCCTGAGTGCTGGAAGTGCGGGAAGCTGGTCCTATCCTATTAAGGAAGCCGGGACGGCCTGCCGATTCGGTCGCGGCCTACAGGCCCATCGTGCTGCTGGACGAGCCGGGTAAATTGTTTGAGAGGGTTCTCTTTGCCCGCATCGTCCGGCACCTCTACGAGGTGGGCCCCGATCTGTCGGACGCCCAATTTGGTCTTCGGGCGGGGCGTTCGACAGTCGACGCTGTGTTGCGCCTGAGGGCCATGACCGAAGAGGCCGTGAGCTGTGGCGGCGTGCTGTTGGCGGTGTCATTGGACATCGCCAACGCATTCAATAGTCTGCCATTCAGCTGCATCAGGGAAGCACTCCACTATCATGGGGTGCCAAAGTACCTGAGGCGGCTAGTGGCAGACTATTTAGAGGAGCGTACCGTCGTGTACGAGGACCGAGAGGGTAATTCGAGGTGTCGGCCCATGTCGTGCGGTGTTCCACAGGCGTCTGTTCTTGGACCCCTCTTGTGGAACATAGGGTACGACTGGGCCCTTCGAGCAGATTTCCCCCCCGGGCTGGGTGTAATTTGTTACGTTTAATTATTAAGGGTGGCCCTAGATAAGACGGAGGCCCTGTTATTTCATGGGCCCCGTCGTGGTCCACCCCCTGGCGCCTCAATCGTGGTCAACTCGGTCCTCGTACCGGTTCGGGCCCAGATGGAATATCTGGGCCTGATCCTCGACGGGAGGTGGCTCTTCGACGAGCACTTCCGACAGCTTGCTCCAAAGCTGGTTGGCGCTGCGTCTGCCCTAGGGCGACTTTTGCCCAATTTGGGTGGACCCAGCGTCGCGACAAGACGGTTGTACACGGGGGTTGTCCGGTCAATGGCACTATACGGTGCACCGGTGTGGGCGGCGGCTCTGACCGCCCAGAATAGGGCACGCCTCTGGCGCCCTCAGAGGGTAATGGCGGTCAGAGCCATACGCGGTTACCGCACCGTTTCGACGGAGGTGGCGTGCGCGTTGGCCGGAACTCCCCCGTGGGATTTGGAGGCGGAAGTGCTCGCCGAAGTTTATTGGCGAGTGGCTGACTCCCGGGCGGAGAGCGGATTCCGCCCTCCGCCCGAAGACGTGCGCGAGTGGCGCGAAGCCGCTCGCCGAGCCACGATGGCTCGTTGGTCGTTCCGGCTGGAGACTCCACGCGCTGGCTTCGCCGCCGTGGAGGCTCTCCAGCCGGTCATCGCCGAGTGGGCAGGGCGGCAGCACGGGACCCTTACCTTCCGGCTGACGCAGGTGCTTTCCGGGCACGGTTGCTTCGGAAAGTACCTGCACTCGGGAACTGAGTCCCGCCTGCCACCACTGCGACTGCAGTGAGGACTCGGCCCAGCACACGCTGGCGGTCTGCCCCGCATGGGCGACGCAGCGCCGGGCCCTCACTGCAGTCATCGGAGTGGATCTCTCGCTACCGGCCGTAGTACGCTCCATGGCCGGTAGCGACAGTTGTTTTACCGCGGTCGCAACCTTCTGCGAGGAGGTAATCTCGCAGAAGGAGGCGGCGGAGAAGGCCCGGGAGGACGACCTCCACTCGGACCCGATCCGCCGCCGGCGAACCGGGCGGCGGAGGCGCGCCTATCACCTCATGCCGCCCTGAGTGTGGCCGCGGGTGGACGGGGTGGATTTCCCCTCCACCCGCATTAGTTTGGCCAGCCGCGAGGGGGCGGCGTCTGCGTGTGCCGGACGTCGCCTAAAGAGAGGAAATATTTTTTGAGACGGAGCCCGCAACAGGAGCGGGCCGGCGCTAGGAGGGGTCCGGATGTCTTAATAACAGCTGTTCCCGGATCCCTGTGTGGTTCTGGTCTGGTGTGGTTTTAGTCGGTCCGAGTCCGACACACCACCCCGCCGCAAACCCCGTGGTGGGGTGACGGTCCGAGGGGATTTCCACACGTTAAAAAAAAAAAAAAACAAAAAAAAAAGGGTTTGTGTTAAGTTTTCCTTCGTTTGTGTTAAGTTTCAAGTGTTGTTGTTCTGCGTAATTTTACCTTAGTGCCGACTCATACGAAACCCACGGGATGAATAGGGGAGGTGACACTGTATTCTTAATCCGTCACCACACGGAACCATTACACATTAAAATAGTGGTCCCAAACCAAGTCACTGGTGGTTGCAAACTGATGAAAGTGGTTGTAAACCGACGTTTTGGCTATATTTTCACTTTTTCAGCATTTTATAATAATTTCTGAATGAAGATATTATATTTTATGTTTTTATCCAAACTAGACTATATGCTATGCTATACTTGGGTATACTTGGAACAAATTGTCACTAAACTATATTGCGTACAGATATCATTTTTTTTACTCATATGAAGTGGGCCACCCAGCTAGCTGGTCGCTAAGCGGCGTAATGACCCTGACCACCTTAATCTCTACATCTATCACTAGACTATACATTGTCATTACTACAAACACAATGAGAAACCAGTTACTAAATCATTATTATAAAGTTTAGGTTGGGGCTATTCAAATGCTAAAATTTTGCAGTAAAAGGTTGGTGAAGTTACTACAGCTCTGTATTTATTTGCTGTGTCTCATTTATTTTTATTTGTTTCTACTCAGTGCTGTCGAAGACAAAGATATAGGCCCACTGATCAAGACTATAATGACCCGTTGTATTCACTGCACGCGTTGCATTCGATTTGCATCAGAAGTTGCTGGCGTCGATGATTTTGGTACAACTGGTAGAGGCACTGATATGCAGGTATCCTACTAATAATTTCATTATTAATTAAAACAACAAAAAAATCATTGTAACGAGAAAATATAATAATAATATTTTCAATGTAAAGTTTAAATATTCGTTTTCATAACTATAAAAAGCTACAATATACCTACATATTGCTCTTTTTTTTTTTTTCAAAATAAATCTTAGCTTTTATTGTGAATTTTAGGATGTATATAAAAATACTAAAATGGTTTATTTTATTTTTAACAACAGTAATGCTGGTTTAAGACTATTTCAAAGGTTAAAATATACCTATGATGAAATATATGAACCCTTACCTCAAGTTGCAAAAAACTGAATTAAAATAGTGTATTGTGTGGCAAATCGTACTAATCGGGTTTGAAGTAGTAGAAAAAATCTAAAAATTTCGTAATTTTCTTCAGGTTGGGACATACGTCGAGAAAATGTTGCTGTCAGAATTATCTGGCAATGTTATTGATCTGTGCCCTGTTGGTGCTTTGACTTCCAAGCCTTACAGCTTTGCTGCACGACCCTGGGAAACCAGGAGGGTAAGTTATTAAAGTCTAATTAAGCAACAGAGTACAGGTATTTAGACAAAAGCTTACTAACTTTTGCATAGTTTTTTTTTTGTTTTTAAAAAGACAACTTCCGCACTAGGAATAAATTCTGTATCGCGGGGAACTTTACGAACATACATAAAAGGAACACAAAGAACGCCCAGACTCAGAACAACAATTTATGAATCACACAAAGTGTTGTCCCATGTGGGGATCAAACCCACAACACGGCGAGGTGGCCGCTTAAACCACTATGCCATCTGTGCAGTCAATTTTAATCATTTGTTTTTTTCAATCATTTTTACAATAATTTAGGACTGAATTAATGCCTGAATTAATTAGGTGGTTTTATAGAACGTTCTTCAATAGAACAATAAAGTATAGCAAATAAATAACCATTCTTTTTCGGTAGACGACATCCCAATATGTTAGTTACACAGACAATAACATTTTTTTTTGTTTATTATTTACAGATTGATTCCGTAGATGTCTTAGATCCCTTGGGAAGCAACATAGTTGTTACCACCCGAACGAACGAGGTACTGCGTATACTTCCTAGGACCAATGAGGTAATCAAACATTTTAGAATTGTGATACAAACACTTTTCTTTTGTTAACACTTACAATATAAAAAAATCATTCTTTACTGTTTTGTGACAAAATAAGAAAGATATGAACCATCTTTAATGTGTTCGAATAAAGAATGTAGAATGAAGAACACTCATAATTAAAGTTAAATTTTATTCAACTAGACTCAAAATCATCATCATCATCAGCCTATCGCAGTCCACTGCTGGACATAGGCCTCTCTCAAAATAGTAAGATTTAATTCAGTCAATGTTTCATATTGTTATTTCTATCATAACAAAAATTGACATGGCTGCTCAATGTAGTTCACAACTGTTTAATTAGTGGTTTGGCTTCTTCTTGAACATCTTAAAAACTTTAAAATAGGAAACGTCAAACTCTAGTTACTGCTTGAAATTGCAGAAACAACAAATTCACAGCAATGTTATTTAATTTTGTAATGCCAAATAAATTAGTGCCTACATTATTATTTTTTAAATCAGGAAATTAATGAAGAATGGTTGTCGGATAAGTCACGTTTCGCGTGTGATGGACTGAAGCGCCAACGACTTGTGACGCCTATGATGACAGACAGCAGGGGTAACCTCATGCCTGTGGACTGGGAGGATGCCATCGTGGCCGCCGCTAGGGCTTTGAGGGACTGTCCTCCTAACAAAGTGAGCTTCTAATTTTGGGTACTCTTTATCTAATTGCACAGATGGATATAGGTTTTTCAAGCATATGCCTGCTATATAATATAAATATTTTTCATCCCTCAATATTTCACTAGAGCTAGAAATATTCTATAAATTTAAATGAAATAAATATTCACACACAATCAGTTTAATACATATATATGCAGTTGAATTATGAAAATCTACTTATTGAAGGCGGTTAAAAACGAATAGCAAAGCTTGCAGTGACAAAGGACATAAATTGTAATGACCAAGTTGGTAGAGCTCTGCATGATATTTTTTTTAATATCCCGATTTCTAGCTTTTAGCTGTCGCTGGTGATATGGCCGACGCCGAATCTCTCGTTGCCCTGAAGGACCTGGTTAACAGACTGGGTTCAGAAAACACCTGTACTGAACAATACTTCCCGTTAGACGGCGCCGGCATCGACCTACGTTCATCGTATCTATGTAACACAAAGATTGCTAGTGAGTTTGTAATTATATATTTTTTCATATTTGAAACTTCCAGACAGTGTCCCTGACTGTCGTATATTTGCTTTTTTGCGCTGCAATTTTAATGCATTTATTTTATTGTAATATTACATAAAGAATAAGTTAAAGTGATCTAGTCTATTTAATGGCTAGTGGGATACGGTCGACCTAATACGATTTATTTGCATGATTAGGCTTATTATAGGATCTAATTTTAGAAGGCAATCAAGAAGTAGGACACGTCTTACCATACTGCGTAGCTTCTCGAATCTTTCGACTCTGATTTACACATTACTTGTTACGGTGTGGAAATACTATACTCAATAAAATAATGTTAGGTTAATGGCCACCTCAAAAGACAAATAAAAATAATGAATTTTCAATTGCCCGTTGGTCAGACGTGGAAGACGCCGACTTCGTGCTCCTGATCGGTACGAACGTGCGCTTCGAGGCGCCGCTGCTCAACGCGCGCATCCGCAAGGCCTACGTGCACAAGGACACCGACGTAGCGCTCATCGGGCCTAAAGTCGACCTCACCTACGATTACATGGTAACCGACACGACAATTAAGCAGTCAATATGCCAATATTACTAAATTTCTTTAAGATTTTTTTAGATAATAGTAATATCAACCTAACACATCTCACATAAAGCTGTCTGATCCCAAACTACTTAACCAGACTGGTGGTAAACATACTTATAAATTACTAAATACATAGATAATGTACTATGGGTAAGTAAGTAAGAGAAAGATGATGCATGATGATGATTACAGGACATGGAGGAGATGCCATTTTATTTTTCTTTTTAATTTCTTCTGTAATCAGAAATCTGTTCTATGTAAGTCGTTTATTTTGACTGCACGGATGGCGCAGTGGTTTAAGCGGCAGCCACGGCGCTTCCTACTGCGCCGAGTGTTGTGGGTTCAAACCCCACATGGGACGACACTTTGTGTGATCCACAAATTGTTGTTCTAAGTCTGGGTGTTCTTTGTGTCCGTTTCATGTATGTTTGTAAAGTCCCCCGCGACACAGGATATATTCCTAATGCGGGAGTTGTCTTTTAAAAAAAAAAAAAAATTGTGTAAGCGGCCGGTCTTATGGTGGACTAACCTTACCGGCATTAGCTCTTGATAAATTCATGAACTAATTTAGTTAAGTAGTAAAATGTGATACTAAAAAGGAACCTGAAATTACACCTATCATATTAATGTTTTCTCTGTTACAGCACGTAGGCGACTCGGCATCAGTCGTAAAAGATCTCGCCACGGGTTCTTCAAGCCACGAAGTTCTGAAGCGCCTGCAAGCAGCTAAACGTCCCGTCGTCATACTCGGTGCGGACCAATTGAAGGGGCCCGAAGGACCAGCTCTGTTGGCGTACACGCAAGAGCTCGCTTGCAAACTGCAGGATAAACTCCAGGATAAAGAGTGGAAGGTATGTTTAAAACAGTTCCCTGCTTTTTGGATGGATTTATTTAAAATGTTAATTAAAATATATTCGAAAACGTTGTAAAAAAATTATTTATAGAGAAAACTCTTGGATGAAGCTGTTAATTTTAATAATGATCAAGGCATATCAAGGGCGATGTGCTTTATATATTGAACAGTTCAGTGTTTCAGTAAATAATTGGAATGTAGTCCCAATCTGGCCTCGCATGGACGCTAACATTTACCGCGGCAAAGCGCTTCTAATTGCACATGAACAGATCTGTAACTTCTTTTTGCTCTAGTTCTGGTACCTTCAAATATTTATTCAGTAAAAAGAAAATATCACCATTTTTGTATGTTATTTTTTAGGTTTTGAACGTACTGCAACGTACAGCATCCCAGGTAGCGGCACTAGACCTGGGCTATCAGCCTGGCGTAGGTAAAGCTTTGCAAGATGGACCCAAGGTGGTGTACCTGCTCGGAGCTGATAGCGGTGTGGTATCTCGGGACCAGCTGCCGAAAGACGCTTTTGTTATATATCAAGGTATCAACTATCTAGTTTATTTACACATATCGTGGTTGATTTTGTTACTCATCAAATGTTGTAGATGACCGTCAATTGAAATCAGTATCTTTTAATTAAGGGGTGAAATGATGGATACAGTATGTTTTGTGTGAGATACTAAGGCGTGACATCATACTTGGCTATCGTTAAATCATTTACTTTTATCTTTGGTTTGAAGATATTAATAAAACACATTAAATTGATAACGGATGACAATTTATGGTGGACTTAAGTCGATGTAAGGTCAAATTATGAGAATGATGAAGGAATGGACTCACTGGCTGACTGACCTTGTCACTGTCTTGACTCTTGATGTAAAAGTCGTTACGTGATTGAAACACTTTATGCAATTATATTAAATCCGTAAGACGCTTCTTCTTTCGGGATTCAACCAAATTGTAACAAGTTTCTCTAAAAATCTACACACCTACAATAGTTTCATGTTGTTTGAATAATGACGTATTTAGTTTTTTTATGGTAAAAGGAGGTAAACAAGCAGACGGGTCACATGATGGTGAGTTTGTGCGACGCTTTGGGCTCCGGTAACTTCACTCACTCGGTGAAAAGCAACTAAAGAAAGAAAGCGGTATTGGTTTTGGTTGTGGGCGCCGATTTCCGCTTTTAGACTAATGATAAATGATATTTATATCTCTAAGTAAATCTTTTTTTATATTTTTACAAGTAGGACTTTACAGAGCCAGCATTTCTTAAGACTCACTCTGGGAAGAAATGCCGAAACAAACCACAGAGCTGTCTTTTTTTCAAGTCCGTAAACAGAGTAAAATAAAAATGTTCGAGTGCAGTATAGTACTTTTGTATAGTACTAAGTGTTAAGTCTCGAGAGTGGCCCTTTGTGCGTCTAGGAGAGGTTGGCTAGGCAAGCCAACTGAGCTCCTTCCAGAAGCGTAGAGGTCTCCTGGGACGTTCACAGGATTTTAGAAGCGATTTTGTACCAGGTATGGTACTTGCCCATCGTGTGGTCAAGCAGAAGAAACGGCCGCCCACGTAATCCTGGAATGCGAGATTCCAGGATTACGTGGGCGGCCGTTTCTTCTGCTTTCAGGCATCCTTTGCAAAGGGGGCTGTCCGTCGCATCGACGGTGAATAGTTGTCGGTTCACGGCTAGATGTCCTTTTATGGTTCCCACAACTATTCCGATGTTTAGTCTGCTAAGACCGATCAGTGTGCCAGGAAGTCGTAGTGAGACTGTCTGCAGCCGGTCAAATTTTGGCACCTCGCTTGACAGCGGCTTACATGCAAGATATCTGTGTACGGTATAACGGCGTGTGGTGCGGCAGGTCACCACGGCGACGCGGGCGCGGCGATGGCGGACGTGGTGCTGCCCGGCGCCGCCTACACGGAGAAGCGCGCCACCTTCGTCAACGCCGAGGGACGCGCGCAGCAGACGCTCGTGGCCGTGGCGCCGCCCGGCATGGCGCGGGAGGACTGGAAGATCATCCGGTATTTTTTTTTAAAGACTACTCCGATCCTGTGTCGCAGGGACATTACAAACATACACGAAACGGACACAAAGAACACCCAGACTCGAAAAAGCGTTGTTCCGTGCGGGGATCTAACACACACACTCGGTGAAGTAGGAAGCGGCGTGGTGACCGCTTAAACCACTACGCCGTCCGTGCAGTCATATATATTACGTATTCGCTTGTTTTATTTTAAACATCGCTCTATTTATATACAGAGAGGGGCTCGTGGCTAAGTGTTAATCGGCTAAGATCGCTTAATTTTGCAATGCGCTAAGCATTGCAAAATTAAGCGATCTTAGCCAGGTTAGTCTATGGATGGGTGACTTAACAAATAGAAACTCTTCTTTGCCTCTGAGAGCACGTTAAATCGTCGGTCCCGATTGTTATACATACGAGGATATGTGGCAACCGTTATGGGTAGTTGAAGTCCTAAGAAGTCCGACAACAATCTATCTAAAGAATCAATATCGCCCAGTACTCGGGTTGTGAAGGTCTGATGACAGTCGCTCCACATAAAAAAATCGAAATTGTCATCGGTGTCATAGTAGACTGCAAACCGACCCCAACCAAGTTTGGGAACAAGGCTCAGAGGAGAACTGTATTTATATACAAATTCACAATGTTCAACAATGTGTTCAAACTTTCTGCGCTGTAAAATAATATAGCAAATAAATAGAAACCGTGTCTTCATGAACAAATTATTTAAAAGTACCAGTTTAGAATATTTGGCAATGCACCCTTGGTAAAATAAATTAGCTATGTGGGAATAAATTTTATGGAAATCGTAGTATTTAGTAAAAGATTAAGACTGCAAAATGTTTCTCCATCGTAAAAACTAACAATGTAATATGACCATATTATGTTGGTAAGTTTTTATTTACTCTTACTATTACTCTTGCTGTTAGTACGTGCTAAAGCGGAAATAATTAAAACCACATCTTAATAATGATATTTTACATTTTTGACACAATGTAAGTTTCAAAAACAAGTGTTCTTAATGTTGGACAATATCTCCAGGGCACTGTCTGAGGTGATAGGCGAACGTCTGCCGTACGACAATTTGGACGAGGTTCGCGACCGCCTGAGCGAGATAAGCCCCGCGCTCGTCGCCTACGGAGATGTGCAGGAAAACAACTACTTCGCGCAGGCTCGCGCTCTCGCACAGGTATATACAGGATTCCAATGCATACGTTTTATAGTATAGTCACCTGATATTAAATACCTACCGCCGCCTATCGACACCTGCGACTCAGGAGTCACAATGCAAGTGCGTTGCAGGTCTTTTAGTCTTCCCTCTAGAATCAGAGGGAGGAGGGGTTTGCGCCCTGGTAACCGCACTCACTCGGTTGCAAAAAAAAAACGAACAAATTGACACCGGTCTTCTGAATGATGACATGTGTGATTAATTCATGACAGTCTATATAACCCAATACACTCTATATAACCATTGATAGCCGAGTGGTTAAGGCGTTCAACTGCACAGAGATAGGTGTGAGTTCGATTCGATTCGCATACCCTATATGTATGCTTTGCCAAACATGTATTGTGGTTTGTATTTGTAATGGTTTATGGTCATACGTGTACCCTTATTGGGTCAACCACATTGGGTTTCCTGCTGCTAGATTTGATGGTAAATTTATAATGGTGCGTGTTACAGAGTCTGCAGAAACCCGTTTCGGGCAAATTAGATGTACAGCTGAAGCATTTGGAAGATTTCTTCATGACAGACACGATCAGCCGCGCCTCCCCCACTATGGCTAAGTGCATCCAAGCTGTACTCAAACAGAAAGATTCACCATATTAATCGAACAACATATAGCTGTGCAACACACATATATTACTCTTAAAAAATGGCAACTCTTATAAGAGCATTTCGAAATTTGTGTGTTGTAAATATTTAAAATACTAAGTATATATTCCTAATTCTGACGCTAGAGCTTATTGTTCAAATACGTAATTTAAAATATTAACAATAAACTCAAGCGTGCGAATTTAAATTTAGAATAATTATAAAATTTATATTTTGCCTTTCTGCAATCATTTTTACGTGGAAAATACTACAGAAATGCACTGCGCTATCGTATGTTCCGTACATTTCAACTTACTCTTCAATTCTAAACGTTCGATAGCGCTTGTACATTGTGATTATGGGCTATTTATTTTGGTATTTAATACATAAGCGTAACATTTTTTGCACTTTGAAGTTTAATATTCGAAATAAACAATTTATAATACTTAGAAAAGGTAAGGAAAGATGACATGAGAGTTGGTACAACGTTAAAGACAGGTATTTGTAAATAGTAATGTTTGTAGTATAAATAAAATGTAGTATAATGATTGTCGAATTAGTATTTTTATTTTTGAAGTGCACTATTATTTAATAGTAATTTTGAACATCCAAAGAATCCAGTTGATTGTACTTGATGTACTCCTGCAAAAGAAATTGTAAGATGTAGGGATTTAAGAGAAACTGATACGAAAAAGGCAGCACGTTTGGAACGCAAAGACAAATGGATTTTGTCTTTATTTGTGAGACTACCTACCTAAACAGACAATTATATAAAACGGCGGAAACGCTGCAATAAAACAATTTCATACACTCGCGCTTTATTATCTAGAATAGCATAATTGTCTAGTGTTCAACGCAAATGTTTTATATTGATGATCATTCAATAGCAATCACTAGCGTTAATGTAAAAACTCTGTCTCTTTGTTATGGGTTGCCAGCAAAATAACGTTGCAGGGGCGTGGCGTGTGTTACCATATAAAATGTCAAAAAGACTAAAATTTTCTCTTATACTTTGCCACTTAGAATAAATTGTTTCCCACAACTAAGAGCTACTAAATAGCACATTTTTCTTTCCTTTGTTAGTAAAATGAACAGCCGGGTCACCTGATGGTAAGTGACTACTAGCATCCACGGACCTGCAGCTCGAGACAAGTACCTACGTTGCTGTCCTTAATCTCCCTCTCCCAGCGTTATTGGGGATCGGGGAACCTCACTCGCTCAGTGAAAAGTTACCACTATTGAAGGATCAAGGCTTTCAACTCAGAAAAACTACAGGATTACTTGAATATTCACTGATTTATTTTACAATATTACTCCGAATACTTCTCTCCGTCAAACGCTACCGTATAATGCCCCGTTACCGAGGTGCCAACCACCGCCCGACCATTTCACAATGTTGCTACCCTACCAAAATATATGTATCGATATTTATTAATATCGATGCGGATATTAATCAATATCGATAAGGTTCATTAGAATAACTAACTTGTACTAAATAAAAATAAATTATAACTAATATATAATCACATGAATGAGTTATAATTATTATATCTACTATCATGACGCTTACAGCTCGGCCATCCTGTTCTCAGTGAGTCCTCTCACGTTATACAATTCAATTACGTTATAAAAGGCAAATTATACAATGCTATGGCGTTTTATTAGATAATAATATAGTTTTACAAATCTTATTGTTTATAATTATTTAACATTTTAAAATATAGGACTATACAAAAAAAACAGCGTTACAAATATATTTTACGAGAATGAAATATTACAATTACTGTTATTCTACTACCTGTGTATTACAGTTTATGATCTGCTATGATCTACGGCCATCTACGTTACTACAAACGCTGGTCGCTCAAAGCTCATGTACCTATATTACACAACAACCTGCTCAGTCTACTATGATCTACGGTCATCTATGCCGAAGCTCTGGCCGCTCATGGCCCATGTCGCAAAGTATCCACGAACACAGTCTGCCATGATCTACGACCGTCTACGCCTCAACACTAACCGCTCACAGCCCAAGCTCAAATCACTTTCTGTCATCTATGCCTAAGCGCTGGCCGCTCATAGCCCATGTCGCAGAGTACCCACAAACACAGTCTACTATGATCTACGACCATCTACGCGTAAGCGCTGGCCGCTCATAGCCCATGTTACAGGGCATCCGCGAACAAAGTCTGCTACGATCTACGACCATCTACGCCTCAATACTAACCGCTCATACCCCATATCGTTAACTATTCGTGACTACGAGCTGCTGTGATCTGCGACCATCTATGCCTCGGCACTGATCGCTCACAGCCTGCGTTTCCTTCAAAAGAAATCAGTACAAAATATATTATACAATTCAATTCACAAACGGTTCCTGTTGCGCCTGTTGATGTAATTTACGAAATCATAATACAATCATAATAGTAAGGACGTGTTCAATGTGTATTCGCTGTGTCCGTTCATTCTGTATCGTTACTATTACTATCGCTATCACTAGACTCGCTTGCGATATTTTCGAACGCCAGCCAAGGATGTATTTTATCTAAGGCCACTACATTTTCATATTTCTTATTGCCCTTTCTTGTCAACGGTGTATCTTCGATTAAGAACCTATCATTATCCAAAATCTTTACTATACGGTAAGGTCCGTTAAACTTTGGTACTAATTTCCTTGATTTACCCGAGTGTTCCTTGTCATATATCGTTCGTTGTACCCTAACAAGGTCCCCTATTTTATACGTTTTACCTGCTTTTCTATGTCTGTCAAACTGTTCCTTCGACTTACGCTGTTGATCTTCTATACGGTTCTTAGTTTCCTCTCTTATCTTATCCAAATTTTCCCCCGTTATCCGATCAGTGACCTCAACCACTACGTCGTTTAATATGTTTTCAGAAGTGCTAACCAACCTACACCCAAATAATAGCTCGGAAGGAGTCTTACCGGTAGTCTTGTTAACCGTAGTGTTTAAGCCCAACTGAATGTCACCTACATAGTCATCCCATAAATTATCATTTTTACCATGGCATTTCGTGCCTAATGCATCCAAAATGGTTCTATTGAAGCGTTCCACTTGTCCGTTCGCTCGAGGTGTTGCCACCGCATTGAGTATATGTTTAATACCCGAGGTATTTATAAAAGTCTTGAATTTTCCACTTGTGAAGCAAGTTCCGCGATCAGTAATTAGTCGAGATGGGGTACCGAAAAGGCTAAAGTGTTCCTTAAGAACTCTGATTGCTGTGGTACTTTTAGTATCCCTCACTGGTCGAATATTTATGAATTTAGTAAACGAATCAATGACCGCCAAAACGTACGTATTGCCTCTCCTGGAACGAACGAAAGGGCCCAAGTGGTCAGCATGTAATGTGTGGAAAGGTATTTCAAGTTTAGGGATTGGGTGCAACATCCCTTCCTTACGACCACCGGGTGTTTTATGATGAGCACATTCAATACACGCGGACACATATTTTTTTGTGAAACGACGCATTTTAGGGAACCATAATACACTTCGTAAGCGATTGAGAGTTTTATCAAACCCAAAATGACCCACATCATCATGGTTTATCTTTAAGACCTGCCATCTCATTGCGCGCGGCACCACCCATCGTATATCATTTTCTAAAATTTTATAGACGTAGCCCCCCTTTAGTATATAGTTTTTACAAATGTCAACTACTCGTTTAGTTCCTGGATCCTGCAAAATTTCTCGAATTCTTTTTATTTCGTCGTCATTCCCTTGCACCGTAGAGATCCAGTCTTTTAATTCAATATTTAGGACATCTAACGCTTGACAATCTTCGTCACCGGGTAGTGGATCAGCTACAGGAGCACGACTGAGTGCATCTACATGAGCCATACGACTTCCCGCACGGTACTCAATTTCGCAATCATACTCCTGTAATTGTATCCACCAGCGAGAAATTCGGGGTATCAGGTCTCGTTTAGTTAAAGTAGTTCGCAAAGCGTTACAATCGGTTATTATTTTAAATTTAATACCTAATAAATAAACCCTAAATCGTTTTAGCGAGGCAATAACTGCCAAGGTTTCCAACTCGAACGAGTGCAACTTTTGTTCGTCGCCCGTTGTTTTTCGACTATAGTAGGCAACTGGCCTACGTGACCCATCTACCTGCTTCTGCATAAGTATACCTGCAACGCCTGATTTACAAGCGTCAGTATGGAGTTCAGTCTCTAGTGTGACATCGTAGAGGGCTAAAAGAGGTCGCTCAACAAGCTTTTGTTTAAGCAATTCAAAGGCATGTTTGTGACTGCTCTCCCATTTCCATTCAAAATTAGACCTTAACAAATCCGTCAATGGTCGCGCAATGAGTGCGAAATCTTTCACAAAACGCCTGAAAAAACTAGCTAGACCTATGAATCGTCTTATATCGTGTACATTTTGAGGTTCAGGAAAATTCGATATAGCAGCAGTCTTAAGCTTCCCCGGTTTGATTCCACTGCCATTTACCTCAAAACCAAGGAAATCTATCTCTTTGTAAAAGAAATAGCATTTGCTCATCTTTAAAGTCAAACCTGCTTCTAACAAAAGTTTTAAAACCTGTTCTAATCTAGTCATTCCCTCTCGAAACGACTTTGCGGGTATCAATATGTCATCCATGAATATTAGCGCGAAATCGACTTTAGATTTAGGTAGAATTTTATTGATTGCCCGTTGAAAGACTGAGGGCGCATTAGCCAGTCCAAAGGGCATACGCCTGAACTGATACTGGCCATCTGGTGTTACAAACGCGGTCTTGTCTTGTGATTCTTCCGCTATTGGAATTTGGTAATACCCTGATGCGCAATCGAGTGTTATAAAGAGGGAATGCCCGGCTAACCTATCCAGTTGGTCATCAATCAATGGCAAGGGATAACGTTCTCTTTTTGTCTTGTTGTTAAGAGCCCTGTAGTCTACACACAGCCTTTTCTCACCCGTCTTTTTCTCAACCAGTAAAATTGGACTGGCGTACGGTGATTTTGATTCACAAATTATATCCGACTCAATCATCTCCTGCACCATCGATCGCACTAAATCTCGTTCCGAGTACGATAACCTATACGGACGATATACAACAGGTCGACTGTCCTCTAGTTCAATTACCATTTCTACGATGTTCGTAAAGCCCAGGTCCTTTAAGCCGCTGGAGAAACAACCTTGGTATTGTTTTAGAAGGCATCTTAATTGTTCGAACTCCCCAGCTGTCAAAGACTGGTCACAATTAATCAGTGTAGCTGATTCATAATTCTCAACATTTAAAGCATTTATACTCATAACATGTTCTACCGGCCGAATTCGAGTCAAAAGTGTACCCTTTTCCAGGTATATTAATTCTTTAGACACATTTTGTATTAATAAAGAACCTTGTCCCTTAGAGATCTGATATTCACCAGGTAATAAATAAAATTCATGATTCGGTTCACCCCGTAATGAGCCATGGACGTAGATAGGACCCGAGTATGTATTAGTACACGTCACTTGCGCTATACACATTTTCAAAGGATTCAATTTAATGTCATCACTTAACATTAATCCAACTTTCCTTACAGTGTCTTTTTCGAAAATGAGGCCCTCGCTAGTTTTTGTTATAATTATATTAGGCTTCTCAGTAAAACTATGACCTATCAACACCGCATACTTAATAACCTCATCACTAACTATAAATACTTCAACTTGCTCCTCAATGTTTTGTATTTCGATATTAACCGTCGTTACCCCCAAGGGTACCACTATACTATTCCCAATACCTCTCATAACCGGTAAACGATCATGTGTTTCCCATGAAATTCCTAACCGTTGTGCGTCACTGCACCGCATCAGGGTGCATTGACTACCAAGGTCTACGAATCCGGTCAGACAATTTCCATTAATTTTTAACATTACCATATACCTACAATCGTTTAAAAGACCCGTTTCAACGCGCATAACATTCTTTTCACTTGCCTTGTCCACTCTATTACTATTATCGGAGGGTAGTCTTAAACAATTTATAGCTGTATGTCCTAATCGATTACAGATGGTACATTTTAGTATTTTCTTGGTACACTTGAAACTGAAATGACCCGGTTCATTACAGTTATAACATACCGCAGAGTTGCTTGACTGTCTCTTCTTATTGTCATTGTTAGTGAATTTATGCGCGTTGCTACCATTACCCACGAACGTGCGTTTGTCAGCATACATCTTCGTCTTTTCCAAATCCCGTGACTGTTGTTTACTAGACTGGAAATACTCCAGTACCTGGTCGGGTTCTTGATACTTTGAAGCTTTAGCCCCCAGTCTCAATGATCTATCTTCGATACCGTGAAGCAAGCAGTCGACTGCTCGCTTGCCTACTATCTCACATCTATTTAGTAAATTAATTTTTTCATAATAATATAGTTCCAGTGATTCGTTATATTTCACATGTTTAGATAGCATTTCTGTCAACAATTCCGCATAATCATTGGTGCTGGGAAAAGACTCCGTAAGTTTATTTTTCCATTCGGGCCACGTGAATGACATGGTTGGTAAAGCCTGATACCAGGTCTTCGCTACACCTGACAATTTTGGTAGCGCGTAATGTATCACTTGGTCATCACCCCATTTATACAATCTAGAACACTCTTCCACCTTACTGAGCCAAGTGTGTATAGTCTGCCCCTTGACCATTGGGTCAAACTCTGGTATAACATTACCAAGCATAGGGAATTTATTGCCTTCAGGACGACTATTCACTATTGACTTAACTAACTCGGATAATAGCACTGAAGTATCATTATTACTCGTAGAATGACATACCTGACGGTGCCGTGAAGATCGCCTAGAGCTATACTCCTCGCTAGAAGTATGACTGTACCTTCGGCTGTTACCCTGTATGCCTCGTGGAGTGCGGTCACGTCGACGTCGGCTTCGGCTCTTACGTTTCTCGAGACGACGGCTTTTCCGACGAACCCGAAGGTGACTGCTACGATACAGATGCGTGGATGCATTCCGAGTGTCTCTAGGACGACTGCTTCTACGTCTTCGCGGGCGGCATCTTGGCTCACTTCTCCGTCCCGAAGAACAGCTGCTTCGGTCCATACGTTCATGTTTGCTTCGTCGTTCACGTAAGCCACTGCTACGACGCTCACGGGAACGATACCTGCGTCTCTTAGAAGAGCTTGTCCGATTCTCATTACTACTAACGCTCTTTTCCGAAGAATGTCCGTGACGAGTACGTTGCCTCTTACAATGTTTATCCACTCTCAACATACGTTCTTTGCTGCGACATGTCCTTTTCGACCGAGATTCGGTGTTCGTCACCTTGTCGCGAACAGGTGGCGTGACAATTTCTTCCATTCGTAATATTAATCGTATTTCTTTTGAAGAAATAAAATAACAGGTGATCACACAGTGGGTAGAAAAAAAAAAATATTACCATGAATTTCCACAAAATATTTAGTGAGCCTAGTTTATCCCACTTCTGAGCTGAAGGATCAAGGCTTTCAACTCAGAAAAACTACAGGATTACTTGAATATTCACTGATTTATTTTACAATATTACTCCGAATACTTCTCTCCGTCAAACGCTACCGTATAATGCCCCGTTACCGAGGTGCCAACCACCGCCCGACCATTTCACAATGTTGCTACCCTACCAAAATATATGTATCGATATTTATTAATATCGATGCGGATATTAATCAATATCGATAAGGTTCATTAGAATAACTAACTTGTACTAAATAAAAATAAATTATAACTAATATATAATCACATGAATGAGTTATAATTATTATATCTACTATCATGACGCTTACACTATGTATTCGTTTGTGAGTGGGACTGTTAGAAGTAAGCCGTTGCAAATGAGTAGACTCTTTTACATTACACTAGTGTAGGGCAGCCATAACTAAATCGCCGACCGGGATATTAGTGAACAGAAAAGGGTAAACTATAGACAAATTCAAGAGTCCGATGAATATAAAACTTTAATAACGTTTATTTTCATCAGCACTTCTTAGGTTAGGAACTTATCAAGTAAAGACGTTGACAGTCAGGGTGGTGTCTGAATTTTGCTAAGCTAAAGTTTAGGGTGTTTAAGGGGCAAATCTTTGAGGCCCAAATCAACCACAACTGCAGATGCTCTCCTTGAGATCTGGTGGTCTGAACGCAGTGGCTCCCATGAAAGCTAACATCTGCCAAATGAAATAATACGCACAAGGAGAACGATGCCACGGACAGGAGGCCACCGCATAACGGCGTACATGACCGGTCTTCGCCCTACTCCTGTAGGACATATATAGGCCAAGATCTACTGAGTGCCGCACGGTCTTTTTTTTATGATGACGGTGTCGAAAAACCCTTCTGGTTTCAGGTTCCTTGGTAACGCACAAGCCAGAAATAGGTGTTGATAAAAAACGACCCCGACGGTTAGACGTTGTTGCTACTATTTTTTTCTTCTGGGTGTAAGCTTAAAAAAACCGGTCAGGTACGAGGCGAACTCGTGCGCTGAGGGTTCCGTACCTACCCAGATTTTACTTAGATTTTCGTGAAAATTTGTAAGTACCAAAATTTATCTTAATTTTCAACTTTTTTTTATTTTTTTGAATTATTCCTTTATTTGTGCAGTAAGACGTTTCTTTTTGCCAAATTTCGTGATTCTAGGTCAACGGGAACTACCCAAAACCTATACGGTAATTCCGATTGACCTAGAATTGTCAATTTTGGTTAAAAGCAAGGTCTTACAGCACAATTAAAGAGAAAATTCTAAAAAATTAAAAAAGTTGAAAATTAAGGTACATTTTGGTACTTACAAGTTTTTGCGAAAATCTAAATTTGTCCATATCTTTTTATCCTGTTGACTCAGGACCTTGATTTTTATACACCTAATAGGGACCTTAGTATCTGGTATAAATTTCAACTTGCTCTGAGAAAATGGGTGGTGACACACGGACAGACGGACAAGAAAGTTATAAGGGTTCCTTTTTTACCTTTTGAGGTACTGAACCCTAAAAAGACAGTCCCAGACCGTAAAAGAGTTGTGCTCTCGGAAGTTACAGATTGACACAATTAGAAGTGAAACGCTGTTACAAATGCCGACGCACCACAGGCTGGTTGGTGCCTTGCTCCATAGAGAGGTAATATTTTGTGTGAGGTGTTGTACTTGTTTTGACAATCACAGAGATAATCTATCGTTTGTAAAGAGCATTTATCTTTAGAACCTATCTTGACACCATGAACACGTATTTCAAACTACTACTCGTGCGACCTAGCTACCAAATCGGGACAAATAGCTTATTGACCGGGACACCGGGACATAACGCTTCAAACCGGGACATGTCCCGGTGTCCCGGGACGTATGGCAGCCCTACACTAGTGTCAACATTGTATTGCTAGCTGTAAATCCCACTCAACTATCTAGTGAGCTGGTTACCATCCAGCCATCGTTTACAGTGCTCATACAAAGAAATTTTGAATCTTAAAGAACTAACGTCAACAACTTTCCTCCCGGGGCGCTTATACTTGCAATCTCGTAGCATTATGTCGGCGTTACGCGCGAACTCCTGGTGCGCTGTGTTCGCACCAGTCCATGATGGCGGCTGTTGAATGCGTTTCTTGAGCGCTGACATTAATTTATTACATGGCCCGAAATGTGGAGGAGGATTTTCTGTAATAGGCGAATAGAAAAAAACTTGTTGTACTAACAAAAAGTATATTTTATTGACATAAGAGTAGAGGGTCGAGCCCCACTATCACTGTAGGGAAAGTAAAATCGAACGGTTATTTATTTTTTAAGTTATGCTTTAGGCGAATTTTGAAATAAGATAAAGAATACAATGTCTCTCTAGCGCTCATCATTGTTGCATATATCCATATTAAACTTATATTATAAATGTGGAAGTGAGTTTATTTGTTTGTTACTAACCACTAAACCGATTTAGAAAAAAAAACATCAATGAAAGCTTCTTTATCAGCGAGTAACATACGCTACCTTTTGGCGCGATAACCGACATACAAGCGGGCGGAGCCGCGTGCAAAAGCTAGTATATTATAAACGTGAAAGTGAGTTTGTTACGCTTTCACACGAAAACCACTAAACCGATTCCTAAAACACATTTACCTATGGAAAGCTACATTATCAGCGAAGTAGTCTACATTCAGTCCCAAAAATCCCGGAAATTTTCATTTAAAAATCCCGTGCTAGAGATATTTAAAAAAAAATTGCGTTAGGTTGGTACAATTGTCATTGATTGGCGGTAAAAAAATACCTAACCTCTGTCGAATATTTTGTGAGTAATTAACATTACGAGTATAACAACTTTTGTTGTCGCGTCGTTTTCTACTATGGCTGATTTTGTTGAGCAACGATTTTGTATTAAATTCTGTGTTGCAAATGGAATTTCTTGTGCCGAAACGCTTAAAATGTTACAAAAGGCGTTCGTAAATAATTGTATGTCCAAAACTTAGGTATACGAGTAGTATAAATCATTCAAAGAGCGACCACTGTGCGGTCGAAGATTTATCACAGGCGGGTAGGCCATCTACTTCAACTGACGACGATCATGTCAATAAAGTGATTAGTGAAGCAAATTGTAATGCAAAATCGTGGTGTGAGTGTGAGAGAGATAGCGAGAGACATCGTTGTACCAAAAAATACAGTACACCGCATATTGACTGACTTTTTACAAATTGCTCGCGTCTCTGCTCTACTCGTGCCAAAAGATCTAAGTTTCGTGCAAAAGCAGCGCAGAATGGACGTTGCCAGTGAGATGCTTTCTGAAGCACGAAACAATTCCTCGTTTATCAAACGCATCATAATCGGCGATGAGACATGGGTCTACGTGTACGACATGGAAATAGAGCAACAAGCATCCGAATGGGTCGTTTCAGGTGAGCCGAAACCAAAAAGACCGCGTCCAACCAAGGCAAAAATCAAGGCACTTTTCACTGTTTTCTTTGATTAGGTATCGGCGCGTGGTCCATCATGAGTTCCTTTCAATGGGCATGACAGTCAACAAGTCATGAGGCGTTTGCGCGATGCTATTCGTCGCAAACAGTCAAATTTGTGGGTGGAAAATGCATGGATTTTGCACCACGATAACGCACCAGCTTACACAGCCATGGTTATTCGTAGCTTTTTCGCCAAATATTCAACGAACATCGCTCTACAGGCACCCTACTTACCAGATATGGCACCATGTGACTATTTCCTCTCTCCTAAACTTAAACTGGTTCGAGGACTGGTTGAAGCGCTGTCGTAGGGGAATTGCCACTAATGGGAGTTACTTTGAAGTTGACAAAATAAATCTGGATAATTAAAATTACCCTTTTGTTTTATTTACAATTTGCGGGTACTTTTGGGTCACAGTAGTATATTCGTGATGGTTAATAACGCACACTGAGCTTACACAGTACATGCAGTATATCATACCGTCATATTCTCCAATATCTCTTTCTTTTTTCTTTATACGGCCCTTGTTTATTACAATTAAACTTTGTCGGTCGGAAGAGAGCTTATTAGCTTGGTCACATTCTATTTCCTTAGTACATCTAGCTTTTAATTTGTTGGCTTCTGCTATTTCTAGTCTTTTCTCTCGGGCTTTTATTTCTTTGTCTTTTTCTTCGCTTTCTTGTTTTACTGAGCTAATAAAAATGTGTACTGTTAAAACAGAGGTAACATAGATACCTATTTATAAATGTACACGTAATCCTGCATATCCTCTATGTTTAAAAAGGCAAACTAACATTACCAGAGACGTAGCGTGTATTAATATAGACGTAGGCGAAGTAGCATTAGCGAGGCGCCTTTTCTTTCGATTTCAAGATCTATTCAACAATACATCCCTCCTACCAAACATACTTTGACACGACATACCTACACATGATAGTGAAAAAAAGATGTAATCAAAACCAACATCGGGGAATCCCTGGTCCAAGGACAAACTTTTTCTATTTATAAACTGTTTCAGATTCAGGCAAAACTGTATTTTCATTTTTTTTATTTATTAAATCGTAAGTACAAAGAAACAGGCGGACTTAAGGCCCAGGCTCACTCTAACAGCGGCGGTAAGGCCCGTTATGGAGGGTTGGCTCGAGAAGAAACACGTGACCCACTCATATCGGGTAACGGAGATCACCTATGTCTGATCCGCAAGGAGCCACACACGGCACTCTACACGCTCGCAGAATACCAAGCGTGGGAGGAGCAAAGGTGAGGTCTCGTGACGGCCATCTGAGTGGGGATTCTATCGCCCGGTATCATGATTGTGGCCATGGTTAAAATTATGGCCATTAAAATATTGCCATCCCGATGTATATCAGACAGTTCCAGTAATTGCAGACCTAATTACATTCTTTGGTTAATATAATTAGATTAAGAAGAGTTATAGCTAAATCTCAGTGCTAATACCTATTTATCTAATAGGATAAGTGAACACTGAGGTTTCTGGCAGAGGCAACACTTCGGTGACAACACATATTATTTTTGAAAAAGGTGTTGTCACAGAAGTGTGGCCCTTGATAAAATCGTTATTGCTTAGCTTAAGTGATATTCATACCTATGTAATTGAACCTACTTTACCGATTCATTCCTAATTTATTGTTGATTTCCATTAACTTTTCCAAACTTTTTCTTTTCTCTTCTTGATGTTGTATGAAATTTTCATAGACTTGTTTTGTCCCTGGCGTGTCTCTAGACTTGTACATCTAGACGAGAAAGAATATTTTATTAAGTAACATAAATCCAAAAAAACCTCTTTAAGAGCGTGGGGTATACCCGCGCCTTAGTGTTAGTGAAGTTATTTTTAATTGAGTTCTAGGAAGAGGAGGTGTTTAATATGACTATGATTATGTACCTACATAAATATTACACGATATCTCCACCATTTAATAACCGATTTCAATAATGCTTTTTAAATCAATTTTCTTCTTCTCAAGATGGCAAAAATATTTCACCTACGGTAGCAAATATTAGTTATTATTATTTTAATAAATTTTATTTATATTTTTTTATTTATTAGTGTATAATAATGGTAAATTACTCGAATTAAAGTAAATTATTTACATGCCTAAAAGTCGAAGTTCGTTAAATAAATAGATTTATTTAAAACTTGTTTATTATTTGTAATTCACTAACCTCTCGGAGAACTTTGTTAATTTTACAACTTAACTCTTCCTTTTCCTTTTGAACTTTTATTATGTTAGCGTAATAATCGTTCTTTGACTTAGCTCGCTCTTCTTTGTACTTTTCATCATACATGTATTGTTGCTTTGCTTCCTTTTGCATCAGCTTAATTTTTTCCTTTAAAAGATTAGAAAGGAGAGATTAATAACATCATAGATTTCTGTCGAGAAAAACCCGAGATTAGTTGGTAGTTCTTTTCTTAAGGTTTTCTTTTACCTACGGGGTGGCAAACGAACAGCGCGTTACCTAATGGTAAGTGACTAGCGCCGCGCATGGACACCTACAGGTCACAAGGATTTGCTGCCTTTCCCCCTCCCCCCCCCTCAGAATCAGAGTTTCCAGTAACCTTACTCACTCGGTGATAAGCAACAATTGATTGGTGGTGGTTATAAAAAGTTTTTGGCATGTAATTAAAGTTTTGATACTTATAAAATGGAAGCCTCTATGCTGCTCTCAATTTCATTACGAGGTGAAGAAATTGGCAGTAATTCTTCCTAGTTGTACAATTAGGATTCAAACGATTGATCCTATTTAAAGAATTCTTACAAACATTTTTGCTTAGAATTATGACTTCAGCATCATCAAACCTAGAAATCTAATTGTTTTTAAAACTCTCATAAAAGTACCTATGTTCTGCATAAAACACGGATCGTATCTATAACATTCGATAAATGACTGAAACGGGTCATGCACGAGTACCTTATCAAAATCGGCTTGACCCCTTTACGTTGCGTTAAGATTTACTTTCATTTTACTCTCTCTATCGCTTGTATTTTGTGCTCCAATGAATTGTTTAGACTTATACCGATTGCAGACAGCAAATCTGTGGAACAGTTTTCATCTACAGTAGTTCCATACTCACGTCCTTCAAATATACATTAAAAGAGCGTAATCCCATTTCCAAGACCGGCAACACATTTGTGACTCTTGACTTCTCCATGGGCGGTATTCATTTAACATTAGGTGAAGCGTTTGTTCGTTTCTCAAGTATATCATAAAAAATTTTTGGACTTAGAGATAATTAATTAATGTATTCATAAACATCCAGACATGAATTAATTTCATATCATATATGTTTCCTAATGTGTGTAAATTGTCTTTGTTTTATAAGAAACAAATATCTCACCTCAGCCTTATGTTCTCGTGCAAACATTTTACTTTTCAATTGTATGTTTTCAAGATCGTGTTTCTTTTGGACTTCTTTTACTTTAGCTTCTTCTGTTTTTTGCTTTTCATACCTAGGTTTGCACAAGTATATATTATTATATAGAACATAAAAGTTTATGGTAAAAATGAATGATATTCAAATAAATTATTATGTTCTACACATTTAACTGACAAATTGCCATTTTGAAGATCCTATATACTCAATATAGGCTTTGCAAAATTTAGGTTGTGGTCCTTTCAAGCTCTTGGAATTACCTTTACTTTGTTGGTGTACAATAAAGGAAGCCGTTAATGTTAATAATTTGAGTCTAAATATAATTAATTAAAAATGATTTTCACTTGCATTTCTTTATTCTGCTGAGCCATCTGTATCGCTGTAGCTCTTCGGCACTTTTTTTCGTCTTCTATATATTTATCTAAATCGAAAGAACAGAACGCTGGAATCTTGATCTTTTTGGTTTCAATAACTTTCTCCTCTTTTAATTTCTTTAGAAATTGTACTTGTGCATCTCTTTCCTCTAGTGTCTTAGATTCTCGGAAAGCGCTGTCGATAAATAGAATAACTTAAATAGTGTTGCGCCATAGGATTGAGTGGTTCTTGTGTTGTCTGGAGGACAGCGCCATCCAGTATCAAGTAAGGCACAACGCTACGCATTGAGATTATAGTTCCTATTTCCAATATGTCTTTGCAGTACCATTTAGTATTGAATATCGGAAGATTATATAAACTTCTAGATGCCGTATTTTACGTGGTTTTGTCTGGAAGATTCCATCGATATTCGGGATTTGTCTAGTAATATCGATAGCACTGTAAAGGCCGAGCGTATTGCCCTTACGGGGCAGTATCATTTTAGAACACAGCGTATTAACATCGAAGGGAATTTCTAGTGCGACTAACGAGTTATATAGTGATTTCTTGGTTGTTATAGTGAGTGTTTGTAATTACAGTGCAATAAAAGTAATTACTTGACAACTTTTATTTCTTATATACCCGGCTCGTAACAGTAGCTATCTTTATTCGTCATTATTTTTAATTAACCCTAGAGCAAAAATCTAAAATCTGCCTACATATCTAGGTACTTAACTCCATTTATTAGTCATTAGATTTTACACTCCTAATAACATAAGCTTATTTCTTTTTCTCTTTGTGAATAGTTTTTAAAAGAGTCAGTATAATTCTATCGTTTCTTTTTGTTTAAAAGTAGTTTTTACGCTTCAACTTAAGGTGAGGTAATTTTTAGTTTACAATAAAGTAACGCCAGATTTTGTCTTTTAAATTCTATTAATCTAGTAATATGAAGGCGTTGTATTGAAACTTTGTGTAATCGTACGTGTGCAAAATAATGTTGTCATACGTAACTGCTATCACTTTTCAATCAAACAATCCCATCCTACATTAGCTATACTTTAAGATGAGAAAATATTACCTTAAAAGTTTTCTGCCATAACAACTTTCATCAAAGATCCTCTGCCGTGCTTGTTTAATTGCTTCAATGTTGCTTTGTTTTTTAAATTTTTGCTTCTGCTTCTCTGAATTAACAATGGCTAGTTGAGTTTCACGGAGTTTCTGTTGCTTTTTCTCATAGTTGGCTATAACACCCTGTTTATGAAATTTATTTTAGATACTTAAAGAGGGCAGGAATTTCGAAAGGTATAAATAGTAATAAGTGGAAAGTTGGCGCTCCACTACTGTGCGCTTTTCCAATCCAAAACCAAACCAATCTGTGGAACGGGTTATCGTCTATGGTATTTCCGGACCGATACGACCTTCAAACCTTCAAGACCGGCAACGCGTTTGTGACTCCTTAGTTGCAGACGTTCATTTGCTGCGATGGTCACTTTACATCAGGTGACCCGTCTGCTCGTCTGCCCCCTATAACATAAATAAAAAATATTTATTTATTTATTTATTTATTTAATTAGAGCATGGAAGACTTACAGCTACAATTGTTCAAAACGTTACAAATCACAATAATTGCCTGAAAGCCAATTACAAGTCTTCACTTATAGCACTATATTAATAATTTGAGGTGCAATCAAAAAAAAAAAAAGAGAAAAAGAAACAGTATAAAAATTTTACAGACAATAAATAAGCTAAATCACGGTCTCAACTAGCCTCCTGGGTTATGTATGCATTTTAGGTTTTAAGTGTTGTTAACTGGGGTAAAAAAGGAACGACTCAAGCACCTTCTAGCCGAAGGAATACTTGTAGCAAAGGGGTCAATATCGTGCTGTTTGCATAATCTGTTGAATTTTCGGCTTGCCCGCACAATATAACTATTTTGCCTATAATACGTTGTAGTTCTAGGTACTCTTAGTGGTGGATTGAAACGAGTTGACTTGCATGGAATATTAAAATATATTTTGGCTAAAAGCTCAGAGCAATCTATATCGTTGTTTAGTAGTTTTAGAATAAATAAATAGTCAGCAATTTCCCGTCGGTCAGAGAGCGGTAATATGTGAAACTGTCTACAGAGTTGAAGATAATTATTAGAGTGATATGGAAGCTTTAGATGGTAACAAAGGTATTTGATAAAACGTTTCTGTATATTTTCCAAACGGTTTATATACACCTGGTAGCGTGGGCTCCATATAAGCGAGGCATATTCAAGGTGGCTTCTGACGAACGTGCAGTATAAAATTTTGAGAGTCTTAGCTTCAGTAAAAGACTTAGAAAGGCGCATGATAAATCCGAGTGCTTTAGAAGCCTTCTTAGCAATGTTGTCGATATGTACGTCGAACATTAGTTTGCTGTCGTGGTGTACACCCAAGTCACGGATAGTATTTTGTCTAGGCAAGATCGTTCCACTCAATGTATAGTCATTAAATTGTGTAGTATGTTTCCTGGTGAATGTAACCACTGAGCATTTAGAGGATTGAGATCAAGCTTATTAATCTTACAATACTCATCGAGACGACATAAGTCCTCCTGTAATTCAACCGTGTCTGTAGACGAAGATATCGTTTTTAAAGATCTTCATGTCGTCCGCAAAGCAGAGTAGCGAGGACGAACGCAGGCACGAGTCGATGTCATTCACATATATCACAAACAACAAAGCTCCACTACTGTGCGCTTTTCCAATCCAAAACCAAACCAATCTGTGGAACGGGTTATCGTCTGCGGTATTTCCGGACCGATATGACCTTCAAACCTTCAAAAGCCCGGCAACGCGTTTGTAACTCCTGAGTTGCAGACGTTCATGGGCTACGATGGTCACTTTACATCAGGTGACCCGTCTGCTCGTCTGCCCCCTCTAACATAAATAAAAAAAAAATTATATGTAGCTGGGTGATTTCCAGACAAATAAACTTAAAAAAGTTAAAAAAGATCATATGCCTTTTGTGAAAGACCCATTTGCAAACCAGGTGATTTCTCAGCGTTAGTGGTCTCTGCAATCGCAGGACGGACACATATGGGTACGCATATCCCTTGTCTTATCCCCGCCCTCTCCATTTTCTTTACTCTGATTTAACTTCTACTTTTATCTCGTTTGAAAGTAATTACATTCCCATAGAGGAAAGTCATCTAGTAGGCGGTTGTCCATTAAACCTTATTCTAATAGTGCGTACGGCTATATTTAAGAAATATTTTTCAAAAATCAGGACAATTGAGCATCACGTCAAGATCATAATCACTTATCTTCTAAAATAATACGTAAATATCTGTGTTCTCTCAGTAATTACTAAAATAATCAAGTTATCTCTCGACTCTGATACCTTTTCCTCTTAGTGGCGCAAGGCTCATATTATTCCTCTACCAAAAAGTAATAACCCGTCACGTCGTTCCTGAACACTTTCGACCTATCTCTATTCTTCCCTTTTTATCTAAAGTACTCGAGTCCTGTGTACATAAACAACTCTCACAGTTTGTATACAAACGAACTTTTAAGCCCCTTACAATCCGGCTTCAGGCCGGGCACAGTTACCGCTCTCATTAAAAGGACTGGCGATATTTGGAAGAACATGGAAGACACCAAAGTCAGAGCATTAACCCTATTTGACTTCTCTAATGTCTTTGATACCGTCAATCACGAAATCCTGTTATCTATCCTTACATATGTTATGGTTCCTTCTGCGACACTGGAATGGTTCTAAACCTATCTTCAGGGGCGACAGTAGTGTGTTCGTGTTGATGCCTTATCATCAAGTTGGTGCGACCTTTACGCTGGCGTCCCACAAGGCGGAATTTTATCTCCTCTCTTATTCTCAATATTTATTAACCTCATAACACAACATCTTCAGTGTGCGTATCACCTGTGTGCTGATGATCTGCTGCTGTACTCACAGGCAAGGGTAGAGGACATAACGCATGCTATTGACGAAGTCAACAGGGACCTTGAGGTCATAATATCCTGGTCGATGAGATTTGGACTGTCGGTCAATCCAACCAAGTATCAAGCAATCGTAGTAGGCAGCAAACGTACAATAAGCAGATTAGATACTGCCTCTATCTCAACGATCGTCTTCAATGCTTTAATTATTCCATTCAGCCCTGCAGTCAAAGACCTATGCCTACTTATCGACTCAACCCTCGATTGGCGAATTCAAGTTACTAGCGTGAGTCAGAAAATTACTGGCAATTTGCGAACATTATATCGTCTAAAGAATTTAGTTCCTCCTAAAACCAAAACCACACTTATGCAGTCCTTACTAATCCCAACAATTGACTATGGTGATGTGTGTTATTTCGACCTGAATGCAGATCTTCTTAATAAGCTAGACCGTCTTCTCAATAACTTCATTCGATACATTTTCAATCTTCGAAAGTATGACCATGTGTCTGCTTTGCGTTCCCAACAAAACTGGTTGCCAATTCGCTTGCGCCGCAAACAGCGTCTCGCAACCTCTCTATTTTCACCTCTCAACTCACCTTCCTCACCTACTTAACTTGCTCCCTACTTCCGTTACCTGTCCACTAACCGCGACAGAAATCTATACTCAGTTAATAATCTGCTTCTCTTATGTCCCTCACACAACTCCGACTTCGTGAGCTCTTCGTTCTTTGTTCGAGCAGTACTACTCTGGAATGCGCTCCCTCTCGAAGTCAGGATGCCCACAAACCGCTTTATTTTCAAAAAGAAGGTACATTATCTCCGTCTAAACGAAATGGCAGAACTATATAATCCATAGTATACCTACCTCATATTCCGTTATTCAGAGTGTGTGAATTTAATACGTCTATGTATAATATGTCTAAGTAATAATAAATATAATTGAATAAATATGTATGCGTATAATTGAATATATATGATTGTATATGTGTGTATTTATGATTGTATATGTTGTTGTATATGTGTATGTATAAGCTTGTGTATGTAGCGAACCGTTACATATATTTCATTGATTACTTAATATATTAAGACGTAACATCGGTGCATTTACTACTACTACTGGAAGAGAATGCCCTGGGCATTATGTCCGACGATGTACAAAAGTACATAAAGTTAAATAAATAAATCCTTTAAATTAATTTGCAAACAATATCTCAGTAGTTCGTTTAGAAGGTACAGACTTCCGTGCAATAGCCAAGTTAAGTTTTAGGTATGCGGCCCTGATCTTGTCAACATATCACTTTAATACCCCAATTCACCCGTATAAACAATACCTATAGTTTTGTTTCCATTGCCTTTCCTTTTTGTCTTTAAATCTTGTATAAAATTCTCGTGTCACAATGTTCGTTCCCGTACTCCTCCGAAACGGCTTGACCGATTCTCATGAAATTTTGTGTGCACATCGGGTAGGTCTGAGAATCGGCCAACATCTATTTTTCATACCCCTAAATGGTAAGGGTGACCCATCCCTATTTTTTGTTTGTTTTGCAATACAACGTTTGCCGGGTCAGCTAGTATACTCTAGAATTTAGTATTGATTCGTTAAGTGCCCGGATGGCGGCAATAGGCAAAGGATATACTAGCTAATAAAGCCGGGTGATATGGATCAGTGGGTACTAATGGGTCAGAGCATTCAGAGACCTGTACGGGATCGCTTGAAATCACTAAATCCAAGATTTTCTCAAATTTATTCAATACGCTATTATATTGTCCGAGGCCTAGGGTACATAATTCATCTGCAAGTAGGTACTCATCCGCACTCAAAAGATTAGTTGGAGAGAGTGATTCATCATAATATATATATATATATGTAGCGGGGTGATTTCCAGACAAATAAACTAGTTGAAAAAGATCCTATGCTTTTGTAACAGACCCATTTGAAAGCCAGGTGATTTCCCAGCGCTAGTGGTCTCTGTAATCGCAGGACGGACACATATGGGTACGCATATCCATTGTCTTATCCCCGCCCTATCCATTTTCTTTACTGTGATTTAACTTCTACTTTTATCTTGTTTGAAAGTAATTACATTCCCATATAGGAAAGGCATCTAGCAGGCGGTTGTCCATTAAACCTTATTCTAATAGTGCGTACGGCTATATTTAAGAAATATTTTTCAAAAATCTGGCTGTAGTCAGGACAATTGAGCATCATGTCAAGATCATAATCTTCTAATCTTCTCTTCTAATCTTATCTCCTAAAATAATACGTAAATTTCTGAATTCTCTCAGTAATTACTCAAATAATCAAGTTATCTCTCGACTCTGATACCTTTTCCTCTTTGTGGCGCAAGGCTTATTTTTTTTATTTATTATATCTTTATTGTATACACTAATAGAAAAAAACAAAACAAAAGATAAGTTACAAATAAGTAAACGTAACAATCGGCGGTCTTATCGCTCACAGCGATCTCTTCCAGACAACCTTTACATGGATTTTAGGTATTTAACAATTTAGGGTAGTATACATACACCTAACACAATATCACGTGAATATTTAAAAATATTTACAAACATAAACAAACACATTCATACACAAATATTATATTATTCCTGTACCAAAAAATAATAACCCGTCACGTCGTTCCTGAACACTTTCGACCTATCTCTATTCTTCCCTTTTTATCTAAAGTACTCGAGGCCTGTGTACATAAACAACTCTCACAGTTTGTATACAGAAACCAACTTTTAAGCCCATTACAATCCGGCTTCAGGCCGGGCACAGTTACCGCTATCCTTAAAGTGACTGGCGATATTTGGAAGAATATGGAAGACACCAAAGTCAGAACATTAATTCTAGTTGACTTCTCTAATATCTTTGATACCGTTAATCACGAAATCCTTACATATCTCATGGTTTCTTCTGCGACACTGGAATGGTTCTTAACCTATCTTCAGGGGCGACAGTAGTGTGTTCGTGTTGATGACTTATCATCAAGTTGGTGCGAGCTCTACGCTGGCGTCCCACAAGGCGGAATTTTATCTCCTCTCTTATTCTCAATATTTATTAACCTCATAACACAACATCTTCAGTGTGCGTATCACCTGTATGCTGATGATCTGCAGCTGTACTCACAGGCAAGGGTAGATTACATAACGCAGGCTATTGAAGAGGTCAACAGGGACCATAATATCCTGGTCGATGAGATTTGGACTGTCGGTCAATCCAACCAAGTATCAAGCAATCGTAGTAGGCAGCAAACGTATAATGAGCAGATTGGATACTGCCTCTATATCAACGATCGTCTTCAATGCTTTAATTATTTCATTCAGTCCTGCAGTCAAAGACCTGGGCTTACTTATCGACTCAACCCTCGATTGGCGAGCTCAAGTTACTAGAGTGAACCAGAAAATTACTGGCAATTTGCGAACATTATATCGTCTCAAGAATTTAGTTGCTCCTAAAACTAAAACTAGTTAAAACTAAAACCACACTCATGCAGACTTAATAATCCCAACAATTGACTACGGTGATGTGTGTTATTTCGACTTGAATGCAGATCTTCTTAATAAGCTAGACCGTCTTCTCATTCGATACATTTTCAATCTTCGAAAGTATGATCATGTGTCCATATATAATCCATAGTATAAATCATATTCCACTATTCATAGTGTGCGAATATAATATGTCTTTGTATCTATATGAATATAATTGAATATATGTGTATGTGTATGATTGTATGTGTGTGTATTTATGATGTGTTGTGTTGTATGTGTGTATGTATGTATAAGCTTGTGTATGTAGTGAACCGTTACATATATTTCATGGATTATTTAATATATTAAGACGTAACATCGGTGCACCTACCTAACAAGATTTCTACACCACACAAAGGTTGACTGGAAGAGAATGCTCTAGGCATTAATTCCGCCGATGTACAAAAGTGCATAAAGTTAAATAAATAAAATAAATAAATAAATCCTATAAATTAATTTGCAAAAAAAATCTCAGTAGTTCGATTAGAAGGTACGGACTTCCGTGCAATACCCAAGTTAAGTTTTAGGGATGCGGCCCTGATCTTGTCAACATATCACTTTAATACCCCAATTCACCCGTATAAACAATACCTATAGTTTTGTTTCCATTGCCTTTCCTTTTGTCTTTAAATATACTCTAGAATTTAGTATTGATTCGTTAAGTGCCCGGATGGCGGCAATAGGCTTAGCCGGCAAGGCCCGGCCTTTTGTATAAAATTATAAGTGATAAAATGCAGCTGTCTAAAACGCCTCTATGGAGATACAGAATGTACTGTATGTGTCATTTTCTGGAATACTTTTCAAGTAAAACATAAAAGACTTAGTTAATTTTTTAATAATATCGCTAACTGCTATAAGCATAGTATAGTTAAAATTAAAGGATTCTGTCTCTTTCATATTATTCTCTTATAGGATTCCTCTTTCATATTGTTCTCTCATAGGATACCCCTTTCATAGTATTCCTCTCTCAAATTATTTCTGTCATTATTAAGATTGATAGCCCAAGAGAGACTAGATAACAAATAGAAAAACGACCTTAGGGTTACATTCAAAGCACTTGATATTATGAAGTGAGTCAAACATTGATGAATAAATACATACGTGTTTATGGTCCGGCCATGTTTGAGTCCAGGCCCTTGATTTCTCATTTAAAGATTTCACATATTCCTGTTGTTCATTCAACGTTTTCTCCGGACCTGGTTGTCTTTTCAAACGGTTCCATTCATTTGAATGTAGAACCAAGTAGCTTTGTCCGTCTTTCCTTCTATAAAATTGCATTGTTACAATGTATTTAATTTTAGTGTACTGTGAAAATCCATGTAGCTATGGATCGATGCTTCGCTTTTCAAAAGAGTTCTTACTTTTTTAGTTACATGAATGGTAATATATTTTTTGAAATTAATGCGTTTTGATTTTGTCATACCTATTTGAGTTTAAACTATAGTTACTACTATTATAGTTACTACTAGTTTGATATACGAGGGGGTCAAAAAGTTCGCGGAATGGAGGGTAAAAACTAAGAAATGAAGCGTAAATTTATTTTTCCTATCTATCTGAATAGATAGAAGGAAAAATAAATCTAATAAAAGTTAAGGGAGAATTCCCTTAACTTTTATTAGATTTATCAATTGATTTATATATACCATCGAAAAAAAATGTTTTGTCTCTCTCGTCGTAATGTGCTCTTCACCTCTTCATCGTTAGAAAATTTCTTTCCTTGAAGCTTTTTTTTTTTGGGAACAGATAATAATCTAAATTTAAGGCTAAATCTGAGCTACAGGGAGGATGTGATAGGATTTCGAAGCCCACTCTTTGTACAGCAGCCACCTCAACTTGCACCTTGTGCACGGGTGCACTGTCGTGCCAAAGAAGCACCCGTTTGATCAATTTGCCCTGCCTTTTCTCCCTTACAGCATCTCGCAGACGTTCTAGTAGTGCAGCGTACTAATCTGCAGTTACATTGATACCCCTTTCCTTTGTAGTCAATAAGAAGGATTCCCTCTGTATCCTAGAAAACAGTAGCCATAAGTTTTCTAGCCGATCAAGACACTTTGAACTTCTCTTTCTGTGCCACTGCATGGAGTCCTCTTTGGGCTCAGGCTCATAATGATGAACCCAAGTTTCATCTGCAGTCACAATCCGGCCTAAAACGTTGTCCTTGTTTTCACCACAGAGAGCCGAAACCTCGCAACAACACTCAACTCGCCGCTGTTTCTGGTGTGGCGTGAGCATTCTCGGCAGCCACTTTGCGCACACCTTTGACATGCCAAGAATGTTCGAAATGGTTTCAGCTGATACTCTGATCATTTCTGCAACCAGCTTTGTCTTTAAACGGGCATCTCCTTATTTCAATTTTTCAGTGGTCGTCTCGACAGGCGGCCCCCGCCTCGGATCAGCTTCAATCGAATCCCTGCCTTGCTTGAGAGGTTATGCCTCTTGTAAATCATGGTTTTACTATGGCAAGAGTACTTATAATCAGAAGACATCTCTTCCAAAATAGTCGGAGGAGGTTTTCCTTGCTTGGTAAAGAACTTGATGACTGCACGAAACTCAATTTTCTCTATGTTTCAAATTTTCTCAGTGAATAATGACCAGATTTTTATGAAACTTCGTAATTATAAACTTAATGAGTGTCAGAACTAGTGCAGGTAAAAAAGTGCCCGTTTCCTCCATCATGCGCTATTCCGCGAATTTTTAGATGACTTGATTGCATTGACCTTGTTTTTGTTTTCAGATCACATGTGCGTTCAAATTGAGTCAAAAGCCGTTGATAAGAAAGCATTTATAAAAAGAAAGATATTCTCGAAAGATTCTTAGAATTGGAAGTTCCAATTCTCAGAATCTTTTTCTAAGGTTTTCTAGGTAATTCCTAAGGTTCCAATTTGAAACATCAGAAATGATTTTTGAAAAATATTTGTCTACATTTAAGAACCAGATGATCAACCAGTGACAGAGCGCTTTATACCTGACCATAACCATAATACACAGTGTACGCTATAATCTAGATTGTATGATTGTTTGCTACATGAGTTGTATAAAAAGTGCACATGTAGGTACTCGTACCTGCCATTACCCAACAAACGCCATACAAAGTCAATATATCAACGCCGCTAAGTTCTAAGAATTGAATGTTTATACGTATTCCGATAAGCTTAACCGCATAAGGGCAGAAATCTCTCAATCTACTGTACATTACATCATTGGATGACGTAATGTTGTACAAAACAATTAATCTTGCTTTGTTTTTGTAATTGATTGTTTAGCAGTTGGCTTAATTAAGTAAAAATAAGCTATATTTATTCAATAACGGGTGTAGATCGGCACAGGCATATATTATAATAGATTTTCAATAGGTATGTATTTATTTTGCTAAATAGATAAAACAGGGACTGTTGCTATTGTGTGACTACTAGAGAGTCTACATAAGAGTGAAATCGTCTCAACAATTTTTAAATGAAATAAAGAAATTCTAAGTTTGAGTTTCAATAAAGTTACAAAGTAACCCTTATAAATATGGTTTATCTAGTGGTCGATTCGCACACTAATAAATTCAATTAGTGCGAATCAACTATTAAAAGAAAATTAATTTTAAAGAGGATCGTTTCGCAGTGTGCGAATAAATTTGTAGGAATCAACGTTAAAGCCATAAATTTTACTATATTTTTAAAGACTTAAAAAAATAGTAGTTTATCAATTCTTTTTTTACTGGGAGTAATGACTATGAATGGCCGGTTGGTCTAGTGGTGAGTGATCCTGAATGCTAAACCGGAGGTCCTGGGTTCGATTCCCATCCAGGATAAATTGTCTTTATTATGAGCACAATCGTTTGTTCTCTGTCTGCGTGTAATTTATTAGAACATGTGTGTATTTGGAAATATTTAAGTTTGTTTATATCAGCAGTCTGGTTACCATGGCATAGGCTCCGCCTAGTTTGGGATCAACAGCCACTGTGTTGTTGTAATATTAAAAAAGGCGAATGGGAAAAAAAATTCTAAATACTATTCTCTCCAGTATTTTCTAACCTTCATCTTATAGTTGTTCGTTCGTTAATTTTGCACACCCATAATTGTATTTAAGTGGAGGAACTAAAAATCTTTAGATATGCTATAATTATACTATAGCTAGTGGTTACCTGGCGCACTTGCCCTTTCTTTGAAGTCAGTTCGAAACAACAAGATATTTTAAAGGAATTGAGCATTACGAGTGGTGAGAAAGTCCGCGTTACTATCACCTGGTAACATTTCTATAAGACTAGACTAAGAGAGCTGACTCGCGCGGCTTCGCCCGCTTGAACTTTGTGCAAAGCCCAATAGTATAGATGTCGCCACCTATTTACCACATAGACCTAAACCGGGAGGGAGCTCCCGGACTTTGGTAACGCCCACTCTATGGAGAAGGAAACATTCGTGCTATATGCGAAACGGTTCGTGTATAGCATTCTTATACTCATCACTTCGAAATGAAATGTTCATAATTAAATGATATCTGCTTAACGAATTGACCAATTTTAATGATGGAAAGATGTTGGCACATTATTTCGTCTTATCTTTAACCATTTAAGCAGCGCACGCGAAGAAAGGAAATTTTCGAGACGATTTTGTACACCGTGGTTAACATAACCTGTTTCTTTGCATATGTCTAAGTTTTTTAGAAATAAATTCCTGATAATGTAGCTTTCTATTAGTGAAAAAATGGTTAAAATCGGTCTAGAAGTTTTGGAGCCTATTCGATACAAACAAACAAGCAAAAAAATCTTTTCTTTTTGTAATATCAGTATAGATATGCATATGGCTTTTAGCCTGATCTCTCTTTTAACTGATACAACTCGAGCATCCTTTTTAATATTGGGTCAACATCAAATAAACCTCAAAGTTCTTCATGTGGGTATATTAGTAAACATTTTGCTCTTGTAGCGTTTGGTACGAAGTTTTATTTCGGACGAGAATAACGTTAATTAGATTAAATAACCGACACGGTATGGAGTGGGATAGGAAATTGAGCGTGGCGTTGGAGTTGCACCATTTGAGGCGGTGCGTCGGACTCATTCGTCACTGTCGTGAGACAACTTTGTTTGCAGTATATTTTTGCATAAAAATAACTTCAGTAGCAGTGAAAAATGTTGTAGAAATGATAAAAGGGTTTGAATAAAGTCCTTTTGTGTATAAAATGCGATTAAGGAAAATTATGGACATTTTTATTGCGCCAGTTGCTAAGTTTTTTTTCATACAATCTAAATAGCAGGTGATTATTCGACTGGATTTTTAGGAGTCCAATGACCACGTGGATCTCTGAGAGATCCTATTTTAATAAAATTGATATAGTAATTATACACTATAGAACTTCCTACTGTATAGAGAGCTAATTCATCGGCGAGAAAAAATAGGTAACTTTTAACTCGACTCGACTTTTACGACAAACTAATATTAGCATAACAGTCAATAGCATGGGAGAGAGGGTGTTTAAGAAAAAGTTTTATTTAAGTGTATATTCTTTGCCTTTAGTGCAACAAGTTAAGTAAACAATGAGGTTCTTCCCTAGTTAGAAGGCACGGTTTCTAAGGTGCTTTACGTTTTTTTAAAAGTTAGTTTTCTACCAATGTCAGCATTGAGGGCGCTTCGAGGGGGTGGCGATCACGCAAATTAAGCAATCAGTGTTGGAATGAAGCTCAAGCTGAATATAACTATAGAAATTATAAAGTTGAACTTGTTTAGGTGGCTTTTTGTAGATAATTCATCCTAAACAGCTTAAGTAAGCAGTTTTTTTTTTGTTATGTGTTTGCAGAGATAACACACCAAGATAAGATATATTTTTTTCTCGAACGTAACATACTTAGTTGGAATGAGTGTGCAAACAATAAAAAGGGTTAGCATCAGATGAGAAGCTTTGTGAGGTTATTGAATCATTTTAAGTGCTATTCACATGTGTATTAGGTTTTTGATTAGTAGTTAGTATTTCAGTTATACGATCAGCAACCAAAATAATTAAATATTTATATAAACTCGTAAATGATGTTGTTTCTGTATCAAGTATTCGTCATAGTAAGGATTACCTTAGTATAAATACTTTCTCTGTAACCCAATTGCACCATAAAATATTGCATTTGCTGGCACTATGGTGTAAAAAATGCTAGTTGAAGCCTATTCACGTGACTTTATATTCCAGAAGGTGTTTTTTAAGGTATAATATCTATATTTCACATATAGTATGCAATCGAATCTATCGTATAATAAGCACAAACGACAGCTAGATATAATAGGAAATCACGTGCCAATAGCTTT